GCTCTCTCTAGCACCGTGTAGACAAAACTATTCACCTCTTTATTCGAAATTGAAACAAGATTATGAGCTATGTTGAGCATCTTTCTTACATGGATAAATAACATGTAGTTAGAGATAATTTGTTCTGACATGATCAAGATGACACATGCATGTTCTTGAAGATTAGCATGCCTTCTCTAACTCTAACCTACGGCTACCTTCTATCGTTTGAATTTTAGGTATGGATATTTAACCTGCTTAACCATAAATAGATAATTTTATTTCATTTTTTTTGTAAACTCTTTTCTAAGGTGTTTCTTTTTAATTTTAAAGTTTATTTGACAAAAAGCTCTACCTCGTATGCATCATATTTGGTATAAATGAATAATTAACCCGTTAGAAGAAAATATGTTAATATTTAATTTCTATATACTATTGGGAATTTAGTATACTGTAGTCCATATGCTAGGTTCATAATATGACTTAGATCCATATTCAAGACAAAATCAGTCTTCTGTGGTTTAGAATGCTAGCCTGTCCATTATGTTCCATATGACTGAAAGATTAACAGATGTTTAAATTGAATTTTAAAATGATAGATATTCTTTGGAAAGTTGTCTTGAGATTTTTGTAGGATACACATGATGCGACAATTTTTCCAACTAATTACAAGTAGGTATTACCGTATTAGCACCTAACTAATTTTCTTTTGTAAAGGGCATAATGTAGACTGGTTAGTGATTGAAGATGACTAGTTAAAAATTAGAATACTGATACGGAAACATAATTTGTTTTAACTCTACGTATCACTCAATCAAAATTTTCTTCTCAATAACATAAAAAAGTAAACTATTTCAGAGCTGTAACTTCAATCATCCCTCACTCTTTTAGATAAAGTATATGCTAATCACATTTATTTTTATCCTCTATCACTTTCATGAATGCATTATACTTCGCGATATTATGAGCATGATTCCCCAATCCGAAAAGCTATAATCCCATATAATTATTAGAAACCATATTATATCGGCTGATAGCGACTAAACATTATCGTAAAAGTAGATTAAAAAAATAGAGCCGAGTTCACGTTAAATCAAAGAGAACCGTCTTCCGACATAACATGTTAATATCCAATTTCATTTACTCATCCCAACTATAAAAAGTACTCTTCTTTGAGTAGAGCTGTCGTGGTTGAAAGTTGGAGCAGAACAATCAGTATAATTGTTTTTGAGTCTAAATGTGATAGGTGCAAACATGACAGTCTCTACGAGTAGTAAGATGTTATCAAAATTTTGAATAACGTGTGTATTTAGTATTTACAGATGATGTTGTACAACCACGGTCCACGGGAAACAAACTTAAATACTACTCCATCCTATTCCTAACGACGTTTAAGTCACCGGAAGTTTCGTGTTTACGTTTACAAAAATAACAATATGGATTAGTTTTATAAATCTAAACAATTGTACTTTATAAAAAGATAATCTAAACAATTGTAAATGTAAAAGATATGTTGGTCAATCAAGGGCTACAAAAAAAGTCAGTTTTTGGTAACAATTAGAGCCCCTAACTATTATTGTATTCAACATTTTCTCCATTTTGTTTCTTTCAACTATCTTAATATAATCACGACATAACCGTGCACTTGCAGTCATTTAAAACTTTATGAATCTAAAGTTTAACATTAGAAACTGTAGAACTTTTCTCACTAATAACTCATCACTCTTTAATTGAGACCAACGTATAGAATGGTGAATCAAATTTGGTAGGAAATGTTATCTAACTTCAAATGATTGATATATGTTCGATTGGATTTGGATCCATTATGAACAATAACTTCCGTACTGGTCGTTCGAGAAGCGAAAGAGACAGAGATATGAGGCACAAGAAAGACACATTTTACTATTTTAGCACTAGAGTGTAGCTTGTTTTGGAATACTTCATCAACTTATTGGGGCAGAATTGCAATCATTTACAAAATTCGACTTTAGGGTCCCTTTTCATTCTTTTTAAATTATTCCCAACGCAGCATTGATTCTCTCCTCACTCCTGATTTGATATGGTTTTCTCTTTTTCGTTTTTTTTTGCCGTAGCTGAAAGCAGCTTCACACCAAAGAACAAATCCTCCCTCTTTTTCCCTTTTTGTTTTTGCTTATATCCAATTGAAATGTTCTTCCAGTAGAACATTAAACAGTAGAAAATGGTTGAACGGTCACAATAAATAACTCATTTGTAACATTTTTTTTTCTTTTTTCCTAATTCTCTAAAATAATAATAACAATAAAATGAGGGATAATATTGTAATGTGAGCTTAATATTATGCAAGTATGACGTGATGCTGAGAAACGTGTTTGACTGTTTGGTAAGTCTATTGTTACAGTTTTGCTCTATTTTTTTTTTCTCTTTGTAAAATGGCTTTAACTTGGTTAGCTTCGTCCTAAACCAGGAACATTCTCTGGTTTAATCCCGGCCAGGGCCTTCCTTCTTCATTCTTGAATCACACCACACCAACAAGATTTTTTTTCATATTGCCTGAATAGCGCTGTTGCCTTTACTCAAATCCGAACCATTAACCGAGGCATTAGAGTGAAACGCCGATGGCCGTGAGGGCTCTCCTACTAGTTTCAAGGAGAGCGGAGACGGAGAAGGTGAAGTTTCAGTTTCATGTCTTATCGCCATTCCAATGCTAAGCTGAGACATACCAACAAGCTCGTCCATGTTTACACGCTCTTTAGGAAAGCCAGGTTTTGGTCTTAGCACCTGATGCTGCTGAGGAGAAGTCTCAGCTTCTGTTCCCTGAAGTGAAGTGGAAGTTGCAGGGAGCCAAATTGTGTAAGTGACTGGAAAACAAGGAGGAAAGAAGCCGCCTGGGACTAGCATTGGCGAAACCCCGTTCGATGGTTCAATGGCTTCTTCTGGTTTTTCCTGTGGTGGCGGCGCAGTGGCTGCAACCGCTTCACACTCAGTGGTATTGTTGAGTGAGAGCTCTAGTGAAGGAAGGTAGGTTTTGCTTTCAGGTTCCTTGCTTGGAGAGGAATGGTTTAAGGTTTGATCTTCTTGTGTTGGCGATGAATCAGTTACCTGAAGAAGGCAAAAACAGAGGAATTATTTCAACAAGTTCTTGGAGTCTATCGAATAACACAAGTCAAGTCATGAAGAGATGTTGATGATGATGATACAAACCATTTCATCTGTAACCATGTCGAAGAGACTAGAGCGTCTCTTCCTGCGGCTAGAACAAGTATGGCGGATGAAATACTTTTGAGCGTGACTAGCCACTTGTGTTGGAGTTCTTGAAGTTACAAAGTTTCTTGAAATGCCTCGCCAATCTCCTTTCCCTAGCTTCTGAAGTCCCACTAAGAATAGTCTGTGTTCCTCCTCAGTCCATGGAACTCCTGTAAAACCCAACCATATCAGCATTTAAGAACCCACCAAAGTTTCATCTTTAAAACACATAAAAACATAGACTTTAAGCTCAACAATATGATCCACAAATGAGATAATGCTTTAAGAGACTCAACGATTCAATCTATGTAACAACCAATAGCAATTTCAACACCCATCAAGTCTCACAAACATTGATAAAAATCATCTCTTTAATCACCAACGAATGAGACAGGGAACTCTAAAGTCTAAACCTTTAGAGCAATCTCAGTTTTAAAGTTTTAATCTTTGCTATCGACTTGCAATCAGACGAAGCCGGATTTTCAGAGGAACAACAATCGATGACAAAATTGAAAATGTCAGAGGTAAATCGATTTGCTTTACCTCTCTTCCTCTCTCCACGACGGTGAATAGACCCAGAACAATGAGCTGGATCATCGGATAAGTACCCTTCGTTATGTTGATTGGAGTATCGTGCGTGATCCGATAACGGCGAATCGTTGTGATTAGACGTCGCGAGAGGAGACGACGGAGATAAACGGTGGTGCGCGGCCGCCGCCGCAACGGCCAATGCCGAGAGATTACCCATACTCGCACTCTTTTTAATAATCGACCCATCCGTTAACCTGACGCCGAACAGCTTCACGGCGGAGGAGGAAGAAGATCCTCCTCCGACGCCGGTTCCACCGCACGTGCCACCCCCACGAGTCGGACACGTGCGAGAATTGTGACCATTGTTGCTACAATGCGAACACCGACGAGTCATTCCGCACAACAAGACAAAACAAACAAACAAAAAAAGCGAAACACTTTTCGTAATAAATGCTCCGTTAATAGTTTTTTTTTGCGTATACACAAATTGGATTGAGATAACAGAGAGATGAGTTAAGTAATTGCAACCATGGAAAAAATAAGGAAGAAGAAGATGAGGATTTGTTTTGGATTTCTTATGGAAAGAAGAATCAAGGGTAATTTCGGTATTATAAGAAGAGAGGATTATGGTGGATCATACGTTGAATTCGTGTTTAAATTTACTAATTATAAGCTTTTTTTTATTTATCTTATCTTACCTGGAGATTTTCGTTTATGACAAAACAACTAACAGATTTATATATCTTCTCGTTCTCTTTGTTTACTGGATAATCTTTTTTTTTTAATAATAGTAACAATGTTACCGACAAATTCAGTTCTGATAACCAAAGATAATCGAAATAATTGATTTTTTTGTGATGTGAGGATAATATTATTTAACCTAAATCTGTCCCGAAACGCAATAAACTATACATTTCCGCTTAATCCACTTGTGAAGCGATCTATCCACATATTACACGAAACACGTTTTTAACACCAAGTGGTCTAGATTTAAAGGTATGAGATATTATCATAAAAGCACTCATCAATCAATCCTTATCACATATTACAAGAGACACGTTTATACAATCATACTCCATAGATTCAATGTAGACTTATGTACTTCTTTATTTGGCATGAAATGTGATTGAGGTTTGAACAAAGCTTTCATAAATCAATCAATATCATAATTTCCTTTCTTTTTTTTGGTCTATCAATGTAGTTTTCTTAATTTTCACGTCCTAAAAATAAATAAAAATCATAGTGTCATTACACTTTCAAAGCCTCTACCTTTGTTGGAAGTTTAACATTTTAATTCCAAATGCAAACATGAAAGCAAAAAACAGAGTAAAACCCACCAAGACAGCCGCAACTGGACCCATGAAATTCGGGTCAAACCCGAATTGGTTTTCGATGTACCACTTTATCGTCGGATCCTCCGTCATACCCGGAACTTTAATCGTGTCCTCCACGTCACCGTACTGCGAAACAATCAATCCGTACACAGTCCAAGCCACTGGACAGATCCAGTAGTACCATATCCACCATTTTGGAATTCTCTGCACCAAAGTCGTAAAACAACTTATAACAGAAGGAAAAACAAAGCTTTCTTGCGAGAAAAGTAACCAGAACTAACCGATTTAGGGATGAGAAAACCGGAAAAGAGGTTGAAAATTCCGTAGAAAGCTCCGGCGAAAACAGCTGCGACTTGCTGGTTTGGTGTGACGGCGACAGTCATCATCCCGTAGTATGTAAAGTAGAGGAAGGAGAAGAACGACACGAAGAAAAACCACAAGAACTTGGCCACTGTCCATTCGAAACACACCATTGTGTATACAATTAGTGTATAATACGTATTTTGGATCAGCACGTACGGTATTTCGCATACCACCTGCAACCAACCATTGAAAAAAAAATTCTTGTTAGATACTTGAACTACTATTACTCAAGGTTTCTTGTTTGTCAAGTAACCAAAACCGGTTATAATCTAATCTCACCTGTGCTAGGGCATAGGGCACAGCAGAATACATTTCAGCAGCTCTTTCTCGATAGAACACAGTTCGTTCCACAGCTACGAGTGGTTGAACAGATGTGGAGTTATTTATTCCAACGAATAAAACGGCAGCGTACATTGCTCCAATAACCTTTGTAAGATCATTCGCATTGTCCCTGTTCATACAAGAAATTGTATAAGGTTTGTATACAGGTCTGGATTCGATTTTAGGTCTTTTGAACAAACCTTTTTGTGCCAACTCTCCAGAAAATTGTTCCGATCATGAGAGCTGCAACCAGTGTAAAGAAGAATCTGGCTAAATTGTAGTCAGGAGTTCTCCAGTAAGTAATCCACTGTTTCCACAGACAAGATTTGAATTGTCCAAAAAATGATTGTGAGAACTGCGTAGAGAAGTAGAGATCTTTTGCTCCTCGTGGCGGTGTGCTTAGTTCCTTTACAAGTTTCTTGTTTTGTCTACACACCAAGATCATTTCCAATAATTAGGGTAAACTCTTGTGCAAATGATTAGATTATTGAGTCTTATAATGCTTAACTTACTGATATAAGGATGTTGTTTTGTAATGCTCAGCAAAATCTATCTTGAGTTTTGCTTCTGCTGCCATTGAGCTCACTTCTAGCATCCATGTCGCCGGATTATACTTCTCTTTAATCACCGGAACTCCATGAATTGCCTGTAATTTTCTCAAGAAAATTGTGCTCATGACCTCAAGTAATGAGATTCCTATATATCCAAATTTAGAAACTAACCTGGAAATATTCGATAATCTTGTGGGAGTTTCGGCCTAAAGGACCAGCGTAAATCACTTGCCCTCCTCTCTTCAGAAGAAGAAGCTCATCAAAAGCTTCAAAGATATCAATGCTAGGTTGGTGGATTGTGCAGACCACTGTCCTTCCTGTGTCAACCGTGTTCCTCACCGTCCTCATCACAATGGCTGCAGCCCTAGCGTCAAGTCCAGAGGTTGGCTCATCCATGAAGATTATTGAAGGATTCGCCACTAACTCCACAGCGATTGTTAGTCTCTTCCTCTGTTCTGTTGATAACCCTGTGATCCCTGGAAGTCCCACGATCGCATCTTTTAGACTATTTAGCTCCACTAGCTCCATCACTTCATCAACAAACCTCTACAAAAGTTTTGCGTGTATGCATGCGTTAGTCTATGGCTAAGATTTTATCTTAAAATGGTATGAAGTTACAAGGAAGAGAGTATAACCATTTTCTCATCTTTAGTGACTTCTTTTGGGAGACGAAGGAAAGCAGAGTAAATGAGAGACTCTTTGACGGTGACTTGCGGCGAATGGATATCATTCTGTTCACAATAACCAGAGATCCTTGCAAAAGTGTCTTGTCTTTGAGGGAAACCTGAGATTCTGATGTCTCCTTCAATGTATCCACCGGTCTTCCTACCCGCCAAAACATCCATTAGAGTGGTCTTACCAGCTCCACTAACTCCCATCAGAGCTGTTAACACTCCTGGCCTAAACACTCCTGTCACTTCGTTTAAAAGCTGAAGCTTATCCTTGCCAACTTCTTGTTCCTTCACTTCCTGTTTTGTTCATGGTTAAATAACATTTTTGTTCTTGTTTCAACAAAGATTTGGGATTTGGTTTTACCTTAGGCATGTCAACGTAGTAGTGAATATTGTCGAAGGACATTGTGAGAGGGGTAAAAGGTAGAACCATTCCTTTTTTAACATAAAAGCTCTTACTCTCTGAGCTATCCTCAGCTCTGTTTTCTTCTGCATTCTCTTTAGAAATGATGGCTTGCGTCTTCTCAAGTGCTATCATAATATCATGAAAACATGATGTTAACGTAAAGAAGTGTCAATGTTCATGTTTTTGTTTTACATATGAAAACCAATTGGCTATGAGTAAACCTTACGGTTTAAGAATGTAAGAGCGAGGGTGACTAGGACATTAAAGAGAATCGCGAACCCGAGAATGGCTCCTACTCCGATCCAGTACCAGATTGGATCCGTGAATACGTCAAAAATCTCAAGAACAGCCAACCCTAACGTCGTGGAATTATCGGAAGACTGCCAAGGGAAGTATAAGATCTTTGTTTAACTAATCATTCAGTTTAAAAATAAAAAATAAAGAACATTTTTAATAAACAGTAGCTACCCGTTGATCCATCCATCTAGGAGCAAGCATTTCATTGACAGTCAAAGCATCGAAAGTGTAAGTCATTGGTGAAACCCAATAAGCCCATTGCCACCATACAGGAATCTCACCTATTAACAACCATCATCAAAACATAAAAACCTTAGAAATTAGTTTATTGGTGTTTTTTATGTATAAAGGTATATATAATAAAACCTCTAGGAATAATGAATCCTCCAAGCAAGAAGAGGAGGAGAATCACTAGAGATCCTCCTGTGTTTGCAAGACTCATCGATCTGCAAGTTACCGCAATGAATCGAAAAATACTACCAGCCATTTGCTGTGTCAGAAATATCACCAACAAATGCTTAAAGAACCTGCCATAACACAAAAACAAAAACAAAAAAATGTTTATAGATTAACTTTTGCATTGATTAATGAACTTGAACTTAAACTCAAGTCTCTAGTGATGTTTTGCAGCTTTAATCACCATCACTAGATAACTATATGTAACAAGTTAACATTTTGGTGGTTCAAGAATGATAATCACCTGCTGGGTTCTGGAGAAAATCCGATCAAAAAATAAGTGATGCTGACCCAAACAACGGATTCGAAGATGGAGACAGGAATGCTCAAGAGACACGTTGGGAGCGTGAAGGTCCAAGAAGGGTGAAACAAAAGGTCTCGTTGCTTGTAAAACACGGGAAGTCTTTGAATCATCAAAGCAAGCTCCGAGAATCCATTGAACATGTTGGCGATCATTGAGAACATCAACGCACCTACGTAAACGGATCCGTCACTCTCGGTCTTTGTGTGCATCTGCGTCCTCAGGTACACGGTCGACGCGACCAAGGCCATTATGATGATCTGAACAGTCTTGAAAACGTAGAAGAAAGCGTTGCGTTTTATGAGAAGCACTTCTCTGTCCCAACAGATCTTGAAGAGGTGAGATTTAGGAACAGAGTGTTTGCTGAAGACGAGAGCTGCTGGGTGTGATCTGGATCTGTCGTAAGGGACTGATAGATCATTTTGAAGATTGGCTCCGACGTGGAAGCTTTTGAATCGTTTGGAGAATTCGGACACAGGAATGTATCTGTATTGTTTTCTAGTGTCTGCCCAATACTGTTTTTGGTCTTTCTTTGAAGTTACCTGTTTGCCAAGGCAAGTGTGTCACATTGATATTTATCTATAATAATTCTAAAAGTAAGGGTATAGAGTTCATAATTTGCCATTTTGTAAGAATATAGTTTTTTTGGTAAAAGTAAGGGTATATATGAGGTCATAAATGTCATTTTTTTATTTTTTTATTTTTTGCAAAAAGATGATAGATTGTAAGAATGAATTGAAAATAAAATAGGGAATAGATATAGACCTCTTGTAAGAAATCGGCGGTTCCTTTGCGGTCGGGACATTTGAAACCGCAAGACTCAAAGAAGACAAGAACATGATCACGTGGACCTTGGTACACGATTTGGCCTTCCGACAAAAGAATGATGTCATCGAAGAGCTCGAAGGTTTCAGGAGCTGGCTGTAACAAGGACATGAAAACCGTTGCGTCCATGAACCGAACTATCTCTTTAAGGCATTTCACAATTTGGTACGTTGTTGAACTGTCTAGACCTGTCGATATCTCGTCCATGAACAATGTTCTTGTTGGTCCCACTATCATTTCTCCTGTTATTATATTGTTTGTGATGAGAAAAAAAATAGATGTGTAATTTTGTGCGTAATGGCTCATGGAGTTTATCTCATGCATCGAAGTAGGTGAAAAATGGAGGAAACTAGACCTGTTGTGACTCTCTTTTTCTGACCACCCGAAATTCCTCTTACCATTTCGTCTCCGACCACCGTATCTTTGCATATGTCAAGCCCTAGTATCTGAAGAAAAAAAATCATCAATTATCCAAAATTGCCAAGAAATTTAGACTAGATTGTTTTTTTTTTTTTTTTGAACAACAGACTAGATTGTTTAAGTTCAGAACTATTGGGGTTATTTGGTGAAAACTGAATAGAATCTTAACTTTTAGGTAAAAAGTACTAAGAAAGTAGGTAGATGTAGGGTCCACTAATTGCTTGAATCCGTGAGTTGGTTTGTTTTCAGGTGAAATGCTTTGAAAAATAAAATATGCATTTTTGAAATTTCTCCTTTGTTAACAAGTTGAGTTTGTTTTCTTTGTTATATATCTCTACTTGTTAGTAAATCATACAAATATTGGCGGAAAAAAAGAATAACACAGTATTAGTCAGAGAAAAAGACTCACCTACAGTATTAGTCTTAGACCCAAATTTCCTTGTTTTTATGTTTATGTTAAAATGTTTCAAATTTCGTTGTCAACCTATTAAATTATGAAAGTAAAACACAATACAATATTCCTGCTTAGCACTCATTAATACCTTTACTAAGTGATTAGATTGGGACCTTACACCCTATATCAGTTGAGATATTAAATTAAATATCATTTTTGACAAAATTGAGCTATCTAGATATTATTACTTCGAGAGAATTATATACTATATATTAAAGAATAATTACTCTCAGAGTGTAGTCTGTGATGAGACTGCTCTTGATATTCCCAGCTGCGATGGACTTCATGAAGAGATCCACTTCCGGTTCAGGCAATATCCCTGCATCCTTCTCTCTCCTCACCAACTCACTTAACAAATCTATAACATCACAACTAAAACTCTTGAGTTTTTTCTTAATCTTATTTCAAATCGAACTAAAGCGATTATAAGTTTATAACTACAATAGAGTATGTGATAGTTACCGTGTCTAGTGCCAGTGCCTTGGCACCTAGCAGAGAAATCAAGAGTCTCTTGGACAGTCATGACTCCTATATGAACATCGTTTTGGCTTATGTACGCTGATGTTTTTTGTGGCACAATCTCATCTAACTCATGCCCATTGTATGTTACTCTCCCTGTCACCTGTCCATTAACATCACCAATTAATTTCTTACTCTTCTTTCTATAAATTTAGTATCATGTGTATTAATTTAACCTTTAAGCTCGGGTCCAATTTTCCAGCTAATGCCAACAAAAGAGTTGTTTTCCCTGATGATGGTGGACCTAGTAAAAGTGTCATTCTGCAACGTGCATGCAACCCCACCCACAAACCAAACATTATATTACTGTAATCAACATCGAAATTATGATATAAAAACGAAAAAAAATACAGATAATTTCAAATTTGAATTACCTTGAAGGTTTGATTATACCGGAGGCATCTCTAAGGATAGTGAGTTTAGTGGTTTTAGCAAAGTTAAAGCCAAGTAAACTAAGGCCTCTCCCTAAGATGTTTAAGGCAACGTTAGGTATTGTCGGAAGAGCTCTTTTTCCGATGTGACAATCCGCCTCTATCGTTAAATTCTCGAATCTCACTTCAACGGTCGGTAACTTTATCCACACCCTGTAATAATAGTCATTTTGTATAGTTTGACCACACAAAAAAAGTCATATTGTATATGTTAGAAATTTCCCATAAAAAAAAACAGCCTAATTGTTTGTGATGTTGTTACTGTGTCACAATCCAAATTCAAGCACGCATAATACATGTTGTTGAACATTAAGAAACAATCCGAAAACATATTAATTTTGCAGATTTTTTACCAAAAACATCAGTTTAGGTTGATTTCTCATATATTATTATATAAAGAACCATTTTATATACATTGTTGAAGGAAAAATTTCAGAATCGTAACGCTTTGATAATGGATCGGTTGTATGTCTTAATTAAAAATAAAAGTCGTACAAAAATATAGAACAAATACCTATCGATTCGTTTTCTCAACTTTTCCAAGAACTTCTCGTTATCTTCCTCAGCGACTTTGAAGATAGAATCGATGAACTTCTGGCGATCATCGACGCCGAGCTTGGTGACGTCTACGAGATTATGATGTTCGATGACAGTGGTACGAAGACGAGCGAAGGTGGGGAGTTTCTCGAGAGCAGCCCATCTAAGAGCATCCTCATCATGATCATCGATCGAACCGCTTCCCCTTGAGAAATGATTATCAGTGCTCGTTACCAACTCTCCTAAGCTCTTGCTTAGGTTTCTCGACAACGTATCCATTTCTTTTGTTGGAGGACTTAGGGAAGAAGAAGAAGAAGAAGAAGAAGGCTTTGGATTATTAATGCAATTTGACTTAATGTTTTTGTTTAAACTAATGCAATTTGATTTGGTGGCCGAAGAAAATGTTTCGGTAAACAAAAAGAAAGCGTGGGGAATCTCAGCGGGTTTAGTGGGTGTGAGAGAGCCAGGAGATGTAAATTCTGTTTTATTAAGTAAAGAAAGATAATTAAGGGAATGATATATAGTGGGATTTTCTTTTTGACTATACGATACTCTTTGTCTTTGGAAACAGCAATAATTAAAGAAAATTAATACATGAATACTCCTTACTTATTTTTCATGTCATTTGAAAGCGAATAAGTTTTTTTTGGTAATTAAAATCTATAAATAAGACTACTTTTGGAGTTATAGTGACAATTGACAATATTACTTTTACGCCAATATTTGTATGATTCGCTAACAATTAGGGAGACATAACAAAACAAAAAAAGGTGTAAGATATATACATTAATTTAACAAGAAATATATGTATATATGTAGTGAGAAAGTGGAACTTAAATTCGGGTATATAAATATCATGAATAATATTGTTTGCTTTATATAACATTAGTTTATATATTAATAAAATCCAAAACTAATTAAATAGACCAAAATCTATTTTTGAGCATACACACTTGATATCAGAAAGTTCAATCTGGTCTTAAAAAAGCACTGGATTCAAAACACGTCGTACCTACAATATACTTAGTGGACTAAAAAGAGGAGATAATTGGACAAAGTTACAAACACGTCTCATTAAGCACTCAAAAAGACGACACGTGAATTAACAAAGGATTAAAGGAGCAATAGGGATTTAGTGTCCAGCTGGTTTATTTAAGGGTGGTATACTGTGTAGATAGCATGATATAACATTTCATGAATATAATGGTGGTGGTTATTGATTTTCAAATTTTAACCGATTTAAAAAATATAAGCGATATAACTTGATTTTAAAAGAAAAATATCAGTCTTGTAGTTTTTCTGAAACTACAAGATTTTCCTATCAAATCAATATAATAATTACACGTTGACAACAAAAAAAACTAATATAATAATTACACAAAATTTAGTATGCTAGTATATGATACGTTGAGTAGAAAGTAGTTAATGTTGGTAAGCTGAGTTCAGGAGGCTTAAGCCAGATATAAAATATACTAAATCAATAGTATAATAACTACACAACGTTAAATATTTTGTTGAGTTGAAGCATAAGCATTGAGAAAATACAATGTACCATTCTGTCCCAACTGAAGATCGAAAAAGGGGACAAAAGTCATCGCATGAAGAGGGTAAGACCACTAACCCCACAACTCAGTTGATGCCATATAATATTTCAAGTGACAACATAAAAACGTGTAGAGCATAATTAAATTAATACATAACCTTGACTACTTTTTTTTTTGTTAAACGATATTCTGTTGCTATTATAAACAAATGGATACAGGTGTGAAAGCAAATACAAAAATCAAGAAAACGAATTTGCACCAGATCCTAGAGATTGCGTCTAGGGGAAAAAGCCCCAACATTAACTACTCTTTTCTTCGAGTTTTTTACTCTTTGATACTTGAAAACTGAAATCATCATTATGTCACAAATTTGTTTGACGCCGACGTCATTATGTAATATCACGTCAAACTCGAAGAATATTAGGAGATATATTCTTGGGACACATCGGAAACAGTCGTATAACTCCGTTCACCTTTAGAAGCCGGCAAGCTAATCAATGCACGGCTTTGTTTTGCCAGGAGGGCTTATACGTTCCCGGTTTATCATGCTTTACTTGAGGCTTCAAACAAATGGGCCTAATACTTAAGATTGTGAGGCCCAAATAAGATAGTTCATCATAAAGCCATACTATCCAAGCATGTGCATTATCAACTCTATGTTAAAAAAAAGTGTATGAATTATCTAACTATATTTTATTAGAAAGCAATTATCACTGGATCCGTTGTTTATTATAATAAACGATCGTTGCGTTTGTGTGTTATGTTTGTGATTGAATTGTATTTATTGCTGTTAAAATAAAAATGTATATGGTTTAAGAACCAAGTTAAACGCGAAAGAAAAAGTTGATTAATTGCTTGTTCTTGATGCTTTGGTTTGCCTTTGTATTCAAAAAAATTTCCCGTGTTTGGATCTATAAAATTTGTGAATAATATTGTTTTATCTTTAAAATGTTAAAAACAAACACTGAAACAATCAAAGTCCAACTGTTGTTACAGGGTGTATTAAGTTGGAAAGAAAAATAACCAAGTGATTGTAGTTTAATAGTTGAGTTGAAGAGGTGAAGAATTTGTCATGTGAGTCGATGCCATGATTCGTACGACCAACTACGGATTTCCATTATTGGGTTTCTATTTGGCTATTGCAAACGTTTGTTAAAAGTATATTTTTAATTATTTTTAAATCATCAGGAACAGTCTGGATTTCGGTCCAATAGCTATCTCGTTGTCACCAAAAAAAAGTTTAGTGTACAATCAGGATTCAAAGAAAATAATTAAAAAGGATTCTCTTATCCAATAGGAGCACACAAAATATTTGAAGCAAGTCTTTACAGATTATATATCTTCTATTAAATCAAACAAAAAAGGGCACTCACCTTAGTCCTTACAAAAGCTTACAACACCATCTAGATGTTTTTTTAGAAGACCTAAATTCCTTCAATTTATAATGTTATTCATTAAAAGTTGAAATAATCATACCCTTTTAAAAATAAAAAAGTTGAAATAAATCAAGCGGTATCACCATATTAAGGGCCTAACTGGTTTAACCGCTGCGGTTGCGGTTGCGGGTGCGGGAGTTTGCGGAAGCGGGCGGTTGTGATTAGTAGCGTTATTAAGCGGTTTGTACGACTGGCATAACAATTGAAAATGGATGCGTTTGCGGGATACTTATGACTGGTTCACTTGCGGATGCAATAGCGGTTAAACAATAAATTAATAATATAAACACATTATATAATTATAAAAATATCAAAACTATATTATAATGAAAATTTTAAATTTATGGTTCAACATAATTAAAAATATTTTTTTATAAAGAATAATATGTGTATAATACTTACGTCTATTTTTAATTTCTATAATTTAAATAAAAAATGTGATTTTATTTTCAAAATATATATTTAATGTGAAAATTAAATTTATTTTACAATTTTATTTATTAGATATATATGTATTAGTATGAAAAGAATATTTATGAAGAGAATTTTGATTTGTAGAACTTATAAATATATAAGTATTATATGATTTTAATGAATATTGACTAAAAGTACTAATTTTTTATTTATATTGTGATTTTATTATCCAAATCTTATTTTTTAATAAATATTATTATTTATTTTCGGATTTTATATAAGTTTGTGTTTTTTTTTTTTTTAATTATCCACCCGCAACCGCCCGCAACCGCAAACGCTTGCGGAAAGGAGCTTTTGATTTTCAGCGATATAGAGCGGTACAGAGTGGTATAGAGCGATTCAAAGCGGTTGTCGTGATTGTTATAAACCGCCGAAAACCGCTACGAACCGCAAACGCTGCGTTTGCGGGTGGTAGCGGGAGAACCAATCAGGCCCTTATAGTCTCCGTCTTCTCACCATTTTTTTATTCGATGCATTTTATTTTATGACATGTTAAATTATGGCAAAACGGTTTTAAAACTACTGAAAAACAATAAATTTCTAAACTCTGACCAAGCAGCCATCAAACAGTCCAATATTTTGTTGTTAAATCGGTTAGAAGTATTTGAGGAATCAAAAATTTAAATCGTTTAGTACGTGTTTATTTTATTTTCCGAAGCCTTTAAGGCTTTAACAAATATTTTTACCCAAAAGTATCATGAGGAAAAAACTATTTGGGTAAGACATTGCCCAAAACATAAGTAATGATTGGATTAGCTAAACAAAAATCGCAACCTATGGACTTAAAGTTGTATTAATATACATATGATTATGTCTACATATCGACTAAGGGGAAGAACATGCTAAAACCCCCTATTGAGAAGAACATGCATGCACAAACTTGCTTTTCATTTTTTGTTTTACTCTTTAACTTTGGAAATGTAAAGAGATGGAATTAAAATGGTCATATTCACTTATGAAAAGAAGTTCTTATTTGACTTCTAGCCTTTTGTTGAGTGTGGCAGATTTGTTGTTTTATGAAAAGAGTTCAAAGTTCAAACTCGTGAAAGTGAAACACAAAGAGAGTAGTTTCGTATCTCGCTGTTGGTATCTTTAACAAAAAAGTGGAAAAAAATGAAAATTAAAGAAACAAGTTGGAAAGAAAAGGAGAAAAAAGCTACTTTCTCTTTTCTTTTCCTTTAAGGAAAGAGCCAAACAGCTTGCTTGCATGGCCCTTTTCGGCTTTACGACGTACACACGAGTTTTTTTTTGTTTCTTTTCAATCTCAATAGACATTTTCTTCTTGCTACATGCACGACTATATTTATTATTACAAGCATTGAAAATATCTTCTTGTACACGAAGAAAGAAACAAACAAACATTAGATTAACACCATAATTGTTATCTATATGTCAACACCAAAACCAAAAACTCGCGTAGTTTTCTTCTTATTTAATAGATTTTGATACTAATGGCTGGAAATTCTAAGATTAGAAACAATTACTTCCTTTAAATTGACATGAGCATATATGTTCGTTCTTGGGATCCCGGCTCCCTACTTGACATTCACACTTAAGATAACGCTTACGTTCTTTAGCAACCATTTTCTTTAAGCATTCCTTGTTTGCGTTGACGCCGCATTTTCCAGGGAACACAACCCCCTCCCAACACTCATCACCGGTGGTAGAAGGTGCTCCAGCAGCTTTCACATCTATTTAATAAAATGGTCAGGCCTATATGTATATACAAGATTTAGCAATACAACAATATTAAATTACGCCACTCTATAGACGAACTTTTTGCAATTGTTAACCATCAGTGCTTCCAAATGCTTTGAGTAACAACAACAAAAGCAAAAGACGAGTGCGATATCTTACCTTCAACATGATTTGTAATGAAAAGGACGAAAACACAAGAAACCATAAACAAAATAGTACACCTCATGACTCAAAAAATCGACAAAGATTGTCTTTATTACTTGGAGGAATCTATTAATGTTTATATTGCTCTCGTAATAATAAAATTTTGGGTCAACATTCGTAACAAAGTACACTAACCACACGGTAAAATACTTATTCCGGCTGAATTTTAGAAAAGAAAAGTACAAGGATGGAGCCAAGTCAATATAATCGATGGAATCGGTTTATTTTTAGAACATTATTTTTAGTTAACTTCACTTCTTCTTATCTTATATTTTGACTACAAATCATACTTGAGCAATTGTGAAGAATTTTACATACGCATATATATGGTGGTTACTGGTTAGGTACTTTGGTTTCGTTTTAAGGCCACCGATATGTCATCCTCGACGTGTTTCATCAACTCATTTTGTTTACTATGAAATTTTGAGTTTCTTAATTATTGAGAAAATAAATCGTCTCAACTGTAAATTTTCAAATATTCAAAGAAAATAGTCACTTAAAGATCCATTACATTCTCCAAATTAGTGTAGAGAACTGCCACTCAACAATTTTTTATTACTGATAAATCTAATTTCATCAAGAAATGAGAAAATAATCCCCACCCTCCCACCAAAATTTCTTATTACAACTTCGGAACTAAATCAGCAATAAAGGGAGAAACTACATAGGAAGAGAACGAGAGAAGAACAAAAATGAGATTTTATTAGTTAGGTGAGAACTCGATCATCTTCTTTTGCTGATTCAAGTTCTTGTAAAACTTCTTTATAAATTCCTCCGCCGCTTTGTCCACGTGTCCGTTAGCCACGTCACCATCTTCCCGTAACGGGAACGGTGAGTCCGTCACCCGTAAAGGCCTCACTAACGAAGAACTCCGTCCAAACCCCGGCAAGTATGGAGATAAAGCCGTCAAAGCCTCGACGGACAAACCCGGCGTGTTACTTCCCTTATCATGATCTCCGACGCCGTTGAGAAGCTCCAGCACAGCTCGGGAGGCGAAGGTATCGTCGTCCAGAGTAGATGGCGCGTTACCACACGCGAAGAGACCAATGTGGTGACTCTTCTTCTTGAAGGCAGCGATGTTAAAGGGGAACGAGTAGTTAGGAGTGTCGCTGCAGCTAAACTCGTATTCTTTCCGCGGCTGCGACGTGGTGGTAGAGGCGGTGGCTGGGACGCGGCGGCGGTTGTGGAACATGAGATTCTTGCCGCGTTTGAGAGTTGCGTTAAAGTCGGCGAGGAGCTTATGTTTTGAAATGCCTTTGTGTAACATGTACAAGACAAAACGTACGATGTTCCATAGCTTCTTGCTTATTGGTACGTTCTTCTCCATCTTTTGAATTAGAGAGAGAGAGAATGAGATTATTGTTTTTTTTTTTAATGTTTTTGGCTTTGAGTTTTGCTTATGGGCTAAGGGATCAATGTGTGTGGGATTTATAAAGGGGAGAGAGATAAAGACTTTTCTACAACGTACTTAAACGTGGAACATTAGTTTATGTTTGTTGTTAAATAAATAGCTTTATGATGATGTCAAAAAAAATATAGCTTTATGATTTTTAAAACCCAAATGGAAAAGAAGAAGAAAATTTGAAATTCTTTTATCAACTTTTGTTGTACTTTAGATTGCACTATGTATAATAGCCATCTATATATGGATATTAGGTCGTGCTTTTTCTATATAAAATAAATTAACATGCATACAAAATTTAACTAGTGTGGGTGTATAATGACTTCACCTTCTACTATGATGGTATATACGCTTTTACAACTGCATCTTTTTACTTTAAAATTTTCCTTTTAGACGGAATTGGCTAAAAACAAACTATATTATTGCCTTTGTGGTTGTGTAATTTGTAAGACCTTTTGTCTTTATACTTTACTTTTTAGTTTGTCTTAAAAGTTTAAATCCTTCACCAGATAGTTACCATTGGTGTGTAATGAGGGCCACAAATTTAGGCAAAGAAAAAAGTAAGTTCAATTGAAACACAAGTCCAAGTTTAAATCAAGAATGGCAAATTCAACCCAACTTTATGCAAATCTCTGCAATTACCCTTATTTCATTCAGTAAGTGAAATTAGCAAAGTTTTGTTTTAGGGTTAATCCTATCTCAAGACTAATCTAAAGATGAGACTACAAATGACTTTGGTTTATACGAGAAACCATCACTGAGGGTGTATACGTATACCTACTTAATTAGTACTTAGTACTTACACAAAGAATCTAGAGATCCTCCTCCATCATCAACTCGTTTGGTACTATCAACCTCTCCATGTAAGCCTGTAGGCACAGTGCAAAAAAATTTCTATCAAACCCAAAACTGAAAATGTTACCATAACACTCGTAAACCAAAATGTGACCATGGTGAATTTCTAACCTTTATCCTGACAGCATCAGATGGAGATGGTTTTAAATCCAAAGCAATGCCGAAGTGTAGCACAGCTTTGTCGTATAGCTTTAGCTGGTTGTAGATATTGCCAAGCAACGCATGGACGCTGCTCTCTTGAGGAGCACAATCTTTGAGCTCTTCTAAAACTTTCCTAGCTTTGTGATAATCACCAAGCCTGGCTAATATGTTAGCCTTGTAGTACTTTGGGAGCGGATTCCTTGCATCAGCGATTATTGCCTTCTCCATCATCTTCAATGCCTCATCGTTCCTCTGCAAAAATATCATCAGTCTTCAAGCTTAATCTCACAGATAAATCAGAACATTACACAGTCATAAAGAGTTAATAAATGATAGATAAGGTTCCAAGTTCCAACCTTTGATTCATGCAAAGCAATCCCAGAGTAACACATGATGACTGAAGATCTTGGGTTTATCCAGAGAGCCTGTTGAAACTGATGCTGCGCAAACTCATGTTTCTCTTGATGAAGGTAAGTCATTCCAAGACCGTACCATGCATTATAATGTCTTGTATCTATGCTCAGTGCCCTCCGGTAACATTTCTCTGCGTCTTCAAATTCTTCCAATGAAGCAAGCCTGTGAAGCCAAGGTGAGACTGTATGTTATTAATGTACATGTTTGGCTACATGCAGAGAAAGACGAACAAAAAGAGATGCATCGAAAAATATTCTTACTCGTGGCCACAAAGGGTATGCGCGTATGTGAATCTTTCATTCAACTGTATAGCTCTCTGAAACATTTTGAGAGCAGTTTCATGATCCTTACGCAAACTGTAGCAGTTTCCAACAGCACACCTGCGATTTCACATTGCTAACACAGTCATTACAGGGAAAAATTCCAAGCCAAAAGAAAAACTCTGTACACAGACATATGTGGTTGAGCATATTGTTAATGAAGGTGATACCATGTTTCTGGAGATAAGCGGTCAACTGAAATCAGCTCCTGAGCCAAATAGCCCAATCTCATCTCTTCTTTCAAGTGCTTCAAAAACAAATACAAGAAATCACTACAAGTAACACAAATAACATGGAACCTTGAAGGTTGAAGGTTGATCTAAATTCAAGTTCTACATGCTGGTATTGCAACAGAGAGTCAACATCATAAGATAATATTCAAGAGTTAGCTCGAAGGCGGTTCACAATGAATAGCAGGAAAAATTTGCAAATGATGAAAATAAGCTCACATAAAGAACAGTGGAGTACGTATCCATTCCTTCCAAAGCATAAGGAGACTTTTGATGAGCAAGAGTAAAGACAGAGTCAGCTTTGAAGTAGTCTTGTAGCTCAAAGTATGCTTTTCCAACCTATGTCACAACCAACCCAAATATGAATTTAGAAAGAAAAAAGCGTCAATGAACTACTGGCTTGAATTTCCAATAGAGCAGATCACAGAAAGAGCCACTCATATAGTCATATTATATTACCTGCAAGAGAACCCAGTGTGTATTGTATTGTTTCTGAGATAGCTTTTGGTATACCAACAAAGCTTCCTGCAGAAATATCCAATTTTGTCACTTTTTGGCTTCGACATCAGTAGTTTAACGTTGAGGCAGAGATTATGTACCTGAAAATTGTACATAAGTAAATGCCTGTGGCCATCTCCAAGAAGTTTCAGAAGGTTTAGCACTTCTGAAATTCCAGACATGATGTTGAAAGGTTCCGGCGAAGATCCACTAGGACTAGGATTTGAATTTTCCTCATCATCAACAGAGCTTCCAGTGTCACTTATAGACTGGCCTGACGACGTCGCTGCATCATTTAGAGTAACAGTATCAGGAACCCCATTGACATATATGTCCAAGTCACATTGTCATGAAAAACACTTAAGCCACCTAACTATTTACATCATGAATATTAACCAGAGATCTCTCTTTTTCCTCAGAAGTGCATTAAAAGACAATAACCAGTTGATGCTCTATATCTCGGTTAAGAGGACAGAAAAGGAAAACAAACTAGAGGGAAAACATCACCTTCCTTGCTGCTTTGGATTCTGTATTTTCCAATCATGGAGGAAAGAGATGGCACACAGTTTGACTCGGAAGGTGAAAGATGTAACCAATGGGAATCTTTTTCAAATGACTGCGACATAGGAATCTTTCTCCTTGCTGCTATTCTTGCACTCCGGCGACGCCCAGATTCTTCTGGAACCTTCAAGATAGAAGATCAATAAATCAACAGATTTGTTCCAGCCACAGAGCTGGCAGATAAAAACCAGGTGGAGAAGCTCTATGTTATAATATATGCAACCAAGGTAACTGTTCGCAAATGCATTAAGGAGGAAACTCTTATGGAAAAACGGAAGAAAGCATTAAAGGTTACTGCAGATTTATAACCTCTGCTGACACATCCTCACTAACAAACTCTCCTCGAGACTCTCCATGTACGTACATCAATCCTTCCACTGCTGGACGACGCATATTCTTATAGAGCATAGGTGGTGGAGCCTCCAATGCCTGAAAAATAAAGATACTTAGAGATAAGGAACCTCAAGGAGGTAATACTATAGTGCAAACATTCAGAAAAATGATTATTTTGAGCTAGAAACAGTAACTAATGCGTCCTCAATAAAGATCACCTGTAAAAGCACTGGAGAAGGCGTGTTCAAGTCCCATCCATTCGTGTGAGAAGCACTGTTATGTGCCTTGTCAATACCTGAAGGAATATCTACTGCAAGCTGCTTAGTTTCCATATTTTGTTGGTTCTCTTCTGGAACATCTTCTGGTTGCCATAAACTTGTATCTTTTGTTGAGGCCTTATCAGAATCTGTACGCTGGTCTATAGTATTGGTTTCTCCTTCTGAGAAGTTTATTCTTTGTGAGACGCAAGTCATCTGAAGACGCTGAGCAGCCACATTGCCGAAAACCGTAGAGGCTTCTTCAGCGGCACCTGAAAAGGTGATGGCAGATCGCCATATAAAAGAAACAACTCTGTTGTCTCACGTTTCCATCTCGAATAACCGAAACATAAACTGATAAATACATGACTCATATAGAGCTTTGACTTACCTAAACTACAAAGTTCTCTATATGCTTCCCAGCACAATGGATCAAACGACAAGGCCTTCCTAAACTGTTGTATTGAACTGTTCTTCCTCCCAGCGTATCTGGTAGCATGTAACAGAGAGCAACACACATCAGAAGCTAATACCATCAAAAGTTAAGAGATGCAGCAAATTAACAAGCTTGTTACAGCATCACTAAACCAAGACAGAGAAGTTTTAAGAATGTGAGAGCCAACAATATCTGATATAGAGCTTTCAAAGTCAATATTCGTCACCTATATATAAGACCGAGAAGATAATGCCCGGCTGCACCACCAGGAATCTGCATGTTAAAAATACAACCTTGGTCAATTTTTCACTCCCAAATGACTATATTATCATTTCCATGGAAAAGTCAGTTTCTCAAAGTTTTAGCAAGAGAAGAAGAAAAGCAAATGCCATATTACTTCTTCAACATATTCTTCACTGGGCAACAAAGAGGCTTCAGCTTCTCCATGAAGTTCCAACTTGAAGCATGAGAATGCAAACAGATACCGAGACTGAGGCGTTTTTGAACCTTTGGATTCAAAAAAATATGTTTAAAAGATAAAACAACCAATATACACAAGGTGTTGCATTTATAAGCAGAGGCTGGAAGAATGTAGTTACCTTTGAGGATATAATATGCACTATAAGCTTGGCTATTACTCAAGTAACACCTTGCTAACAATTGCAGGTTCACCTACATAATGAAGGTCAAATTCGAGTTAAGGTTTTGGAAAAGAAAAAAAAGCCTCAATTTGGCTAACATATCTACTGATAAGCTAACAGAGACATGATTTAGAAGTCCACAAACACACAATTTTTTCAATAAAAAAGCTTTAGTGTCGGAAGAAATTCACAAAATCAACCCGGAATCATAAACATTTCAGTCAAATTGAATGTTTACCCAATTTTAAACTTCCTCGAATCCAACTGGATAGAGAAAGAGTTTAATCCTTGAAAACGCCCAGAATTCGATTCTGCCTAAACAAATTCGAGAATCCTTTATTCGGGGAAAAGAAAAAATGATAGAGCTAGAAGATCGGATCAGACAGCGAGAGAGACAGGAACCATTTGTAATTAGAGAAAAATCGAAAAGCAAAACGAAATCAGTCCTTAACCGATGAAAATCATTTGATCGATCACGAGAAATTGAAATTGGGAAATCGGAAAAAGAAGGAAAATGAACACCTCAGAGGGGAATTCGGCGAGAAGACGTTCGCAAAGGAAGATGGCGTTGGTGAGCATGAATTGGCTAAGGTTTTTCTCGACGCAATTCACCAGTAAGGTCTCCATATCTCTGATGGTGACGACGAAATTGAACGATGAGAAGAGGGCAGTGACACCAGAAGAAAATGGGTGTGTGTAATGTTGTCGCGTATCAGCAAATCTCGCGCCGCTAAGGAATTTCAAAAGCCTAACCTTCTCACGCGACAAGCGTGTGAGCTTTGTGACGACACGCACCTACAGCCACAAAATCGCGTTTGGTGTTTAGCTTTAGGGAGAACCGCGTTTAAAATAGATGTCAATTTCTCCCGGTTTTTGTCACTAAACAATTAGGAATAACAAGAATTCTCCTTTGACATTAATTTATTTTATTCAGTCAAAGAAGATAGCACAAACCGGATAAAGATATCATTGTGGTGGCTTCACATTGTCACTAAAACCTAAGATTAGCTTCTCTACAGGCAAAAATAAAATAAACCGGATGAATTTACTTTACCGCCAATCTGCCATTAAGTTTCCATCATGATGAAGTAGGATTTGTTGGTTTAATTATCCCAAGTGCCATGCAGTTTTATTTATTTTACCAAAAGAAAACTGCATAGATGCCGTGACTATCTATCTATATATAAAGTTCATGTGATTCTCTTCTCAAGCTGCCACTTCAACAAAAGAGAGTCTAAATTCATCATTTCAGCACAAACATTTAATATATAATATTTTCTCTTATGGATTTGTCCTGCTGGAAAAGGAAATGAATGGTTTCTTGATGGGGGTGACAGCTTTCAGGATGAAGCTGAAGACATCACCAACAAACGCTCCGATGACTGCGTGGAGGCTAAGAGCGGTTTGGTCCCAGGAGGAGAAAGTTTCCGGCATGAACCTTTCCAATGGTTTCTTTGCCATTGCTTCTGGATCTGACCGGATTTCACTCATGTAGAGAACGCCCGGTGTTGTTAGCTGGCAGAAAGATTTAAAGGAAACTGGGATACCCAACCCAACAACAACTTTGTTTAAATAATAAGTTAATGTTGCCCTTTGTTACTTGTAAAGCTCTTGTTCTTTTTTTTTGGCATTGTCCAATATGTCAAAAGCTATATATATGGATTCAATAGACACAATCAAAAATACAAAGAAATAAAAATCTCAAACTAATGTGTCTAAATTTTGTAAAAAAGGTAAGACTATTTAAATTAGTAGCTTGCCCTTATCTTACACATTGTGGATGAACTTCACAAATATGAGACTTAAGTCTTTCAAGCCACTTTTCCCACCTCTTGTTGCACGAGTCCGGTTTTTCCAAAGCTTGTTGCATGATCTTGGCCGAGCAGCTATTGCTGTTAGGTTTACTGTCACTCCAGTAAATCAACCCGATATGATTACTCTTAAATGTAGCTAATATGATTACTCTTAAATGTAACTAAAATAATATTGAAAACCCGATAAAATCTTTGAATAACATAAAATACTTCAGTTCCGCTATTTAATAAAGAGTAATATTCATATAATAATTCTATAATAAACATATTTCATTAAGTAATAGAAGCTCGACTTCCGTAGAAATATTATTTTCGTTAGGAATTCTCACTTTCCACTGTCAAATAATATATATTATCGTACGGCAATAATTTCGATTTCAATCTAATTGATTTAGAGTCAAATAATCTCCATTGCTTTTTTAAACTTTGGAAAACATATATTTTATTCTAAAAAAAATATTGAAGCACACCATTAAATTTGATTGCCAAATAAAAACGTTTGGGCTGACTATTCCCAAATAGGCCCAAATTCAGCCCATATAATGTGAGTTACAAACGCGAGATCATCATCTTCTTCATTTTCACAAATCTCTTTGAACTTTTTTGAGTTTTCATCAGACTCTTAATTCTAGGGTTTATTTCCTTCCCTCCGCTCCCCTGAGCTCGAGCTCGGGAATCCTAAAGCGGAAGCTTCAAACACCTCTATCTGCACCTCCAGGTTCGCTACATCTCTCTCCATCGATTCCTCCAATAGTATGATTCTTCTTATTTGTTTACGGTTCTCGATGATTTGAGGTTGAAAAGTCCAGTCGGCAAACTTTAGATTTCGTCGAGCTTCTTCTCATTTTTCTGTTTGATAGAATACCAAACAATTGCTACTCCGGGAACCTTTGAAATCCCAATCTAGTCATGTAGATTAGAGTGACCTAATTGATGTTGAGAGCTTTTCTTCTGCAACTGTGATCAAAAGCAAAACGATTTGTTGCCTTTTTGCAGGGAGATATAACACTGTCTTGAGTAAAAAATGAGTGCAACAGCTCACAAGACGCCTAAATCAGGGAGACAATCTCTGCTCTTTCAAGATTTAGCTTCTCCTGTTTCAGCACGCAGAGGGAAATTCTCAACCCCGGGCCAGGCAGCTGCGGTATCTGCACTATGGCGTGAGAATTTCGGAGGATCGGATCTTCCACCACCTCCGATGTACACTTTAGATGACCGGTCTGATTTCTCTCCAGAGTCTGGCATTGCAGACTACTCGGGCTCTCCGGATCTCAAATCTGAGAGAAGAACGCCTTTCCAGAGCTCTGGGAAAAACTTTGTAACTCCTGGGAAAGGGAAGTTAGAAGCAAGTCCGTCTTTTTCTCTACGGAGTGCACAGCAGAGTCCGCAAGTTTCAGCGAGTCCGAGTTGGTGGTCACAGTCTAAAGCAGGTGGTAGTAGTAACGAGCAGGATGATAAAGGGAAGGGATCTCCTGTTGAAGGTGTGATTCAGCCAGGTGCATTGGTCACTCTTCCACCACCAAGAGAAGTTGCTAGGCCTGAGGTTCAGAGGCAAGTTATACCCACAGGGAACCTTGAAGAGGAAGAGTGGGTCACCGTCTATGGGTAAGCCTTGTTTAATCTTTATAGCTCTCGTTTCTTGTCGTCTCTAGTGTTGCTTTACTGTTGTGAATGCTCTTTATCTGTGTCTGAAATCCTAGTTGCATGGTTAATAATTGTTATATTGCTAGTGTTGCTAGTTATGCTAATCATACTTAAATATGGCTCAGCTTTTGATTGTGGATTCTCTCACTCTTTAGATGGATAACAACTGGTTTAGTGATTGACTGATAGTGTTAGAAAGTGCCTTATCTTGTGTCTGTCTTGCGCATTTTTGAGAACTGATGATGATAAACTGCTTTCAGATTTTCTCCAGGTGATACAAATTTGGTACTACGAGAGTTTGAAAAGTGTGGTATGATCTTGAAACATGTTCCTGGTCCAAGGAATGCCAACTGGATGCACATCCTCTATCAGGTAAGCATTCATAAATACATAATAATGATCTAACTGAATCTTCTGAATGAAACTAGAGAAGTAAGCAATCGGTCTGTGTATTTGATGCAGAATCGGTCTGATGCACAGAAAGCTCTGAGCAAAGCCGGGATGATGATCAATGGAGTGGTAATAGTAGGAGTGAAGGCAGTAGACCCGATACAGAGGCAAGCGTTAAACGAAAGACTGAACAACCAAGGGTTCATGCCTTTGCCTCCACCATCCTCCACTAGAGACTCTGAGTTTAACACGGCGAGGCCCTCTTCTCGTCCTCACTACTTGCAAAACGGAAGCGCATTCGCACCTCAACCAAGTGGCGGCGGCGGCGCCATGGCCTCTCCATCGAAGTCGGTGGTCACGAAGTTCTTTGACTTGATGTTCGGTGTTTAAAATCTTCCTTCCTTACACAGATAGTTTGAAGTTTTGTGAGAGAGAGAGAGAGAGAGAGAGTGAGTTTGTACTTTGTATTGACGACAGCTATAATTGGTATAAATCTGATTATAAAAATCTCTTCTTTTTTTAGCATTTCTTGTGTTGTTTGTATTCGTTTGAGCAGACCGAGGTCGTGTCTCGTACAGAACGACTTCAAAGACACTGATTACATGGAACCTGAGAAGCCCTCACGGGCTGGTGTTTTGAACCTCCACTGTAAACTAGCCACGTGTCCAGTATCTGTCTTTATAAACCCCGTCTTTGGCTTTCGTTTAGTTTCATTCTGTATCCATAGAGAGAGACATAATGGCGAAAGCAACGGAGCAGAAACAAACTTTGAATTCGACCGTTGCGGTGAAAGAGACGAAGCTCCAAATCCGAGAAGTTGTCCCAACAGCCACAACTTACGGCGAGGATAACCGTCACAGCCTCACTAGACGCAGTGACGTGGCAATGGTTGTGTTAAGAGCCATGTGCGTGGCGGTATCGGCTGTGGCGGTTTCTCTTATGGTGACAGCTCGTGAGACTAGCATGACCACTCTCTACGGCTTCGAGTTTCAGCTCCACGCCGTTTGGTCTCTCTCAGATTCCTTAATGTAAGCCAATTTCATTATCACACCACATAATAAATGTGAACATCGACTGTAAGAAGAATCACGAGTAGTGATCTCGTTTTTACAGATATCTAGTGGTGGTTTCATCGGCGACGCTTCTTTACTCATTGGTCCAACTGGTTATAAGTGGAACAAGGCTAATGAAGAAATCTCCGGTGATTCCGACAAGAAGCCAAGCATGGTTTTGCTTCGTTGCAGATCAGATATTGGGATATGCGATGGTGAGCGGAGGATCTGCGGCTTTAGGAGTGACGAATATGAACAGAACAGGAATCAGACACATGCCTCTTCCCAATTTCTGCAAATCTCTCGGTTTCTTCTGCGACCATCTCGCTCTCTCCGTCGTCTCCGCTTTGTTCGCGTTTCTCCTCCTCGCCGTTTCTTCTCTTCTCGACGTTCTTCGTCTCTCACGCCACTGCTAGAGAATATTTACTGTTTTACCCTTTTCTGTACCTTTTTTGTTTCCAAATTCAGTCTGTCTGATGTTGTATTTCATCACGCAATAATCATGTTATTTGAGTCATATGTGTGATTTTTGGCATTGTTTGTTTCAACCGATGTCAGCGAAATTTTCGAATTCCAAAGTTTTGAATTTTGTTGACCAAGCGACGACGACAAGAAAATAACGACAAGTTTAAATTGAAAAGCACCCGCGAAAAATAACGACTGCCAAGTTGCCGCGTATTCGAGAACGCATTTTTAGCGTCTGGATTTTCGAACGGTAAACGCAGCGTTTTATTCGAAAGTTTTAAATTGAGAACTGGGCTTGACGTTGGGCTTTATGAAGCCAATTTTGTATACACAGTACTGTTCTCGTGTTCAGCTTCTTGTAATCTATCTCTTCGCCTGAGAAATGACTCTGCACGAAGCTCTCTTCTCTGAGTTTTAATGGCGATCACTCTATATCCTCTCGCTTGGTTTATTGCAATTCACTTCTCCATGTAAGTGGAATTCACCTTCAGTCTTATCGAATTACATCATGGCTTGTCGTTTCCCTCTGCATTCGTCGCCACACTCTCAATTCCTTTCTCCGGAAAACCGTCAGAGAATCCTGAGATTTCCCAGAAATTACCCCTCAATTTCATGTCAAAACACGAGTGATGCTCATGATGATGACGGCGATAACGAAAAATCCAAGGCAAACCAAGTCAATCTTCTCGCCATACCAATCACACTCACTGTAATCTCAGCTTCTCTTGCCCAACCGTCGTTTGCTGCTGCTGCGGCGGCGAAAAAGGTATCCGAGAGAAAGAAAACCCAGAAGAAACCTCCGGAAGCTCTGACCCTTGAGCAGCTAAAAGCATGGTCCAAAGATCTTCCTGTAGTTTCGAAACGCATACCTTACACTGAGATTTTGGCCTTGAAGTCTCAAGGTAAGCTTAAGCATTTGATAAAGCCTTCAGGTTTAAGTCTGCGGCAAAAGGCAGAGCCTGTGTTAGTAGTATTAGAGGATTCTCAGGTACTGAGGACTGTGTTGCCTTCTTTAGAGGGTAATAAGAGGTTTTGGGAGCAATGGGATGAGTTAGGGATAGATTTAGCATGTGTTAATGCCTATACTCCTCCGGTTAAGAGGCCTCCGGTGCCGACTCCTTATTTAGGGTTCTTATGGAAAGTGCCTGCTTATATGTTGACATTGGTTAAGCCAAAGAAGGAGTCGAAACGTGCCGCTGAGTTGAAGAGAATGAGGGAAGGTTTCAAGAGGCAGAGGAAGGAGGAGATGGAGAGGATGAAAGAGGAAAGAGAGATGATTGAGAAGACGATGAAGGCGCAGAAGAAGCAGGAGGAGAGGAAGAAGAGGAAGACGCTTAGGAAGAAGAAGTACGAAGAGTCTTTGCGTGAGGCGAGGAGAAATTATAGAGATATGGCAGATATGTGGGCGAGATTGGCTCAGGATCCTAATGTGGCTACAGCTCTTGGACTGGTGTTCTTTTATATATTCTACCGTGTGGTGGTGCTCAACTATAGGAAGCAGAAGAAGGATTATGAAGACAGGTTGAAGATTGAGAAGGCGGAAGCTGACGAGAGGAAGAAAATGAGGGAGTTGGAGAGGGAGATGGAGGGAATTGAGGAAGAGGATGAGGAGGAAGAGGAAGGAACGGGTGAGAAAAATCCATACTTGCAGACGGCAATGAAGTTCATGAAGTCAGGAGCACGTGTGAGACGTGCATCGAATAAGAGACTGCCTGAGTATCTGGAGAGGGGTATAGATGTGAAATTTACAGATGTTGCTGGGCTTGGGAAGATTCGTCTTGAACTCGAGGAAATCGTCAAGTTTTTCACTCATGGAGAGATGTACCGCAGGAGAGGGGTCAAGATACCAGGTTGGATGTTTTGACAAGTATTGGCTTTACTTATATCACCAAGTTATATAACCTATGAAACTCTGCTGTTTGATCATCTCTTTGATTTTGTGTTTTCTTTAAGGTGGTATTCTTTTATGTGGGTCTCCTGGAGTTGGAAAAACTTTACTGGCAAAAGCTGTAGCTGGTGAAGCAGGAGTGAATTTCTTCTCTATCTCTGCTTCTCAGTTCGTTGAAATATATGTTGGTGTCGGTGCATCTCGTGTGCGAGCATTGTACCAGGAAGCTAGAGACAATGTAAGTCATATAACTTTGCCTCAGGAACTTGATTATGACTTTCAGATGCTTTTTAAGATCATTAAAGGTATACCTCTTGGCTGCTTTTCTGATGATTCTAATTGCTTGATGATGATTCTGTCTATTACTGTATGCTAATTTTTAAGCTGGTCTCACTCACTGCAGGCTCCGTCTGTGGTCTTCATTGATGAATTGGATGCTGTTGGAAGGGAGCGTGGGTTAATAAAGGGCTCTGGAGGACAAGAAAGGGATGCTACTCTTAATCAGGTTCAAGACATTTTTAGATTGTGTAACTGTCTACTTCGTTTTTTAACTGAATGATAAATGTATTGCTTTTCGTTTGGTGAGACAGCTCCTTGTATCGCTAGATGGTTTTGAAGGAAGAGGGGAGGTGATTACCATCGCTTCCACAAACAGACCAGACATTCTAGATCCTGCACTCGTGAGGCCTGGAAGGTTCGACCGCAAAATTTTCATTCCTAAGCCTGGTCTTATTGGACGGATGGAAATTCTGCAGGTAATGGCGGTGGTGTCTGCATATAAGTACCCTTCAACTTATTAATTTTGTGAAAATTCTTCTGTAAATTAGAGTTTTAATTTGTCCTTTGATTCATCTTTCTTTTGATTTTGCTGCTTAGGTTCATGCTCGTAAGAAGCCGATGGCTGAAGATTTGGACTATATGGCAGTTGCTAGCATGACAGATGGCATGGTTGGAGCAGAGCTTGCTAATATCGTTGAGATAGCAGCAATAAATATGATGCGTGATGGAAGGACAGAGGTAGGATATGTATTTCAAGTCCGAGTTACTTATATGGTGTGTGAAAATTGGGTTAAGCGCATGGACGTTGAAGGCTATGATAATGAGTAGATGGGCAAATTTTTCGATGCTAGCAAGTAACAGACTGTGAAATCTGTATGTTTCATGTGACTGTGATGCAGTTAACAACAGATGATTTGCTTCAAGCTGCACAAATAGAAGAAAGAGGAATGCTAGATAGAAAAGATAGGAGCTCTGAGACATGGCGACAAGTTGCTATAAATGAGGCTGCTATGGCTGTCGTGGCAGTGAACTTTCCTGATCTGAAGAATATAGAATTCGTAAGCTTCACAAATCTTATTCTTCCATCAAACTCCCATTCTAGATTTGAAAGCGTCTTCTTTGACTGACATTTCAATGACGTTGAACAGCTGACAATCAACCCTAGAGCTGGTAGAGAATTGGGTTACGTCCGGGTGAAGATGGATCATATCAAATTTAAAGAAGGCATGCTTAGGTTTGTCACTTTTAAAATCTTGCAGATTTGCTTTCTTGTTCTTTACGTTGATCTATGTCCTTTCGTGGACTACTATACGCAGCCGACAATCCATCTTGGATCACATAACTGTTCAGTTAGCACCTCGGGCTGCAGATGAATTATGGTTCGGTGAGGATAAGTTAAGTACGATATGGGCTGAAACATCGGATAATGCAAGGTCAGCTGCTAGATCATTGGTTCTTGGTGGTCTCTCTGAGAAGCATCATGGCTTGAATAATTTCTGGGTAGCTGATCGAATTAACGTAAGGGCATATCTTTTAACTTCTAAATTTCTTGGAACGAATGTATCATCATCCTCTGATACCTTTTTGGGGTTTGCAGGATATTGATCTGGAGGCGTTGCGGATATTGAACATGTGTTACGAGCGTGCTAAAGAGGTAAATAGAATTGTATCAGGTCATCATCTCCTTTAAATTATTGGTTCTGTTAAATATTGATTTGCAAATGCATGCATTAGATTCTTCAAAAGAACCGGACGCTGATGGACGAGGTGGTAGAGAAACTGGTGCAGAAGAAGTCTCTTTCGAAACAAGAATTCTTCACTCTCGTTGAGCTTTATGGCGCCGTTAAACCAATGCCACCGAGCATCCTTGAACTCAGGAAAATCAAACGGCTCGAGCTCGAAGAGACGGTGATGAAACTCGACATGACTACCGCGAGACATAGTTCATAAGAGGAGTGATTTGGAGCAAGAGAGATGCAAAAAGGTAGAGAAATGACATCAAGCCGCATTACAAGAAACGAGCTTTGATCTTTTATGTTTTTCTCTTCTGTAGGCTTAGTGAACTTTAGATAATTCTTTGAGCTTTCAATTGTAATTCCCCTTTTTCCATATTGAATGAAGTTGTCAATTTTTAATTATTTCACCTATCTAAAAAAATAATGCTGATAAATCTTTCTGCCATGTGAAATGAACCATTTATGTGAATCAAAAAGATTGAGAGACGTTGAAAAGTGGTATATAGTAGTGTAATGTAAGAATTATTGGGTTTTTTAGGTGAATATGCAAATTGATATCAATAGTCATAGGTTGGTCGATTAACATAAAAAATTAGATACAATAGGGCAGTTAACATTTGACTTGCAAGATTTGGCAACTAAATGATATTTACACATTACCAAATTTTTTACTTCACCTCCTTCCACATGAATGGCTTACTTAATTTGTTAAATGTTATTGAACCCACCCGACTCTATTATATAAAATCGGAGAGCACAACCGATTTTTAATTTATTATTTTAAACACAGTTGTTCTATAACTCTCTGCATATACAATCATTTATTATACTTTATGTAAAGATTTCAAACATTAATCAGTAGAAAAACAATCATAAATATTTCCAATTGCTTTTTATTTTTTTTTTGTAAATAGTTTCCACAAGCTTCCGTTGGGGTACTTGTCTCATATCCAAGTGTCCAAAATGATTTATACAACGGTAAAATTTATTTGAACGCGTCAAAAGAAATTGACAAACAAAAGGAAGCCCACAACGGCATTATATGACTCCTAGTCCTATCCGTTGTTCGTTCCTACGCCACCATCTTCTCGTTTCTCAATTAAATATTGTTATACTTAAGCTACAAAAAAAACATGCTCAGACATTAAATATACAAAAAAAACATTCGTGTTTAAGAAGACTAGTAATACCACGCAACAAATTTCAATCAAGAGATGTGAAGTGCGTTTTTAAATGTGGATATAAATGATAGATTTTTAAGACTTTGTTTATATATAGATCGCTTCGTTAGTTAGATAATAGGGATAAACCCGCGACCAACATAAATAAAGAACAGCTATATGTTAGTTGAAACTTTGTTACGTTGCCCGGTGGTCGGAACAAGGGATCGAATCTTATCCATTAATAGCAAATCCTTGTTCAACAAAAAATAACTTATCCATTAGTGTGATCACAAACTGGTTATTCTAAATGTTGTTAGTTGCTAAAACATTTTCACAGACATTAGAATTAGTATTTGTGTGTGTTTTGGTTAAGAAGATCAGTTACAAAATATCGAATGATATAAAATATATTATTAGCAAAAGTAGAGTGGACGGTGCACCTCATTGTATTACTTTAGCATGTTCTGTAACGTATATTTTTGTCTTTAATTAATAATAAAAAGCATTATGTTCCAACCTAAAATCTTACAACTACCTAATTATAATATAAATTTCTTGCATCCGGAATGACCAAGAAGACATCCTAGATAATATAATTTTCAATCTTGTTAATTGGAAAGTAATTTTGAAAAACTATGTTAACTTGTGAACATTCATTACTTTCAGATTCGAACTATTTATCTTCATACAATCATACTATATGAGAGTAGAATAATCAATCTTTCAAATGTTCGGCACGTCATTATTGGGAGAAGAGAGGAGTCATTGGACTCTTGAGGAAAAAACAAAGACTTGGCCATTGACTCTTTAAGAAAACTGTACGTTAGAAGAATAAAAAATAATAACGTTTTTGTTTGTTAATTCATAAATACAGGAACATTGCGTAACGATGTTTCCCTTTTTCAAGGATACAATAATTGTATGCTATTTTACAGATATACGACATAACTATAGTCTATAACTATAAGCCTATCTAAGTATTTTAAGTATATATGATCCAAGATACGTAGGTTGCATTGCAACTTTCCACAAGTACACTACGTATATCGAATTATCCGTTTAAAAACAACAATATAATACAAAATGCTACAACATAAATTAATTAAATTAACTAATCAGTGATTAATCAATTCCGTGGGAGGAAAGCTCCATAACTCCACGAAATCAAACTCCAATATTTCTTCATAAAAATCCATAACCGGAGGAGGAGGATACACCCAACAATCCAACGGCTCAGAATAAGCCAGCTCAGCGCGTGAGTTCACGCTCTCATCGTAGCTTCCCTCGTCAATGTTAGGCAGCTCTACAATCTCCTCCAACCTCTCCTCCTCTGACTCCGCCGCCACGTAAGAAGATTCCGACGATGGTGGTACTTCCTCCTCCTCCATCTCTGGCTCCCCCTCCGCCTCTGTCTCAGACATTTTTCCGTCGAAGACCATGGCGGCCGCTTCTGCGGCAGCTGCTTGGATATCTTGCGGCGAAGATGACGCCGGACGAGGGAGGAGAGAGGCGAGCTCCGGGAAATTGATGACGGCGGAGGAGCCTTTGATGGTGAGAGCAGCGACGTCGTGAGCGCGCGCAGCCATATCTGCGGTGGCGAAAGTGCCGAGCCAGATTCTTGTCTTCTTGCGAGGCTGTCGGATCTCGGAGACCCATTTGCCCCAACTTCTCATCCGTACTCCTCTGTAAACAGGATGCTTAGAAGAAGGAGGAGACGAAACTCTTCTTCTCTTTCTTGTGCTGTTGTTTCTGGGTGGAGTTTCAGACAAGTGGGTGCTTCTTGTTGTAGTTACATCAGATTGGTCCGATGACGATGACGATGGTGTTGGTGATGAACAACTGTTGGGTGACGTCATTCTTTTGTACTCGTTTGAGAGAGATACTTTGTTTTGTTGTGTTTGTGTGGATGTGAGAGATGTATTTATAGACTGCACATGAGCTTCATTTCCTAGGTTTTTTCCTTTTTGTTAGTATATCAAAAAACTTTACACGTTTTCTGGTATTTGAGGATTATTAGCAGTACGCCAGTACGTATAAAGGAGAAATAAATAATAATAACAATATCACCATTTTCATGTTATATTCAGTCTTAAAATCATGTGTAATTAGTTTTATTTTTGTTAAAGAGGATAAAATCGATCGTACATAATTTAGTTATGCTTCAATAATACCATGCACATTATGAGTATATGCTGATTTTTTTATTCAAATACTGGATAATATGTTTGTTCTTTTCTTTATGTTTATTATCTATTCTAGACTGTTCTCGATTTTTAGACTATTTCTGATCTAGTTCTTATTTCTGATCTAGTTACTTATAAACCTATAATAAAAAAAAAAAAAGGTTTATAAGTTGATTTAATTTGGTGGAAAAGTGACAAACTATCAACGAAAATAATACAAAATTTGACTAATGAAACAAGAGGCTCCACATTGAGTGACACTTGGCCTACCCATCTTTCAATTACCATAGACCTATTTTTCGTTTTTTAAGAAAAACAAAAAGAACCACAATAAATCCACGACTAGTAGTACTTCTATAAATTTATATTCTGAATTTAACGTTTATTCGATTTGTTTAATGGTAGTCGATTTTTTTTTTAAAACTTGGTTGAGTACGTAATATCACTGGACGGTATTGATAAGAAATCAAAGTTAAAGTGGATATGACAATAAAGAAAGATTCACAGAAGATAACGTTTCGAACTTTCTAATAATTATCAACTAAATGTTTCGTTTCCTATTTGAGAGACACATAAAAAATGTAAAAGTTACTCATGTGTGTGTCACTATCAATCTTCCCGTTGAGGTACTTTTTAAAATGATATATTTCTATATATACACAAATCGAAACCTCAAATATCATATATTCGATTTAAAAAATATAATTCCGAGGACGTCAATTCATCATTTCCGTTGCTACTTTTAAGAAAATAGAAAAGTAACTTTCACCATTTTGTTAGTCTTTTTCTATCTTTACCGTTGGTAGCAGAAAGAAGTGGTCATAAAAGATGCCCTGTTTATCAAACTTCAGGTAAAAAAAATCAGATAAAAAGCACAAGTTTGTCTATCTGATTGTGCAACTCCAAAATACTTCACCTAACTTTTCATTGTTTGATAAGAATTTATTTTTCTAAACTCAGATCAATCAACAGTTTTTTCTTTCTTTCTCAATAGTTGAACTCTAAATAATATTAATATATTTCACAAAAAAATGAGCATAACAGGCAAAGATGAACCGAGCCTACTTTGCCAAAAGAAAGGCCTAAACGTGTGAGAAAATCAACAATTTGGAGATATTGTAATGATTAAACCGGTAATCTTAACTAAAATTAGGGGGAGGAAGGAAGCTACTAGTACTAGATATCGCTTGACATCCACAAACTTTCCGACTGTGCTCATAACCTTCATTAAAATAGTGTACTCCAAGAAGAAATGAAAAAAACGCTCTTTTTTTCGTAGTTTTATTTCCTTTCTTGTCTACTTCGATACACAGACACAAGTCTCTTCAGATATAACATATACCACCAACGGAACAAAAGAAACACATCTAGAAACAAACAGGTGAAACAAAAGCAACTTCTATAACTACATGTTCATTCCAAAGAACAATGACTCCAACGTACAGAAAAACCAAGACAAACGAGAAAACAAAAGCAAAAACGCATACCATATGATTCAGATGATTCAGATTCTTCTTCTCCTTTTTTTCCCCGGAGAAAATTTAGCCCATCACGATAAAACATTTTAGCTTCCTTTTCCTTGTGTTGTGTCCATATCTCATGAAAATAACATTTGACACCGGAAGATGGAGACTCATCAAGATACTCTCTTTGTGTCGCGGGCTGATGCAAGATGATCCTGCACCACACAAACATATATGTTGTTTCACTATCAGTTTATGTAAATCAGGAAAATGGTTGGTATCTGATACAGAAAACTAGATCTGGTCTGGACTATGTTTTAAACCTAAGTAGGTGGTTGTAAGGAAGACTACGAGCTAGCTATTACGAGTAAGATTTCAAAACTTACGGAGATGAAATCGAACGCTCTGGTATCTTCCTTTTTCGAACCGTTCATTGTTGAGGTTGGAGCCTGATTACCAAAATTTGGCTGGAATATATCAGGGAGTGCCGACTGGTTTCCTCCGCTAGTACCAGTAGGAAGAACATTTCCGCCGCCCTGAGCGTTCATGTTGCCAAACTGCTGGAAGTTGGACATATTACCAAGGTACTGCTGCTGAGCTAACAAGCTTGCCATGGCAGCATAATTCAAAGGTTGAGATGTAAAAGCTGGATTCATCATCATCCCCGGAGGAAAATTGAAGGGCATAACACCCCCAGGAGCCATTGGGTTTTGAATAAACCCTGGACTTTGTGCACCACCAAGAATGCCTCCAGCAGGATTTTCCGGTGTTTGGTGGCTGGTGGTGCTCGGCATTGCAAATAAATTATCTGGAAGGGTGCTTGAAGACGAGCCTTTCTGACTTGAGCTGTTTTCGTCAATGGAGAAGCTTCCCATCAAATCATTTATGCTATTCGAATCTTTTGCCTCAGCTTCAGGTTTTGCAGTTGAACCAAACATATCAAATAGCTCAGGCACATGATTAGCACCAGCAGCAGAAGGCTTTTCCCCGACAGTCATTCCAGAGAACAGATCATCTCCGCTTTCTTTTTCTTCATTATGGAATGACACATCTGCGAAAGGATCATCATCATTTTTCTTCTCGCTGCTACTCAGTCCAGTGTCAGTGCTATCCCCAAACCAGTCACCATCCATCAATGGAGCTGGTGTCGCCACTGTACTGCCAGTATTTATAGCACTTGGCATGTCCAAAATATCCTCTGTTGTATAATCTGAATCACCTGTGTCGATCAAGTCAGGTAAATCAACAGCAGGCTCTTGCTTGGCAGTATTCTCTGAGCTGCTCATCAACCCAGTCGACTGTCCACCATTTAGAAGGCTCAGAACCTACACAAAAGCCACTATCTTTCAGTTAAACCATCAAACGAGAGCTTTGTGAATGCTTACAACAAGCAGAATCTTACCTTGTTAGCCTTTTCACGAAGGGAAGATTGAGGAGACTCTGAGCATCGCTGTATGAAATCTGTGTTTTCACTAAAATAAGTATGTACAATTGAAAAATTCTCATCTTCCTTCTTCCTCAAAATGGCCTCAAGGACACATAAAGCTTTCATCCGAACCTGCCAAATGAAAACCAATATGTCTTTTATAGTAATGAAAACCAAAACCGCAGCTGGCCACCCATCTAACCATGCGACATGTACATCTACATCAAACAGTTTCACCAGGAGATGACTAGGAAATTGTCATAAACATACCTGCCACATTGGAGACTGGAGCTTCCCGTCAAGGGCAATGCTTAAAGCAACAGTGTCCATTTTCGCAGCCTCTAAAATGAATACATGAAGTGCATCCCGAGTTGGCTGCAAGCGTACACCGCCAGATGTAACAACGGTTTCCAGAAGCTTTTCCTCACGAGTTTTGCTCTCGAGACGAACTGAAGCAGAGCTTTCACTTGCCTCTCCGGAAGCGTGGCCCCAAGATCCACCACCCGTGTTCTTAGACACCCCGTAGTTACCATCACTCCCCAGCTTAACCGGATCATATCTACTGAAGTTGTCATTCTCCAAAGTTAACGATCTGTGGAGATTCGGACCTCTATAGCTGCTGCTGCTGCTACTTCCATTCTCATTCTTCTTTGGCATATGACCTTGAGCAAAACTACTGATTCCTTGCTTTATTGACGCACTTCCAAGACCCACCACTTCACTCAGGAACGATTTATTATCATTAGAGGGAACCTGAAAGTTAGTATTCCCAAATCCTTCTATGCGTCTGTTGATGCTCTCAGGTGCAGCTGGTTTACTACCGTTCTCTTCAGAGAATATAGCAGAGATTGTCTCGTGAGCAGTATCCCGTACAGCCTTATTAAGCGCATCCCCTTTTAAAGGATCTGGATGCCCCTTGTAATGGAATAGATTGCGAACTGCCACTGAGTTCCTTTGCATTTCTCTTCTAAACTCTGAGCCAGACTTTCCCACAGCATACTTTATCAGCCTAAGAGCCTGTGTACAGAACGAATCCAATAACCAGAATCAGCATAACCAGTCCCTAGAGAGATCAAGTCTAGGCTATAATCAAAGTATCAAACCAGCAAAGAACTAATCCTAATTCAGCTTATAAACAAAACTCCATGTTTATCAATTCGTACATGCAACATTTCAATTAGTGACAAAAGATCTCTTGAAGGAATATCATTTTAATCATCGGTTTATCCGAGTGAGCCCAATCGAAACAGAAAAGGGACGAAATTGAGACGATACCTTCTGCTTAACGATGGGGCTTTTGTTATCAAGGCGTTTCAAAATGAATTCGGAAAACTCCTTGACGATGCTGACATGCGTAGAACGAAGAAGGTCGCAGATCTCTTCCAGTTTGTACACAGGAGCTACCTTGTCTTCGTCAGACGTGACCGCGTCGATCATCCGCGACCTCCAGTAGGATTCCACCGCTCTCCTGCTCGTATCCATGACGATTTCCCGAACAAAAAAATCCCAAAACACAATCCTTCGTCCACGCTCGTCAAAATTCGCTAACAAATGAAGACCGACCGATCCTCAGACTATCCGATCAGTGAAAAATACCGATCAGGAAAGCTCCAATTCAGCTCAAATTCACCAACTGAAGATCGCGATCGGGAGCTCAATTTCCCCTACACACCAATAAACGCAGAGATCAATTTAGCCCCCTTGACACAACCAAATCGGATTCGAATCAAAAATCTCGCCGAAATTCGCAGAGATCGGAGAGGCTAAGGCGAAATTGAGAAGAAACTCACCGGTATGTAGGTGACAAAGAAGGAAGGAAGCAGTCAATAAAGAGGAATGGAGGCGAGAAGCTCTTTCTTCTTAATTCCCAATTTTCGATTTTTTTGCAGAAAAAAAAAAAGCCTTTTTATTTCACATTCACAGTCACATCATGCACATGAATTGTATTTCTTTCGCCTCAGAAAAATCAATTAAATTCATATAATTTCTTTTAAAAAACAACAGTCAAAAGAAGAAAAAAACTAAAATCTTCTAAAACAGAACATTCTACAGCAGTACTAATTGATGAAAAAGCTTGAGACTTTGTCTCTCACCAAACCATCATCTTCTTCATCATCACTCTCTTCTTCGTCTCCCTCTTCTTCTTCAACCACATCGTTTCTGAACAGAGTTTTGAAGTAAGGAACAATCTTAGGAAGCACATGCAAATCCGCCATGTTTATACTCATCATATCGAAAGCAATGCATGTATTATGCATATGCGACTCGTCAATCACCGGAATCTTCGGATATCTCTGGCTAAAATGAGTCAGTATGATCCGGTACACTCCCGCCGAAGATCCAACATCAATTGCCTCTTTAGTTGTGCTATGATTCTTAGCCACCGCTTCTTCCACCAACGCATCCTCAAACGTAGCCTTTGAACAACAACAAAAAACAAGATAAAAGATTTATTAGAATGTGAAAGAGAATCTTGCTTTGTACTGTATATAGAGAAACTCACAAACCTCGTGTATAAGAACAGTTGCTCCTTTTGAAGCTTCAACCATCTGAGGACAAGGCCTTGTGTCGCCTGAGTAAACCATTTTCCACCCCGGGATCTCATCTCCGGCGGTGTTTCTCCTCTCCGCTGCTTTTAAAACAACACCAAAGGCTTGAGGGCAATGCACAACGGGGAAGCTAATCAAATCCTCCAAACCCATTTCGCCAAGGACCTTTTTCAGTCTCTTCAAGTAAGGTAAAGCTGAAGAATTGTCTGTCATGGGGCTACTCGGTCTTTTATGGATACTCTGCATTGGACTTCCTTTACTGAACAAAGAACCGTTACTTGTAGTTTTCTCTGAGCAGGTAGGTTCTAGAGAAGCCCAAGAAGTAGCTGTTGTACTCCTGCAATCAAGAAACTCCATATCTAGATCCTCAAGTCTTTGATACGCATCGAGGAAGTTCTTGAGCGGTCTCGGTCCAACCACAATTGCTGGCTCGTGAGACACTCCTTTCAAAAGCTCACGTCTACGAGCAAGGATTCTTGCAAGACCTGTATGGTGATCAGCGTGGATGTGAGAGATCCATATACATTTCAAGTTTCTGACTGCTTCGTCGGCTCCTTGTAAACCGTATCTTCGTTTGAGCTGGCCTAAAGTGCCTTCACCACAGTCCAAGAGCATGCTACCTCTAGAGAACAGTTCGATGTAAACCGCACTGACGTTTCTGTATTTCGAGGGTTGGGACGAGCCAGTGCCCAACAGAACGATCTCCATGTCGTCTCGTCTAATGTTTTCGAGACAGCTTGGAACAATGCTCTCACCCAGCCATGGCTCTTCGACCATCATCTTGTTGTCTAGTCCATTCCATAGCAGCTTGACTTCTTCAGTCTTGCCTCTGATCTCAGGAATCTCTGAAAGTAGCTCACTTATCACTCGTGAGGATGTCAACTGACTAGGGATACAAGATCTGTCTAGCCCAAGGTTACCATGTGGCCGCAAAGTGAACTGCCCACCATATAACAAAGAGACAGAGAGAAAGAGTCTTAAGAGTTAAACAAAGCAAGTCTCATATCGAGGAAGCATAAGAAACTTCAATACCTTGAGGAGATTTTCCGCGGAAATGTTTTCACCAAGACTTGAACCAACGCACTGGCAAGCAAAGAAAAGAACACAGCTTGAATCATTGAACAAAACAAGAATCAAACTCAATAAAGTTAAATCAGAAAAGCATTTGCAACCTTGGTTAAAGAAGCGGGACTTACCGAGTTGTTATTAACATGTTGAGGAGACCAGAATCCAGGAGCTGGAAAGAACTGTGGGCATAAATAGTTAAGCCTGGCTGTGATTCTAGAACTGGCTTTTAGGATAGGAAACTCCATATTCTTCCTGAGCAAACACCAAAACAAAATCTTAGACAAATAAAATCAACAGATTTTTTATAAGAAAAAATCATTGTTGAGGAGACTCACGCTTCATGTCCAGCGAGAATGTGCTGAGCAGAATGGAATCTCTTCATCCAGGATTGGTAAGTAGGACTATTTGTTACAGAAGCTGGACTTAGATGAATGATACAGTTAACAAACTTAGCCCCATCTGTTGAACTGTCAGGACATGAATAGTAACATTTCATAGACGGAACAGATAGAAGTTCTTCAGCATGTGACTCTGTTGGACAGTCCACAAGCAAAACAACAGGACCAGGAAACGAAGGGCCCATCACATCGCTCGGATGAACCTATGGTCAAAGCCTAAACAGTGTTAGTCTGCTCCTCCAAGAGAAATTGATATTGGATTGTGGATACTTTCAAGAACTTCTCACTTCTCTTTTGAGACATACCGTAATATCTTTGAAATCTGACTTCACTGACTGTCCAGACTGAAGTTTACCATATTTCGGACCAGCTCTCAGTCCAAGAGCCATAGCCTTCTTTGGATCAAATTTTCCATTGATTTCAGGTAACTCACATACATATATAACAGATGTTTCACCAGGTTTGCTTCTGGACTCCTCTGACCGGTTCGGTTCTAGGAGAATGGCACAGATTTTCACAACTTCATCATCCACAAGAACAAAGGGACCATCTTTGGGTTTACTTGAGCCACTTTGAGGTGTGGAGTCTTTCAACGACGGGCCAAAACTTCGTGTGTGAACCATAGCGGCACGAGGGATAAATGACCTCATAGCATCAACTAAGTACTTGAGATCAGATGGACCCCATACGTTTACCTTTGTAACACAAAACAGATATTTAAAAGTTCATAAATTCCATTCAAATATTAATCATGAGAGCACAAACTCAGAAAAAACAGACAGGAAACATACAAAGAGATCATATGAGAGGAACACTCACGGATAGTCCTTCATCACCAATACCAGCTAGAGTTAGTAAGAGACCTATATAGCATTAAACACAAAAAAAAAAAAAAAAAAAAAAACATATCACCATCTAATGATCTAGCAAACAACACACATCAAAGCAAATGCAAGGATCACAAAAAAACAAACCTGGAAGCCCGCCTGCTGTCTCAGAGCATACACGAGACAAAAATATATGATCCACCTGAGAGAGAGAGTTAACGAATCACCTCATAACACAAAGAAAAGAGACATTATTGGTATCTCCAAAAGACGAAGTTTTTAGTCATCATCATACCTTTGATAACTTAATTTTATGTTCAGTACAGAAACGCTGCAACCCCTGCAATTCCAAATTTTTTCTTTACCAATCAGTTTATCAGCTGAAAGCGCTAATGAAAGCTATACAGTGATGACTAAAAGATAAACATCACATCACATCACATAAAACTGACCTCTCCAGCATTAAAGATGAATCTTTGTTTGTCAAAGAAGAGTAACACAGAAGGTGATGTGTCCTGTGTATCCATTCCCGTCCCAAGTACCTAAAATTACAAAGCTTTATGAAATTTTAAATATGAAAGACAAAACCAATTGATCAAAATTCAAATTTGAACAAGACCCAATTAACAGATTGAAAGTTTCAATTTTTTTAAGTAGATGATACTGAAACCTGAACATAGGCAATGGTGTTGGTAGGATTGAGAGTGCGAGTTTTGCGCTTGAGATTCTTCTTAGGCTTATCGAACTTATCCATTCCCGCAGCTCTTCTCTTATTAAACTCGAAAGAATCAGAAGAAGGAGAAGGAGGAGATTTTTGAAAACTAGCTTTGTCTTTCTCCATGCCTTTTCTCTGCTGCCTGCTCTTATCCTCCTCGAAACTACTCCACTTGCGTCTCGGAGGGAAGCGAGGAGATGGGTCAATGCGAGGACGACGGCTGGGGCGAGAAGACGGAGGAGAAGCAGCGAAGATTGGGTAGAGAGAAAAGGGTCTGAGAAAGAGTGCGAAAGAAGAAGACTTTAGAGAAGAAATCCCGAGAAAGCCTAGGTTTTGAGGTATTAGAGGCATTGAAGTTCGCATTTTTCGTGCTCACTAACAAGCTCCTTCGGCGGTTTTCTCCGGTAAGACTCAACACAGATGATCAGAGTCGCTCTCACTCTCGGTCGAATTGTCCTTTTTCTTTTTCATATATTCTTTTAAGATGAAAATTTCAATATAGCCCAATGGGCTTTTATATTACATTATCGGTCCATAAAATCATCTGTTGACTGGTTTGAGAATGCAGTCATGATTTTTGGAAAACCGGACCAATCATGTGGTTGGACCGGGTTCGACAACATTGTGTGAGACGAAGTCTGATGGATTATGTAATTCTAGTATTTGTTGTTATGCCACAATGTACAGTAGAACCTCTATAAAGTAATACTCGATAAAGTAATACCTCGATAAATGAATAGAATTTTCAAGTCCCAAATTCAGTTTTTCGTCTAATTTATCTCTTGATAAATTAATAATCTCGCTAAAGTAATAAAATGTTATGGTCCCAATGTTATTACTTTATAGAGGTTTTACTGTATTAACTTTAATTGTGTTTGTTGTTTTTTTTTGGTAAATGAAAGGGATAAATGAAAGGAGATGAAATCCACTTATGTTATTAAAGAAAGCTTAGTTCCTTACAAATCTAACTCGTGTAGAGCCATTAACATCCTCAAACATCTGAAATCAAGTCTTTGATAAAAAAAAAAAAAAAAAAACATCAATACTGAAATTTTAGAAGAAGAGGTGAAGGAATGGATACCTAAAAAAAGAATAGAGCTTTCTCATTCACTTTCAAAATTAAAATGTCTAAATTATGCTTAATGAAACAATTCCATACCTCGTCAATTGTTTTTGTATTTAAAAATGGTATCATCAATGTTCTCGTTACAAATGAAAAAAAGATAAATTTTTATTTATCTTCTATTTATTTACACAAAAAGAAAGAAGAAGAAGAAGAAAGGTTTTGGACGTACAGTCAACAATGGGTCTGGCCTGATTAGTGAATCACCACCATACCCACTATGACACACGCGCAAAGCACGACGGTCCAGTTAGTTTCCGCAGCATTGGCCGGAATTAATGGTGAGGGCCAGAAGATCGATAGATCGGGCTAGTGCTTCTCGGGAGACATCAACGGAAGTGGATGCAGTGAGGTCGACTACGGCCGGAAGATCAACGCGCTAGAGCTAATCCCAGAACTAAAGGGTACTTGGACAGCGTTGAAATTGAGCTTGATTTGGCTTTCAATGTCGTCCTGAGGCTTTGAATCGTATGTGTTAATGTTTAATGCATTGTTAGTTCCGTAGTATTTTGTGGTAAATATTGTGAATCTAAGTGTAATATAATAATATAAATATGTGCACATAATAAAAATTACTGGTTTGCTTAATCGATTAGTTGTTAGTAAATAATAGAAAAAAATGTGTTAAATGGATGAGTCTTTGTTGGGCTTTTATATTACATAATCGGTCCAGAAAATAATCCATCGGCTGACTTGTTTGGGAGTGCGATCATATGTAATCTTGTTTTCTTACTGCCGGGGAAATCGGTTCTGTTAACTAATTTGGTTACCAAAATCAACTAAACCGGCACATATACACATTGGATAAGAGATAGAAAAGGCACCACACACCTCCATAGAAACCCCATGGAGTGATATAAAACATTATCCTAATTAAAAGACCCAACCCTTTTTTTTGTTCTGTTTTGTTTTTTATTTTTTCTTAAAGTGAGGGGAAAAAAACTATGGGGAGTGTACAGTTGAATGGATCAGGCTTAGTCGCTTCTCTATCTCCAAACCACAACTTCACACACAAAACCAAATTTGATTATCCAAAGTCATATCTTTTACCCTCAAAACGCAATGCCACCCGATTGAGCAGAGCCAAAACTATCCGAGCCATAAGCACTGCGCCAGCGAGCCAGCCTCCAGCCGCAGATGAGCCCGACGAACCTCCAGCTGTCGATTTTGCATTCGTCCATGTAAGTAGAGTGTGAAATACAGAAAAATAGCAAATTTCACTAGTGCTGATTTTCGAATCATTCGTTTGTTATTGGAAAGAAAAATATTTTAAAATGAAATTATGAACGGCTTGCTGATTAGTTGTGGATACTATAATTTCATTGTTAGTCGGTGTTGTTACCGGACGGGACACCGGACGTGCATTGGAGAAGAGCTTGCGGTGGACAGAAACTTAGAAACATAATGTTGGATTCTAACATCGAACTCTATGGTCCTTACGTATGATTTTTCTCTCCCTTATTTTGAATTTTTTCTCTTATTAGTTTTTTAAAAAATGATATCTGTTTTTATGCATGTGTCATTAATTTCGCAGAGTAAGCCCTTGTCAAACTGCGCAGGAGTAGGAACTTGCAGTACTTGCATGGTCGAGGTATGTTTTACAGTAATTTCTTACTTAAAAATTCAAATGACGATTTATCAGATAATATTAATGGCGTTATTCTTTGCAGATTGTAAATGGAAAGGAACTTCTAAATCCACGAACTGACATTGAGAAGGAGAAACTTAAAAGGGTATATATGTCTATTCTTATTATACAGTAGTATTTCATAATTTTTCATCATTTGGTTATAGTATTAAACAAGTTATGTTTTCACAGAAACCAAAAAATTGGAGACTTGCTTGTCAAACCATGGTGGGAAATCCTGATTCTACCGGATTGGTAATATAACCTCTCTCTGTATGATGCCCAATTTTTATATGCATGTGATTAATTAATTTTAGTAACCTTTTTGATATGTAGGTTGTGATACAACAGTTGCCAGAGTGGAAAGCTCATGAATGGAATATCCCTAAGAATTTACCTAATGATGATGATGATCCCGAAACTTCTACCTGAAACTACCCATTATTTTGTTGCTGTTGTTACTATATCATAAAATTGTAACGGTCGATTTATATAACATATGTCGACTAATTAACCATACAATACAAAAAAAATTAATATAAACAATCAAACCATTACCAAATAGCCTTCCATTAAATAACATTCATGCAAATTGGATAAAGATTACAACGAAAGTACGTACCGGATCAAGTCCAAACAAAGCAACATATCAAGACAAAGAAACCGAACATAGAAACATGAATCAAGAATCATCACATTTTGTTTGCTTAGAAATCAGAATCAAGAGGAACATGTTCGGAAGAAGTCATGAAGACATTTCCGTAGGTAAGTCCAGCAAGTCCACCACCAATGAGTGGTCCCACCCAGTAGACCCAGTGACCAGAGAAATCTCCGGCAGCAACAGCTGGTCCGAATGAACGTGCCGGGTTCATGGATCCACCGGAGAAAGGACCGGCGGCGAGGATGTTGGCACCGACGATGAGGCCAATGGCGAGAGGAGCGATGGTTCCTAGAGAACCTTTCTTGGGATCAGCAGCGGTGGCGTAGACGGTGTAGACCAAAGCGAATGTGATGATGATCTCCATCACTACTCCTTGTATCACTCCTACTCCAGCCGCAACGCTGTGGATTGGAACCGCCTGCGTTTCACATAGGTTTTAGCGTTTGTTATTCATTAGTTTCTAATTGAATCAGCCTCAAGAATTGTATTTTAGTGGGAAGGAAACCTAAGATGCTCAAATAATGTCCATTTGAATCAGACAAGAACTTATATTATTATTCTACAACATCAAGTACTAAACAAATTATGTTTCTAATATATAGTTAACAAGGCTAACATAAAAGACGAAAATGCATAAAACAAAAACTATATATTAAAAAACGTGGAGAATATTATTTTTGCCGTTTGATCTTGTACTAGATTATTGTTTTATTTTGCAACCTAATTTTTAATTGATTGAAACTCAAGTGTCTTAATTTCAAGAACCTCTATGTGATTTTCGAGTTTTTTTTTGTTTCTTTGTAGGCCTACAAAGCTACAAGGACAGGCACACATTTTATTTTATTTTAAAAGGTTCATTTTACGACAAATCTTTGGCAGAGATTTAAATTATGATGGAGATTTCTTTTCTGTTTTGAGATTTTTTTGGGTTTTTTGGGTATAGTGGTTTTATTTTACGGGCAATGATTGGAGAATGAGGACATACCAAACCACCGGTGACGTATTTGAGGAGGAAGCAAGCGGCGGTGGAGCCGAGAAGCTGAGCGACCCAGTAGAAAACTCCGGTGATGACTGTGATTTGACCACCGACAGCAAGGCCAAAAGTGACGGCTGGGTTCACGTGGCCACCGGAAATGTTGGCTCCGACTGCAACCGCCACGAAGAGGGCGAAACCATGGCACACCGCGATAGCCACAAGTCCCGACGTATCAAGAGCGGCGTCCGACGTCAGCTTCGCTATATTTACGTAAATGTGACACATTGTTACAAATTATGAAATGTTTTCAATATTAGAAAAATATATTTTTAGATTTATTTAATTACGAACCGTATGCAATGGCGGAGCCAACACCAGCGAAAACAAAGAGCAAAGTGGAGATGAACTCAGCGAGGTAAGCTCTTAGAGAAGCCAAACTAAAGGAATCACCAAAAGAACCAAATGCAACTCCTGCCATATTGTTGTAGACGAAGAAAGAAGAAGAAGAAGATGTTTTGAAGGGTTTTTGCTTAATGAAATAGATGATAAGACCTTTTGAATGCCATTCGCTATTTATATAGGAGTCTCGCCATATATTCATGCACTTTGCAAAAATATTAAATTAGAAAACTAATATATTGTGGTGGGTTGGACACAAATTAATAAATGATTTCATGTGTGAGTCCATTTTACTCTATAGCTATACGTGACTTGCGTTAGGAAGTTTTCTAAAAGGACTAAAATCATGATGACATTTACGTGGAAAACTCTAGCGTAACAAAGATACGAATGTGTCGATTTGTATAGTGATACCTTTTACTATATTTATTCATATGATACATGTGCATTCATGACCTAGTGGTGGTTATAGTCTTTACGAAGTTCTCAGTTTATTTACCACAGGGTAACTCTAGTACGACTTATTGAGATAGTGATATTTTTGGATTCAAAACTTGTTTTGGGGTATTCTAAAGGTACTCTTTAACATGTATATCCGTTTTTTGGGATGACAAACTTTTATATAGAGCGGTTGTATGTCTCATATAGTCAACAATTTGGATCAGATTTTCGTATTAGTAAAAAAAATGGCCGGTTTAAAGTAATGGCCGGTCTAAAGTGATAGAAATTTGGGTGGTGGGGGGTGGACCCAAAGGACAGAGGAGCATCAAAATTCCAAAAAAAAGGATAAACCATAAAGATGAGATTAGACTAGAGAGACAAGAAAACAAATGGATACGAACAAAAACCTAAGGAGGGACAAGTGTGAGCTGTAAACAATGTGTATCTGTGATAGACCGGCCAAAATATGATTGTGGTTGCATGTGACATGATCTTTCTTTCTTTTTTTCCTTAGTGATTCGATCAGATTTTGAAGATGTGACTCATTTATGATTATATTCCATTTCAACAATGCTATATTGGGTCCCTCCACTATTTACCCCTTCAATGAACATTCTCCATCATATTCATCGTACAATCTTGTACATTTTCACTCTGATTGAATTCAATGCTAGGCTAGAGTTGTCTAGCAACCAAATTCTTGGTTTGAACTTTGAGCTTAAGAAATTTGAAATCTGAGTTTTTTTGTTTGTTTTGGATGTCGGCAAGTTCTGAATTTACGGTTGATGCCACGGATATATAGTTTCAGTGCTAATATGGAAATATTTTGGTAACACACAATACAAAAAAAGTTGTTAGAACTATCAAATTTATACGTTTAGACGTATTAGTTGACATCTTTATCTATAGTGTGCTACATAGCTCAAAGTTTTAAAAGTTTTCTGAAAAGCAATCACATGTTATGTTAAATGGAATGACATGTGTTTGATGTTTTGCGTCTATACACTTTTCTTAAAAAAACTCATACGGTTCTTACTAATTCAAGAAACCCAATGCATGTTTGATCGCAAGGTTCATTACTGCCACCTTACCAAATACGTCCAAGGGTCGTTTAGATGGGATCATTATTCTCGTAATTAATTATATCTGTATACACAGTAGACACTCGTTTTCTTAAGCTTAATTAATTTAGGCGGGTGATTGGCTAATTAACTATAAATAACTTATCTATAGCTAATAGACTCAATAAACTACAACAATTAGTGGTGTTGCGATTAGTTGTAGGCCGGTGGAATTATACAAATCTTGAGAGTTTAATAACCTTGAATTTCGTTGTCTTGCCTCCATGCCCAAGAATCTTTCCAATTATAGATCTGTTGACTTGATTATTAAGTTTAGCTCCTAATCTTATAATCAACTGTTTGTGCGGAAGTGTTCAATGTATGTATTTGTTTAAGGGTTGTTTAAACCTTTTGAGTTTTTGACTGTGTAACAAAAAGTGTAGGAACATTTTGGCTCGGTTAATTGAACCAAGACCAAGACAAACCAACCCGAATTAAAATTATTTGGTTAACACAAGATGACTGGTACAACTTTACAATCTGGCTTTCTTTCAAACTTGCAAGTTCTCATACAATGGCCAGATTTTATTAAGTCTTGAAGAAGAAACAAGCAGAGAAATGTTGGGACCAAACACCTGTGAAGAAGCTGGATATTTGAGACTGTGTCCGGTTCGATGTTTCATCTCAAGCTCGGTGTTCTCCTGGAAATGGTATAGAAGCACAGCAGCGGTAATAACCGCTCTGATCAAACACAAAACGCTGTGAGAGATGAGCTTCTGGGATCAGATACTCTCCCCAGTCTTCGTTTCCAAACTGTTTGTGTATCTCTCTTGCATCAAACGTCTCCATCTTATTCTTTCTTTTGTCCTTCCTGAGACCACACGTTTTTTTTTCCAAGATAATCAGAGTTTTATAACACTGGTTTGTTTTACCTGAACATAACGCTGGAGTTGGGATTGAGAATCACCTTTTCCTGTGCCTCGCATTCATCACGGTTGCGTGTAGCTACAGTAAAAGGCAAAAAGAAAAAGTATGAAACAGAAGCCATTTATAAAGTCTCGTCAAATCACAGTTCTAAAATATCAGAAAGCTCTAACCTTCAAGCTTTGTTTGGCATCTTTCTCCAGAACAAGCCCAGCTTTCACAAAAGCATCAGTTATAACTTCTGAACATGGGATCAAGAAATTCAAAAGCACTCACACTAAACTCTTAATTTACAGTCTAAAGACTCTAAACAATGCCACTGCTAAAAGTAACAATTTCACTAAAGACTAAGATACGACAAGCACGTAGAAGCCGGCCTTCATCGCCAATTTCTTCAACAGGAACATAGAGGACACGAGCCTTTGCTAATGGTCCTCTCATACAATCCTTTAGAAGAAAGCAAAATGAAAAGAAGTGTGAATAGACCAGTAAGTAAATGAATAGTAAAGTAAAGCCAAAAATGTATCATCATTACCAATCCTTTAAGTCTTATGAATATTGGCCGGTTATCCAAAGCATCCATCACACAAGGAGATATACTCTGTTATTTTTTTCAGAAAATGAAACACTCAGATTCATGAAGCATCCCTAAAAGGAATCAACACCATCTCTACAGAAAGAAGTTTACCTCCTTGAGAACATCACGAGCAGCATTGACTCGATCTTTGTTCCATAGCTTTAGCATAAGCACAGTCAAGTGAAAAGTATTTGGCTTTATGAATATGGACTTTTCAATTCCCATCTCTGCCAATGTATGATAAAACATAATAAAGCAAGTCAGAGGGAACAAGTTTTCTCTTCTATCTCAAATCCATTGTTTTTAATTGTTTTTCTTACCCAACAAAGTAGATGAGCTTGTTCCTTTGGCCTTAGGCTTGTAACTAACAACTGGTATGCTCTTGACATCCACATTGACCTGGTTTGTTTCACTGTTAGCTTTTAGTTCAACCGCCACACCAGTTGTGGTTGGTCTATTAGCTTTGTCGTCTTGTTCATCAACAGCCATGCTATGGTTTCCGAGTACAGAGTTCTGAAAATTCACTAGCTTCTCCACTAACTCAGGGTGTATGGCCAATGGAAGCGATATAAAGTGCGAGTAGTCAAGACTCGGACTTCTTACAACCTAGAAATATGAACCCCAATGCGCACAATCAGAAAGAGAAAAGTAGAATGAAAAAGGAGAAATGATTAAGGAACCTCATCGACGATGGTTGATATTCTTTCTGAAGCTTTAGTAACACAGTCCACTGAACCACCTTCAATGACTGCAACAACAAAATAAGATAAAGGACATGAAGACTTAAGAGATCATACATTAGAGTGAGTTGTTCCAAGAAGATCTTACTGATGTGATCTTCGTTTCTTGATGATGGAAGTATGATCTTGACTCCCGTTTCCTCTTCAAGTTTCATCTGTGTAGTCCCTCTATTTGCAAAGAAATGCAGACTCATTAACACGCACATACATACATGCAGGGGAAAAAGTATGAATGTTGACAAACAAGAGCTCTTACTCTTTCCCTCTGATGAACTTCATCAAAGAAGCCCCAACCTGCAACCAAAAACCACACAAATCAAGACAAATTAGCTAATTCTAAACAATATGCACTGCAATGTGTCAATCGTTGTTTCCTCAAGTACCTCAAGAGAAACCGAATGCTTGTGTGTTGTGTCATTCACTACTGCTTGAGTACTTGACATGCTACACTGACCTGCTTCTTGGACTTCATTTCCAGCTTCTGTCTCATCATATGTAAGATGGAAATTTTTTAAAATAAATCGTTAGATTAAAAGGGTCTGCTTTAGTGAAGATGGTAATCACCTGCAACAATTGAAGAGGATTGAGTGGACATTGGTCTCCACACCAAATTTACAGTCTTGTGATTCTTGGAACTCTTCTCAGCTTTGCCTCTAAAACTCATGATTCTGAAAGATTCCTGCAACGTCAAAGTGGTTTCGCCACAAAACAATCATTTCAATGCTACGAAAAACAATCTAACATCACTTGCAAAAATTTACACTTTGTCAACAACAACAAAATTGGCTTACCGGCGTCGATTTGACACATCTACTCGTATACCATAGAACACGATCAAGCCTGCGAATTTTTAAAAAGAAACGACATGAAATATAATCAGAGATAAGACAGAATCAAACCCCTTCTCACGAATTTTTCAAAAATCCAAATTGGGTGAAATGATTTCTAATGATTGAATTTAGAAGAAAGAATCGATTTTGTTGCACTTTTGTTTTCTTGGACACCCAATGAAGAGCACAGAAGAGAAAAACGAACCTAAAGAGAGTCCGGCAAGTTAACATCTGTGTTTGTTTTCCCTCTCTTCCTGACTTCCTCTCCTCCTCCGGTGATCTCAGCCGCCGTAAGATATATTTTTGTAATATTTACTACTTACCCCGTTACTTTCAAATAATTTCACTATTAACCAAATCCTTTCATTACTGAAGTTATGACCCTAAAAGTATTATAAGGATTTAAGGATTGACAGAGAATTCAGTAGAGAGGGATCGGATATCAAACTATGTATTAATAATGATAGCAAACTCCACTGTCCAAAACTTATTATCTACAAACAAACCACTGTTACCAAATTTCAATGATTACATTACATACACACACATTTATCAAAGCAAGTACATATTGACATGACCACTGATTAACCATAGTGTTGACAGAGAATCATCAGTTTCCTACCAGATAACATGTGGAGTATATTTGAGATCATACTCAAAATGTCACTCATGTGGAAAAGGTAGTGAAGCACAGCAATGGAAGTAGCCGATCGAGTCATACCAAAACCGTTTTGAGAGATGAGCTTCTCTGATTAGATATTCTCCCCAATCTTTGTTCCCAAACGCTCTGTGTATCTCTCGCGCATCAAAAGTGTCCATCTTTTTGCTTTTATCCTTTCTGTAGCTTGCATTCATCACCGTCGCAAGTAGCTGCAAAAAAAAAAAAAAAAAAAAAAAGAGGAACAAAGATGAAGCATGAGCAAGAAAGAGAAGCAGAGAGATTTTTGCAGTTTCTAATACAATGGAATATAATACTCAAAAAGGCAAAAAGATCATTAAACAAGAGGAGAGTTATAAAAGCATTTACCTTCAAGCGTGACTTTGCATCTTTGCCAGCAAATCCAGCATTTACAAATGCATCGATGATAACATCTATATATATACTTGGGAGTAAAGGAATTCGGAAACATGTAAATAGAATGTTTGGTCTCCACATTTTAAGGCACATGCAAGAGTAAAAATTAATCTCTTATAGAAATTAGGATACGACAAGCACTTAGCAGACGACCCTCGTGGCCAACTTCTTCAACTGGAGCATAGAGCACGCGAGTTTTGTCTAAAGATCCACTCATACAATCCTTAACAAGAGAAAAAGACACAAAGCATACCATTTGGATTGAGTCACAGATGACTTTTATCAAGCCACTAGAAAATGTATTATAAGTAAAGCCGTTTTACCAATCCCTTAAGTCTTATGTAGACAGGTCGGTTATCCAAAGCATGCCTCACACTAGAAGAAATACTCTGTTTTTTTTTCAGAACAAGACAACACCTCAAAAAGCATTCCTAGAATAAGAAGAAGCATACAATATTCCTAAAACTCCAGTGGATATTAATGATACCTTGAGGATATCCTGAGCTGCATCCACAGATTCCTTGTTCCCTAACTTCAACATAACCACAGTCAAATGGAAAGTACTCGGCGAAACAAAGATTGACTTGTCGATCCCCATTTCTGTCCAAAGTCCAAAATACCATGTCAGGGAAACAAGTTTTATAATTAGACTACAAGCAATATTAATTCATATATCATTATTGTCTCTGCTTGGTCTTTACCAGCTAAAGTACCATATGAAACTTCAAAGGCTTATTGTCATTGTCACCTAAAATCGAATTACGAAAAGACTCGAGCTTTTGCTTCAATTCAGAGTATATGGCTAATGGAAGTGATATAAAGTGTGTAAACACTTCGCCCTGACCCTGTACAATCTACCAATTATAACAAGTTTATCCAAAACAATTCTCAACACTGAGATGAGATTAAGAATCTCCGAAATAGATCAGCGAACCTGCTTGCCTTTGTAGGCCAGAGGATTGGGATGAGCAGTGGACGATTCCCCGCGATATACTCTGCTTTGACGAGTGCTTTAACGACTCTGTTTTCACATTATTCTCATCGGATCATACACACACACACACACAAAGCATATCCAAACAAAACCCAAAAATCTTATAGTACAATCAATCAAGAAAGAAAGATAGTGTGTGAGAGAGAGAGAGAGATTTTACCCATTGCAAGAAAGCTTTTCTTCGCGTTAAACGATCGAGCGTAAAGAAGTTGCAAGAACAAGATGAAAAAAAACAAAAACAAAAACAAGTTGCAAGAAGAAGAGACTTGGTCAACGACCCCACCGAAGCATTTCTCAGTAAACTCGTAAAGTGTTTGAGTTTGAGAAAATACGCTGGCTTTGTAACGAATAAAACGAATAAAGCGTATTTTGTGCAACTTTTAATCAAAGTCAGGCACTAATTGTTACTTTAAGCTTTAGGTTAATCAATGATTATTATACGCATGCGTTTCTCTCGCGAGCCTTTTTCATCTTGAATGCTTTTGGTGATAAATATGTAAAGTAAATGGGAAAAGTCAGGGGTTTATTGGGAGTAAATTTGTGTAGATTGTTAAAAAATTTAAAATTTATTGTTATTGGTTTGATGACTTTTAAAATCTTTCAGAAAACTTGATGTTTTAAAGAAAAAACAAATATTAAGAAACACATTTGTATACATTTATTATTTTCCTTTTGTCTATTAAGAAGACCCAATCATACTCTCTCCAATTTCTCTCACATAAAATTTAAACTATTTCCAACAAGAATTGCATTAAATAAGGCTAAAACATCAAGTTTTATGAAACAATTTTTTTTTTTTCTAAAACATCAAGCTTTCTGAAACGGAGGGAGTATATAAAATCCATAGTTATTCAAAAAAATTGCAATTCGAATGATTCCACGAATTGTTAAAATCTTTGTTATGGGAAGTGGATTTTTAAAAAATTAACTCATGAAATAAAATTTTCAAATACTACATATAACCCTTAGATTCTCAAAGTCCATTATAATAAAATATCTTGATTATTTTTTTTTAAATTTACATTGTCATTCCAAATTTAACAAAAAATCTTTATAAATTTAACAATTTTCTTAACTTTTAAAATTTTAACAATCCACGCAAATTCTACTCCCAATAACCACCCCTATTAGTGATTACGGACGAGTTTATATGTAAAAATGTCCTCTTTTAAATATTCTAATGCACATTGCATAATTTGCATTTACATTAGTGATTACGGAACACGCGAGTTTAGGTGGAAAAATGTCCTCTTTTAAATATTCTAATGCACATTGCATTTCCTTAACACTAAAAAACAAAACCATTTTTGTGACTTTGTCCCTACACTATTATGCGCCGCACGCATCTCCGTCTATAAGGAACCGAACCACATGCAATTAGCACCACAAGACAATCTTTAACCACAAAACAGTAACAACAAAAAATGTCGGAAATTCTCCCGGAAGAATTAGCCGTTGAGATACTAGCGAGGCTATCGATAAAGGACCTGTCTCGATTCAGATGCGTCTGCAAGACATGGAGAAACCTCATCAACCACCGTCGCTTTGCCGAAATGTACCGAGCCATTTCTCCGGCGAAGTTCGTTGCGTTTTACGACAATGGTCTCTACTTACTTGACGTGGAAGGCAAGAATCAGGTTACTAAAACACCTTGCAAGCTTGATTTCCCTTTGGATCTGTCGATGATCGATGAATCCACATGCGTGCTTCACTGTCATGGGACGTTATGTGTGACCTTAAAGAATCACACTTTGATGGTTTGGAATCCATTTTCGAATCAATTCAAGATCGTACCAAACCCCGGTTTATACCGAGATTCAAACATTCTCGGTTTCGGTTATGACCCGGTTTCCGACGGTTACAAACTCGTAACGTTTATCGACCGGCGTGATGCCACCACGGCGCAGGTTTTCGAATTCAAAACCGGTTCTTGGAGAGAGAGTGTGCGGATTCCTTGTCCTGATTGGCATTACAGAGAGAGAAGAGGTACCTTCTTGGACCAATACCTCTATTGGATTGCGTACCGGTCTAATGTCGACCGGTTTATCCTATGCTTTGACCTCTCGAACCATGAATACCGGAAATTTCCTCTCCCGGTTTACAACCAAGCCGTGACGTGGTCCTGGTTAGGCGTTAAAAGCCAAAAACTTTGCATTACAGAGTATGAACCTCGCGAGAAGAAGATTCAGATTTCGGTTATGGAAAAAACCGGATCATGGAACAAGAATATAAACTTTTCAGTGTCGAATTTGTTCTCTGTACGAGATCGGATCTGGGATTATCAAGTCGATTTCGTGTCGTTCACGAAAAAGAACGATCTCGTCGTAACATTCACGGGATACAACAACAACGTCGATGCGGAATCTAAAGAACGTACGAAGAAGAAGGTGTTGTTGTACAAAACTGGAGCCGATACATTTGAACAAGTCCGGTTCTGTAACTCTGTAACCGGGTTTCAGTTTCTCGTTGAATATGTGGAGACTCCTGTGATTATTGATCGCATATTTATTTGAACCAAGAAAAAAGCATTAGCTTTGTTGTTTTTTCCTAATCATAATTAAAACTTGGGCTTAGTTTTTACAAAGCCCAACCCCAGTGTTTAGTGGTGAAACCCAATCAACCAAAATACAATCTTATTATATAAAGCTGGATGCGCGCGACGTGGTTGCGACACGTAGGATTTTTATAAAATTTAGGATTGCGACATGTGTCACTTTTAATGTTATGTCCGTTAAGATCGTGACATGTGTCTTAGAAAAAAGGAAAAAAATAATAATTAAAAAAAATAGATAAAGGAAAAAAAACGAAATTTTAATCTTTTATAGTTAAAAGAAAAAAAAATTATATTTGTCATATCCTAATAGAAAAAGGTTTCCCATTCATCAAATTTATATTATCCAAACACATATAAGATTCAAATTAATGAAATAAATAAAATCCTATTAGTACATGAAATAGGTTAGGTAAACTAAATTTCCTATAACTGCATGGAATAAGTTACATGAACCCCTATAAAAAAAAAGAAAAAGTCATCAAAGCAAACAACATGATAGCAATCATGATTTTTATAACTCACAAAATTGCGATATGTGTTTATATTCCCATTATGAACAGGAAAAAAACAATATATAATAAGCTATTGCGATTCAATTATGTGCTTCTATCTTTTGTATAATCTTTTCTCTCATAAAAAATCATGTATTTAAAATTCATGGTATCAATGAATAATATTTAACTCTATATTAGTTGGATAGAAATCAAAATTATTGTCGATACATGTATCTAACTCTATATCGGTTGGATAGAAATCAAAATTATTGTCGTTACATGTATTTGATCCGGTGAAGACATGTTAATTGGAAAAATGTTAAACAGATATAAAAACTAGAAAAAAAAAACTAACTAATAATGAAAATGAAAATTTATAATGGTCTGAGTCAAAAACAAAATTGAGAAAGAAACAATATAAATAGAAAACTAACAAATTAATTATCAAGCAACTAACTTTTTTTTTGACATCATCAAGCAACTAACTAATATTAAGAAAATATAATGAACCGATATTCTAATTTTAAATAGTTTAATTTTCAATATTGTTAGGTAAAAAATTATTAAATAAAGATTTCATCAATTGAAATCTCTTGAATGGAATAATAAAGTTTTGTTGAATTAATTAATCAGTTGATCATATTTAGACATATATAAGTCTTTCTATATTGGATAAAAATAAAAATAAAACAAATTAATTCATTTTTCATATCATGAATTCAAAAAAAATATCAATTACAATAAAAACGTAAAAAGGTTACCGATCTTATTTTATTTAAATATTTTTATCGGGTTTTTAATATTATTCTGTTTACTTTAAAATGATCAAATTTGGTTTAATACTTTTCCATGATTTTATTACAAAATCTTAAAATAAACCTTAATCTAGTTAAAAGATAAAACCTAAACCAAGTGGAAATAGATTATGCACCAGAATTTGAACCATATAGTGAACCATGATGTGGAGTGGACGAATTGAATTTTTGAAAAATGAAAAACGGTGAGAAGCATACTATGCTTACCCCTTTGAGCTTTGACTAGCTGGTTGTGATTTTTTGTTAAAACAAGAATATTAGATTTGAGTCATTTGACCATTAGCTTTGTGTTGCATCACTCGGATAACGTATTTAACATGATAACGTATTATACAAATTTCTCGAAATCGTGACCCTTTGGGTTATAGGATCCAAATATACAAGAACACAGTTTCCACGGCACAGAACCGGTTCAGGAAATCTGACTACTACAGAATTCAAATCTAATACTACTACAGTAGAATGAAAAACTTTCAAGTTTCAACAGAAAAAAACGGTTTGAAACCGGTTCGTCGTTAATCACTCGGACACGTCACTAAATATTTGCGTGTGAAATTATTTAGAACATTTACTACGGGAAAATCAAATTTAATTATTAATTTCCTTGAAAAGGAGAAGGAGAAAGAAACCCTTTGATTTGGATTACAAAAATTGAATAACTCCAAAACACAGAGGAGATTAGAAGAAGGAATATATAATGGAAAGAGGGACGAACAACGGGCAATCACTCTGGCACTCTCAGTCGCCCAAAACTCCGACCACCATGCTCGATCGCGCGCTCTCCTCTCGCCGTCCTCACTCCGACGCCGATCTCTCCGATTCCGGCGAATCCGGCACCGACGAATCCAAAACCAAGCGGCCTCACATCTACCTCCTCGCCTCCAATTTCCTATCTCGGATCGGACACCAGTGGTGGCCTTTCCTCATCCTCGCTCTCCTCTTGCTCGTTCTCCTCTTCCTCACCTCCTTGGCTTTCCATTCTAGCAGCTTCGTCTGCATCTCCCGCTTCGATCCCGCCGCTCGGATCGGGTTCTTCGGTCTCGACGGCCTCGAATCGGACTTTGGATCCCTAGGTGTTCCTTGGTGTAAGCACTCGCGATCTCTCTTATTCTAACTTTGTATTTTTTTCGTATCCGAGTAAAATCTCTAGTGATATAGTCAGAATGCTTTGGCGAGATTTGATCTATGTTTCCATTTCTATAGATAGTAGTAGGTCAATTTAGATATCACTCTCTTAATCCGTTTCAGATGAAATTCCATTATTCCCAGTGTTGCAGTACTAAATTTTCACTAAATGAATTGGATTTGGTGTCAGTGCCACTAAAAATCTCTAGATAGTGGTGGTTGTGATGGCAAGCGTAAAACAATTACGGAATCATGGATTTTTTTCGGTTCTGTGCTTGAAAATAGTAGAGAAGAACCATTTTAAGTAAGAGTTCTTATACTCTGAGATAGTGATGTTGTTCTTAATTGCTCTGCTGCTTTACTGATAAAGAACTTTTGGGGTTTGGCGAGATTTGATCTATGTTCCCATTTCTATAGATAGTATTAGGTCAATCTAGATATTGCTCTCTTGATCCGTTTCAGATGAAATTCCATAATTCTCAGTCTTTCAGTACTAAATTTTCACTTGTGAATGAATTGGATTTGGTGTCAGTCGTAAATATCAATTGAGTTGCCACTGGAAATCTCTGGATATTGCTCTATTACGCTTTTGATATAAGTGCTTATACTCTGATATAGTGATGTTGTGCTTGTTCTTAATCGCTCTGCCGCTTTAGGGTGTTATGGAATGTAATGTCTATCGAAAGATTTGATTTGTTATTGGTATGGACGTATTTAATTCTATTCCTTGGCAAAAGGCAGACCGAAACATGGAAAAGAAGTTGAGTGGACCTCCAAGGATCTACTCAAGGCTCTAGAAGAGTTCGTGCCGATATACGAGACACGGCCGATAAAGAACAACATGCATGGAATGGGTTTTGATCACAGCTTCGGGCTATGGTTCATGGCTCGTTGGCTAAAGCCAGAGCTGATGATTGAGAGTGGTGCTTTCAAGGGACATTCCACTTGGGTTATGCGGCAGGCGATGCCTGACACACCGATCATCTCAATAACGCCGAGACACCCCGAGAAGTACCTGATAAAGGGACCTGCTTATGTAGATGGAAACTGCACCTACTTTGCAGGCAAAGATTTTGTTGATTTCGGAAGTGTTGATTGGAAGACTGTGTTGAGAAAACAAGGAGTAACAGATATGAGCCGCGTCGTTGTCTTCTTCGATGACCATCAGAACGAACTCAAAAGGTAAGTTTTTACATTTTTCCATCTCTTTTCCTCGTTTTGCATTGAGGGAAGAGTTCACTGGTTTTCTTTGTTGCTTAGGCTAAAGCAGGCACTGAAGGCTGGTTTCCAACACCTCATTTTCGAGGATAACTACGATACAGGAACCGGAGATCACTATTCCCTGAGACAGATATGCGATCAGTCGTATATAAAAGGTGAGTTCTCATAAACATCACACATGAGTTTGGATTGGATTGTTCTCTCTCTCATATGGTTTTGGTTTGGCTTCCTCCAGGAGGTGGACACAGCTGCTTCAAAGACAGCGACGAAGCGAGGATGAGATCAAAGAGGGAGAAGTTCTGGGAAAAAGCAGTTGATACAGAGGAACTTTGCGGACCAGGTGAAACGTGGTGGGGGGTCAGAGGAGAGATGAGAGACGATTTCAACCACACCAACACACCGATCTCATACAATCAGCATTTTCAGAACAGCCGGTTCGTTGAGTCGGTTCTTGATGTGTACTGGGAGCTACCTCCGGTTGCAGGACCTTCGCTGACGCATCAGTCGCGGTATGACCCTGCTCGTTCGACACCACCGATAGTGGCGGATGGCAAGCGCCGGATGTTCCAACGGATCGGTTTAGGTCGGCTTGATCAGTCGGTGTTCAATGGGTATACTCAGATGGTTTACGTTCAGGTATCCAAGCCCGGTTCATAGAGATTGTGTGGTTCCTGTCCTACAAAAGAAGAGCAAGCAAACTCCTTTTTTTTACTTTTTTAATTCCTTTAGTTTTTTTTTTAACTTTTCTCTTACAAGTTAAACTAAAAGTTTGTTAATACACGAGTCGTTTTCCACTGTGGTTTTCGTGTAAGTTTCTTGGTCGGTTACGAATGATTCGAGCTTCTTGAGCTGGTTTTAAATTTAAAATAGGCAATGATTATCCGGTTTCCTTCTGTACCAAACTACCAGTTTGTTTTCTATCTCTAAACCAATCTGGAACCAACCGGTCAAATGTTGAGCAAACCGAAATAGAAACGTGAAGTGTTGTGTGTTTTCTTTGTTGTTGTGCAATGAATGATGTGTCGGATGACAAGACAAGGTATGGGCCGAGTATATCTTTCTGTGCTGGAAAAAGCTTTAACGTCATCGTCTTTGTGGGAATTGACTAATTGAGAAGCATGGCAGAGAGATGGACGAGCACGGCTCTACTCGTTATCGATATGCAGGTCTCTATGTGTGTTGTATTTAGAATTAGGGTTGATTCTGTGTGTGTTTTCCTCCTGGGCTTTGGACGGAGTGTTGACTTGTTGTTGTCGTTGTTGTGAGCAGAACGATTTCATAGAGGAAGGTTCTGTGACGCAAGTGAAAGGTGGAAAAGCCATAGTTCCTAATGTTGTCAGAGTCGTCGAACTCGCGAGGCAGCGTGGGGTTCTCGTGATTTGGGTATTTTTCTCATTTGTGTTATATCTCTTTGTTCCCCTTTTGATGGCATGGACTTTGTGCATACTGTCTTCGAAGTTCGTTGAAGTTGCTTGTGCTTGAAATCTCAAATCTTGATGAAACGATATGGTTAAAAGTGGGCTTCAGACATAGTGATAGTTTTTGCTTGCCATTTTATTTTCACAATCTTAGTATAGTCTCGATTCAGTGTGTGTGTAGGTAGTCGTCTTAACTGACAAAAGTGTTTTCATCGATTTAGGTCGTTCGTGAACACGATCCACAAGGAAGAGATGTTGAACTATTCAGACGTCACAATTACAAATCTGAGAAAGTTGGACCTACCGTGAAAGGAACGGTAGGTGCAGAGTTAGTAGATGGATTGATCATCAGAAAAGAAGAAGACTATAAGATTGTGAAAACCCGTTTCAGCGCTTTCTTTGCTACTCATCTTCATTCCTTCTTGCAAACCTCCGGTGTCACCAAGTTAGTGATTGCCGGTGAGTGTGTTTTTGAGTCTTTTAACACCATCATCATGATCATGCTTCTTCTTCTTCTGTGAAACTTTATTTTATTAGACTGTTTTTGTTTCAGGTGTTCAAACGCCAAATTGTATCCGGCAAACGGTTTTTGATGCAGTGGCGTTGGATTATCCAGATGTAACTGTTATTACGGATGCTACAGCTGCTGCTACACCAGAGATTCATAACGGTAAAACTAATCTTTTTTTACTGTTTGTCTTTGTGGTTTAACAAAGTTCATCTTTAAACACTGTAAGTATTGGATCAAACAGAAGAGAAGATGGATGCAACTACATTGTATATAACAATTGGCAAACGAACAAATACCTTTTTATTAGAATCATGATGTTTTGTATTGTTCTTTGAGAAAAGTAACTCATAAGATTGTCGTAACTTCTTTTGGATCAGCGAATATTCTGGACATGAGGAATATCGGCGTCAAGACTCCCACATTACACGAGTGGTCCGAGGAATTTGCTTGAGATTTCGGATTACAAACATCATCCTAAACTTCTTCCACTTCTTTTTCTTGTGTGTTTATGTATTGAATAAAGAAAAATCTTGATGTAAGTTATAAAATCTCCTCTTATTGTGGTGTTATCGTTTTTTGTAAAAAATCTGTATCCATTCAACTAGTTTGACATAATATGCCCTACATTTGATTAAAAAGTCTAAAAAACAATGTGAAAAGTCATCACTGGATTAGAGATGTGTAACCTTTTTCTTTTCAAATCATCTCTTTTGCTAGTAAGTTGATACACTGAATTTGAAACAATAATAGTTGTATTCTTTTTGTTATAAAACAATAATTGTTGCCAAGAAGGAAAAAAACATTATTGGAAATAAAGGAGATAAGAAAGAAAAGATAACGTGGGGAAAGAGAGAAATGGAGGGTAATGCTTATCCTCACCTCATTGTCCTCTCCCTCCCTTTATTGCTTTCCCATCTCCACTTTGTTCCCTCTAATTTTGGATCATTTTAAGTGAAAATAAAATCATTCACACTAGTAAGATTTTCACTGATCCAGTAATATTCCAATTAGTTCTTTACTCATCCTAGAACTCCATTATTCATTTCATCAACAAATCGTTGTAATTTCTAATGCTCAAAACCCACAAATTTTAGACATGTAGCTAAGAAGCCACAAGTCCACAACAGGATAAAACTTTTGTGCTATTTAAATGTTAGTTGAGACTTGAGAGAGACTGAACATTGATTTTTCACTAGACACATTTACTTTCTTGTTATTACATTTACTTACGGAGGAGTGCATGTACCTCAAATAATGATTCATTATTTATTGTTGTAGGCAGAAGCTAGTAAAGCGAGAAAAAGTGTATATTAATGGAGTAGGAAAATACTTGAAGGGACGTATAAGGTTAAAGAAAAAGAAAGGGGAAATCTAGAGAGGATTTTGAAGGTGATGTAACACAGCTCATTTTCATGATTACGAGGGACAATCTTTTTTTTGTAACCCTCAAAACAATGGGGGACTTTACAAGACAAGCACCTCTTTCATTTTCCACTTTTTATTTTTAAAGGTATAAAATTATTGATTAAAAAAATGGAAGTCTACCATTTTTGTTCTATTTCTCATTAAATTACTGAAAGAAATTAGCAGATCATTTTTTGTGGGCTTTTAACTTTTGGGCGACGTATTTTCACCAGAACAGTTTGATGAACCAGTGTATATGCGTAAAATAGATATATATGTTTCTTAGATGATGATTTAACGTTTGATTTTACAATTTTTGATTCCGAGGATAGAATATGAAGTGCAGGTAAATGCGACAAGTTTTTTTCTAGATTAAAATGATTGATTGATTTGACTTATGACATGAAAGGGGACAATAGAGAGTTGAAAAATCAAAGGCATTGTTAATAAATTTCAATTAATTGTTACAAACGAGAAAGGGCAAAACGGGAGAAGGAATGAGAGGCACATGAACTTTCCTCTTTGTGCTTGTATGCGAAACAAAACGCCTAGTTGAATTTTATAAATTTTGGGTTAAAGCGGGAATCAAGATTATACATATGTTGTAATCTATTTTCACATCAGTTATAACGTCTGAAATTTTAATATCTAACAATTTTACATGATGGAAATTCACTAAAGAAAAGAAGCTCACTAAGTTTTTATTTTTTTGTCATCTGTAATCTGTTAATATTAAAAACTTGGTGAAGTACATTGATGGAATGACATCACACTACTTTGTATGTACCAGTTTTTGTATATACTCGCTAGTCATTCATCTATGGTTCACACTTCACAGATTCGAAAATTTATAATTAACGGAAAAAACTAGATGAATCGAACCTAATATCCGATAACTCAAATAAATTAGTTTCCACGTTAAATTCTCTAATTTCCAGAGTGGACATTCCATAATGGACTAAACAAACAACCAATAATATAGCAAATTGACAAACAACCCAACTTATAGAGATTTCAATAAACACAAGAAGAAGAAGACAAGATAAATAGCGTGTGTCTGTGTAAATGGAGAAGGGATTTTGAACAGAGTAGGAAAAAAATAGAGAGAACGTTGAACAAAAAATAGAGTAGGTGAGAAAAATATGAGCCTGACAGAATAATAAAATATATAACTTTTTTGAATTTGAGAAGAAAAAATAAGTCTGAAACCTGACACATACCTCAATAGAACCTTTCCTTCTTGAAGTAAGAAATAGATGAAAATTGATAAGTTGGCGTGTAAGTCAAGCAATCTTTGAATAATAATGTGTTTCAGACTATTCACTTTCTACAGTCTTCTTCTTTTGGAAGTGTCCCAGAATCATCTTCGTCCACAATCCACATTCACTCTTTGGCACCTTTTTATATATTAAAAATCACTTACAAAAATGTTCTGTAAACTTTTAACTGATTTCAAGAAGGAAAAAGGTAATGTTTTCACTCGTTATGACTTAATATTCGCTAAATTCTATGCACAGTGTCATAGGGACCATTCCTTTCGACCGTGTTTTTTGACAAGACTTTTTCTAATAAACGTTGAAAAGTGAATAGTTAAAACAAAACATGTAACCATATGCTTTTTGTTTTATCGACAGTAAATCGTTTTATTCTGTAACTAGGTTTAAATAAATAACTGTTTTTGAGTTTTAAGTAACTTTTTTGTTGTTAACCAGGTTAAGTAACTTTAAAATAATAGCTAGTGATGATGAACACGAATTCTAAAATAAAATGACATGATGATGTAGTAGATTAATAAGTTTGCCAAAAAGGAGATTGCAGAGTATCCAACACCCACGTGCAACGCAAATGACCATGTCACTCTCATCATTATGCCTTTTCTTGTTCACTTTTCGATTTTACAAATCTAAAGTTGAGATCTGAGGTTTTAGATGATTAACTGAGACAGAAATCAGGATGATCCGATTCAGTAAACTTGAAAAAAAAAAAGGAATGATGATGCCGATGAAATTAATAAGTTGTTATGGTAGTTAAAGTACTCAAACGCTCTGTGACTTAATGGTAGTTGAGCGTAGATTCGCTCTTTTCCAAATTCAACTCTCACTTATAAGTGCTAACAAACTCGCTGCGGGCTGGTTAAACGAGATTTTGGTCCATGGTTTATCTTCTTATATTTTGCTCGTTCGACTAAACTCATTTACGAAATTAGTTGGACTTGTTTGTGATACTGATTGGTGGTGATGGCATGGTCATTGAAATGGTATATGCACTGTATACTGATCGCTTCCTCTAATTTGGTGTCGGGCTCGAATTATCTAAGGTTATAATTTTTCTTCCTTGCATATATGAGAGTATACAATGCTAAAACTTTATGATTTTCTTGGGCCGACTTTCGGGAGGAGTAAGATGTTGACTTATTAGTGATATGGAAAAAGCGAAGCAAACCCTTTAAATATGATTGCACTTACTTTCATGACTCCATTTTTTCTTTAGAGATAAAAAAAAAAGAAATTAAATTACAAAAGTTTCAATTTGTCAAGAAAAGAGGAAGAGAGAGCCAAAATAAAAGCTGTTAAGCTCATGGGATGTCTTCCGTTCTCAATTATTTATAAACTTTTGTGGTGATTTTTGATCCGTTCCTTCTATTAATTGTATATTTGTATGTTTTGTTTTAGGATAATGATTTCACTTTTACACCTGACCACATATATATATTTAGAACTTTTTAAGTTGAACCGATAAAACCTCTCTTGATTTTATTCGTTGGAGGCTCTTATATTGTTCGAGTAACACCGAGAAGATTTAAGCTATGAGGGCAATTAAGAAAGAAATGATGACAAATTCTGTTAACAGTTAGTTTCAAATTATTTTAAATAATCTAACCGTTCGTCTAGATAACAAAGCTATATTCACATGAACTGTTCTGCGTAGTATTTGTATAGAGAAGTGAGTTGTATACAAAAGTTATATCTGCATATCATAAAGGATGTGCAGATGGAAATGACCTTTGAAAAAACTAAAAGCACTCAAAAGTTATGTAAGTTCGTTGAAAGAATTTATGCGAAAGTAAAAAACAAAAAAATCAAATCTCAGTTTTACTCAAAGTCTTAAATACGTGTACCGAGTTATCGGACCCCAGAGTGGTCCTTAATTCCTTATATGTGATCTATCGGTAGATCTAATCAGCTGCACTACGGTTCTTGTTTGTTCGACGTAAGTTAAGCAACATTAATTATTAGAAGTTGAATTATAAATTATTCGGTTTCTTGTCAGAAAAAAAAAAACAATACGAATACGTACACACATTTATATTTTTCTTATATTTTGTAAAAAAACACATATTTCTTGGTATTTATGTTTCCTTGGGGAGTTTTCTCTCACGTAGGAGAACAAAAACACAAGCTCAATGCCAAGTCTAGTTAGGATTTCCATTTTTGTTCTTTCCCTAATGTCTATTTCTGCTGTTTTTCCTTTTAGATTTTGGTGCTATGTTTTTTGTAGATAGAGACGAGAACTGTTTGTGATTATCTTCTAGGGTTTGAGAAAGTTTTGAGGCTTTATCATTCACAATGGTATCAATTATCAAAGATGGCTGGGGCATAACAATTTAGCTAGATTATGAAAATGACGTTTTCTTCCTACTTGTTGTATTTCGAGTTATATCGGATTTCTAACTAAGAATGAATTAAATCCTTTATAAAAAAAACTAACTAAGAATGAATTCTTCATATAAAATCACAAAGTGTGTCGTATGCCAACAAACTCCAATCTATTTAAAAAGAAAAACATTAGTATGATAAAATTGTCAATTTTGTGTGGGTCCCATTATGATGATAGTTTATTTAAATTTATATTTGCCTTGAGAAAGAAAAAAAGAAATGCAAAGTATATTTAAATATCTCCATTTATTATTGCTCTCACTCGTCGCAGAAACAGAGATTCCTCGCTGTCTGAACTGAAACAAGATCGCATTTATCTCAAAGCCCTCACAAAGACAAAGATTTTCTCTCCTTCCTTCTTCCTTTTCTCTCTTCCTTTCCCTCTCTAAGAAACTCAGCTGAAAGGTAACAATGGAGAACCCTCCGGATCAAACAGAGTCAAAGGAGATTCTTCAACCCAGAAGTAGAAGACCAAAGGGCGGACTTCTCACTATGCCCTTCATCATTGGTAAACAATCTCTCTGATTCTCATTCATAAACCAAAGTTTTCTCTCTTTCTTCTCAGCGATCGATTCTGATTTTTTTCTTACTGGATGAAGCAAACGAGGCGTTCGAGAAAGTGGCGAGCTATGGATTACTACAGAACATGATTCTGTATCTGATGAGTGATTACGGACTGGGAGTTGTGAAAGGACAAACCGTGCTTTTCATGTGGGTCGCTGCTACTAATTTCATGCCTCTCGTTGGAGCTTTTCTCTCAGATTCGTATTTGGGTCGCTTTCTCACCATCGCCATTGCCTCTCTCTCCGGTTTCCTGGTAAATTTGTTTCTCCCTCCGTTCATTAATCTCACGAACCGGTTTATCATACTTCTTCTTCTTTTTGACGGTTTATTCCGGTTTATATGCAATTCGATTTCATCTCCGTTAAAATTCGGACATTATTATTTACTAACCAGTAAACACTCGGGTTGTTCACGTTTATCCGGTTTATAATCACTTAATCATTATGGATGTGATTTGTTGGTTTTTTACCCAAATTGGAAATCGATTGGTTTTGGTGAAATGGCATGCGCGTATAAGTGTTTTTTTTTTTCTGTTACTTGGACTTCGATAAATGGACTTTATTTGCGTCGATGATTGAAATTGAATTCCGGTGACAGTTTACGATAACTGTGACTTTGCTTGCGTCGACAACAAAAGAGAATTTATAAAATCTAACAAAGTCATAGAATTAAGGGCCTAGAATTAAATGGTACGAGGTTTTTTTTAAACTTATTTTTTAATTATTTAAATTCTCGAAATAGTAATATTTTTCTTTTTTTGTTGGTAAAATTTCAGGAATTTACTAGATTTTCCGATATTTTACTTTTTCCTGAATAATTTAATTATTTGCTTAAGAATAAACAAAAGTTAGGATTACACTAATACTAATGATCGTCTACAGTGAAATTTCTATTTTAAGAGTTATGATTAAAGCTTTTTAATAGCCTCTTTCCATTTAAGAGTCAAAATTTCACATGTTGCATGTGCGACCCTGAAATTGCTGTCCATTGAATGTAACTAAAGCACTTTTTTTTTCTTTCAATTAAATATTTCAAAGTCGGTAAAAATTAAATTCAAAGCCAGGTGTTCTGAAATGTCCATGTGAATGTGATTAATATAATAACAGGTTTTAAATAATCATAAAGTATTTTTATATCATTATCTCTAACTTATTTATTCTAAAAATCCGGTTGCTTTCCTTGTGGCCTTGTGGGCTTTCTCTGGCAAGTTGTGATTGTGAGTGACCTCACTTCTGAATCTCTAATAAATAAATAAAAACATTTTGTTCTTGTTATTTCATTATCACTATTTGCTGATTTTTTAATTTCTTTATTTATGTGTCCATATAAATATGGGCAAAGCTGACGTGGCCCCATATTTGCCACTATTTAAGTAATTGACATTAGTCCAAGATAGAAGTGTTAGGCTGGTGACATGCTTTTGTACTACTTGTCCCATTCTTGATCAAACTTTTACTTCACCCACTTGAAAATAACCTTATGATATTATATATCGTGACATTAATTGATTTTGAAATCTATTGCAATCATTCATCACGATCAATCATTTTACTTGAGAACAAAATGTTTTAGTATGATTGTGACAGCTGATGTATAGATCTGATCTAACACTCGGATTCTTGTTTCTTGGAAGTATACTTTCTGTAAAGATATCTATAGACTTTACGAAAAAATTTAAGACTGCATTTATATTAAGTTTTCCCTACAAAACAAATACTAGTAAATAGACAAAATTTTAATAATGCAAATTGCCACACACAATAATTTAATGACAATTTCTGATATTTTTTACTGATGTTGTATGAATCAAACGTTACAGGGGATGGTGGTGCTATGGCTAACGGCGATGTTGCCGCAAGTGAAGCCATCACCGTGTGTAGCATCTGCCGGAACCAACTGCAGTTCCCCGGCGGCGACATCTTCTCAGTTGGCTCTTTTGTATTTCGCATTTGCACTCATATCGATTGGATCAGGCGGAATCAGGCCATGTTCTTTAGCCTTTGGTGCTGATCAACTAGACAACAAAGAGAACCCCAAGAACGAGAGAGTTCTTGAGAGTTTCTTCGGCTGGTACTACGCTTCTTCATCGGTCGCTGTCTTGATCGCTTTCACGGTCATTGTCTATATTCAAGATCATTTAGGATGGAGAATCGGGTTTGGAATACCCGCGATTCTCATGCTGCTCGCTGGTATCGTCTTTGTTTTCGCGTCTCCTCTCTACGTGAAACGCAATGTGAGCAAGAGTCTGTTCACCGGTTTAGCTCAAGTCGCTGTTGCAGCTTACGTGAACAGGAAGTTAACTCTACCGGATCATAATGACTCGTACGATTCTTATTACCACTTGAAAGATTCTGAACTCAAAGCTCCAAGTGAAAAACTGAGGTAAAATGACCTAACTTTCATGTCAAGTCATTCTCTTCTTGATTGGTTTCTTGATTTTGTCATTTTGACACGCTCTCCTGCAAATTTTTTTTAGGTTTTTGAACAAAGCTTGTGTTATAAGTAACCGCGAGGAAGACATTGGCTCTGACGGTTTGGCATTAAACCCATGGAGGCTCAGCACAACGGACAAAGTCGAGGAACTCAAGGCCTTGGTCAAGGTGATACCGGTATGGTCCACAGGGATCATGATGTCGATAAACGTTAGCCAGAACTCGTTTCAGTTGCTTCAAGCTAACTCGATGGACAGACATTTGAGCAGCAACTCGACCTTCCAAATCCCGGGAGGATCTTTCGGTATGTTCACAATCATAGCCCTAATCTCATGGGTCGTTCTCTACGACCGAGCAATCCTCCCACTAGCTTCAAAGTTCCGAGGCAGACCGGTTAGGATCAACGTCAAGATCCGAATGGGGTTAGGTCTATTCATATCCTTCTTAGCCATGGCGGTTTCCGCAACCGTTGAGCATTACAGAAGGAGAACAGCGATAAGCCAAGGACTCGCAGACAAAGCTAACGCAACAGTGAACATCTCAGCGATGTGGCTCGTACCGCAGTATGTGTTACACGGTTTAGCAGAGGCCTTAACCGGGATAGGACAGACCGAGTTTTTCTATACAGAGTTTCCTAAAAGCATGTCGAGCATCGCGGCTTCGTTGTTCGGTCTAGGAATGGCAGTGGCTAATATTTTAGCTAGTGTGATACTCAACGTGGTGAAGAATAGCTCAAAGAAGGGTAAAGAGAGCTGGATTGAAGATAATATCAACAAGAGTCACTACGACTATTACTATTGGGTTTTAGCGATGTTGAGCTTCGTTAATGTAATCTATTACGTGGTGTGTAGCTGGTCGTATGGTCCAACGGTGGATCAGGTGAGGAATGAGAAGGTTAATGGTGTGAGAGAGGAAGAGGAAGAAGAAGTTAAATTAAACTAAAGAGATCCATTGGTTTTTGATTCATCATGTGTGTGTTATATAATCTCTATATTTGTATGTATGTAATTAGTTTATATTATATTATGGATTTGGATTTTAGGATGTAGATTATGGTATTGATATCAATCGGGTGTGCTTATTTATTACCAAAAAAAAAAAAAAAGAAGAAGAAGCCATTGTCCTAGTTGTGTGTTGTATGATATTTGATTAAAGAGAATCAAATTTTTCAAATGTTGATTTTTATGTAATGAATAATTCAAAGCTTACTAAGATTAGAACCATTGTCTTTGAGCTTGAGTCCAAGTGGGGCCATCCACAACCTTCCTGTGGCTATGATTTGTGCATCGCTTTCTCTTCGAACCTCGATGACAGCTGATTTTAAGCCTCCATTGGTCCCCTCCACTCTTGCTTCTACCTCTACTTTCTCCTGCAATTTTGTCGTATCATCATTAATACTTTTAATCATCACTATACTACCTCATAAATAACATCATAATCATTACAACTTCATAATTAACATCATACCACAGTCTTAATCATTACTATTTTGACAAATTAGAATTTAAAAAAAAATCATTTTAGATACAAAAACAGCACGAGAGAAAAATAAGGATGGGAAAGCGAACATGAATCTTGGCCGTTGAATAAAAGGAAGAGTTGAGATCGACGGAGGAATGGAGTCCGTCGCCGGAGGAATACACAGCGGAAGCTCCGATCGCGTCCATCACCGCCATGATCGCTCCGGCTTGCCAATTTCCATCTTCTCCCTGAGAGGGAGATTCATCTCTCGTAATCATCAATACTCACATGAAAGAAAAAAAAAAAGAAAAAAAAAAACGGATTGAATGGATGTGAGTGATGTACCGCGACACGATCCGTGATAAGTACTTTACATCTTAAGATTCCTTTTCCGACATGGATGAGTTCTAAGCCTTGGAAGATTAAAGTCTCTATCTCGCTAGGACCGTTTCCTTTGGCTAACTCCTCCAGATACAACTTCGTATTGAAGATCGACGTATGAACCATATCTCTTCTTTGTCTATCTGTATGCTCTCGTTAGATGAGAGCGGATTGGATAACTTCTGAATGTAAAATTTTGACTGGATCACTTATTTAATTATTACGATTATAAACATTGAGGTGTAAATAATTAAATAACCGGAAATAAGTCAACTTAAGCCGAGATCAAAGAAAGTCGAATCAAAGACCATGTGGTCAACGGTCCTTGAATAAGATTAGTTTCTTCGCGGTGATGCGTAAACAGAGCCATATCATTAAGATTTACTTTCCAAATAGTTTGGTTTTGATTCTTGACTTTATACAGTCAACAACATACTATAGAAAAAAAACACGAAATAAATTTATGCATATTTGTGTAATGCAATCGATGAACAAAAGAGAGATCCATGGTTGTCTAAGAATTTACTGCTGATCATCCAAAGATTTCTTTAGCTCTTTCTTGTTCACCTGCAAATCGAAACGGTACTCAGAAACTGAGGATGAGTTCTTCTAATATCACGAAACAAACATATCTCATTATCATTATTCATTCAGGACAAAAGAAGCTTTTAGTTACCTTTCCCATGGCGTTGCGGGGCAAGTTCTCCCATATCAGCAAACGTGTTGGTAACTGAAATAACCAAAAAAGAAAATTATGAGCAAGAAGTTTAAAGACTTTTTGTGTGTTGTGTTATCATGTTGGCATATCTTTGTGGAGAACCTTGTAAGGTGCAAGCTTGTCTTTAGCCCAACCACATAGTTCTTCTAAGGTCATTACTGGTTTCGACTCGTTATCACATTTCCTTTTTGCTTCACTTTCTGCTACAATTATCGCAGTCACTGCTTCCCCATAATCTTTGTCTGGTAACCCCAACACGCAGCATTCTGCAACCTTAGGGTGCTGCAAAACACAACCCCAAAATATTTCAGTTTAACGACTAAAAGTTCCATTATCTATTTCTCCAGGTGGAATGTTAGTGTTACCTCGAGAAGGGTTGATTCGATTTCTAAGGCGGACAATTTGTATCCTCCAACCTTCATAATGTCAGCGCTATTGCCTGATCAAAACCAGAGAAGAAGAAGAGAGGATGTCAAGGAAAGGAAAACAGAACCAGTCAAAAATAGTGTTTTTGAATGTACTTACGTCCTAAAATCACGTAATATCCATCCTCGTCCACTCTACCAGCATCTCCCGTCTTGAAGTATCCATCTTCCGTGAATGATTCTTTCGTCACTTCTGGAAGATTCCAGTACTCCTTGAACAATGATGGGCTCTTTACACAAATCTCACCCACACCATCCGTATCATTTTCATCTTGTTTAATTATAGCCTATAATGTTTTACACACATTTCTTTTATCACAGCTTCATAAGTGCCTTAGTTAAAAGGTATTGAATTTCGATCTTACTGACCTCTACACCGGGAAGCGGTTTGCCAACAGTACCTGCCTTCCGCTCGCCCCGGAAGGGATTTGAGATTGCCATTATAAACTACGAATATTGAACAAAATTTCAATAATCAGATTCAACTACTGAGAACAGGGCTTTATCAAAGGTATTGTGTATACCAGGGGAAAATAACAGAAAGAAGATGACTAAAGAGACATGAAAAATCTACTTACCTCAGTCATGCCATATCGTTCCAAAAGACGATGACCTGTGATACTTTCCCACTGGTGCATGACAGGTCTAGGAAGAGCAGAGGAGCCAGACATCTGAAAAATGTATTTCATCAGCAAACATGCAAAGCACATTTTCTTGATAATCATTAAGATGGATTTGCCCTTCTTAGAGATATTTGGTTGCTTACCATTAGGCGAAGCTTCTGTGCAGCAAAAGCGCTTGACTCTTGCATCTCTCGATCCATTGCTTCATAACCTTGTATCAACCGCGCATACATTGTTGGAACCTGTATATCACAACATTCACTTTTTACCAACTGCAAAAATCTATATCCCTCTCTCTCAAAATATCTAGAGCGCCAGACACAAAATAAGAAACTGATCGACTCAGCAAACAAGACTATCCCTTCGTTACATAATATTAGTGAGTAAATTGGTGCTGAATAGTTCCACTTATTCAGATATAAACCAACAATATAAACTTGCTATATCAGGTTCAAGTAAGGGCTTAAGCAACATGAAACCAAACATTTAACTTGAGGCAGGGACAGCTTAAGCATGAAATAGTAAATTTTCAGTAACATAAGCATAAACCAAAAAGACTTACTCCAGTAAATACAGTTATGGCGTCATCGGTTTTCTCATCATTCACCGGATATGATTCACGCCATCTACGCCAGATTCCACTAACACTAAATTTGGGCAAAAACTCGACCTTCAAAGAGGAATGTCAATATCAACAACCAGCTTGATGTTTTCAGAAGTTAATGTATTCTGAAGGAGCGAACTGAAGCTTATATGGATATAATAAGCTACCGAAGAGCGTGCGTAAAGAGGAGCAAACAAAGCATTGAATAGCCCATGAACATGGTGTAGTGGGAGGCAGTGGAGAAAGTGATCAGCAGATGTGTACTCCCACGCTTCGGTTAGCATTTTAACCTGGAACAAGCTTATGAGTTACAACGTAATTTTGCTTACTCACAGAAGAGACAGAGGAACACTTGTACGTATTTTTTTATCAATAGATTTATGTGGCCACATTCTAATGCAGGTCGGGTGGATGCTAAATGTGACGTGAGCTACATATGGAGGTTGGATACATACCTGGGAATTGATGCTGTTGTGCGTATGGACAACTCCTTTTGGTTTACCAGTTGTACCACTAGTGTAGATGATTAATGCTGGATCATCTGCTCAAATAAAGACTGACGTGATGGAGAAAAGACAGACCAATAATTGCTTGAGTATCATGATTTAAAGTATATTCAAAAATCTTACCTAGAAGCTTCGCTTCTGCTTCAAAACTGACATCTTGAAACTGATTGCGAGTAACACTTTCCGAAGTCGAGTTAACAACAGAGGGAATCAGAAGAAATCGAGCGTTGCTCTTTGCTGCAATTGTTTTCATAGTTTCACTATGCTCCTCCGTGCTCAATAACATAGATACATCCTAGAAACAAAAAGACAGCTCTTATTACAGAGTTAATAGCAGCATAAGGCACACTCATTTTGCTAAGCTTGAATGTGGTGAAAGACAAAGCCAACCACGAAAACCTAAGCCTTCATGCATCTTTTCTACTTTGTTCTACTTAGTACCCTTTTTCATCTCAGGGAAAACAACTGATGCTAGAAAATCAAACTGATCAACATTCTGAGCATACAAACTAAGATCAGGAATACCCAATAGTGAACATATGGATAGTTAAACAAACAATATCCTGAGTTTTTCAAGCAAAGCCAACAATGAAATCAGCAAGGCAAATAGAATCCATACCGAGTTTTTCATGACATATAAGAGTTCAGCCTCTGGATAGCTGAGGGCAAGAGGAACTGCGACGCCACCACTAAACCAAGTCCCCAAGACTCCTGCAACAAACTCAGCTGAAGGTTTTGCCATAATCCCAACTCTAGCTCCTTGCAGACTACCAAACCCTTCATACTTGCTATTTTGGCCGTTCTAAGAAATTTAGAGAAGACAAAAAATTCAATAACCAGAAAACCTATCTAGTAAAAGGATCTACATTTTCAAAACCAATTACCATACATTTGTAGTGGTATCGTCGCTGCGGAACAATTTAGATATTGTCAAGGCAGACGATGTTAGCTGGCCATAAGAGTAACTCTTTCCATCAGCTTTAATCGCTATCCGATCACACGCATTAGAACCTTCTGAAAAAGCTGCTTTAAACACTTCCATGATCGAACCAGATTGTGAAGCTGCATGCCATTGAGCAAATAGATGATCTCAGCTTATAGATATCACCAACTAATACATAAAACTGAGGCTAATAGGAAAAAAGATTGCAACTTTTTATATAAACAGAAGGGATGGTCAAAGAGATCCAATATCTTCAGATCAAAACAACAAATTGTTCTGTTCTACGGATCATTAACGTCAAATTCGGAAAGCACGAATCTTTTAGACATTTTGTCGAACATGTAACATGCGTTTAATTAAAAAAAAATGCAGAAAGACGAATCAGGGGACCACAAAGCAGAATTGCCATAACTCAAAATCATAATTATAAAATTTCAAAATAGAGGGGAGAGAGAGGGATCTTACAGAAGAGATGGTTAGATTGGAAGAATCGAAACCCAGAATACGGAAACGAAGTAGCTGGCTGATTTCGAGGAAGACGACAGGAGAAAATAGCGTAGTCGTGGAGTCGAGGGTTGATATAAGAAAAGTAGTTGAAACTCTTTAATGTAGCGGTCATTTTTAGGTGTGGTTCGTTAAAAATGGTTTGATAATTTCGATGAAAGGTTTCTGCTTTTTGGCCTAGTCGTACAGTCAATTTACGTAGCCGTTCATCTTAGGTTGCAATCGCGGAAAAAAAAAGAGCCTTTCGTGGATGATGATGAATAGCGGCCGACTCAAGCGTTTGGCGACGCGACTTCTCTAAGTTGGCGGTGCCACGTGCGTGTTTCGGCGGTGGAAAATACTGAAAAGTGGCACTTTTTCATTTTGAAAGAAATGGAAATCGAACTGATTACGAACTTTTTATTTGGGTAATTTAGTGGTGATTAGTGGTTTAGCACTATGCCACTTGTTTTATTCATTCATTTATTAGGTCGTAACTTTCTTTTAACTTTTAAGTAAGACCAGCAGAAGACTACAGCTCCATTGATGTGATCCTGACCGTTGATATTAAACAATTGTGCTGGTTAGGTTAGCTAACATTTTAGTATTTTACAGACGTGCATTAATTTGAAACTACAGAGGAAGATTTAATTTATAATGTCAACATGCAATTACATTTGAGTATTTGACTAAATTGAAAAGTTATAATTTTAGTTTTTGTTAATAAACTCTTTTTAAAGGCAAAAATACAAAAACAAATTGTAAATGAGTTCTAATTTTGTTAAGATTTGACTAATATGCAAAGTTATATTCCCTCCAGAGAAAAATAAAATAAAATAAAATACGTATTCCCTCCAAGATCACACTCTCTCCATTTTGAAATTTCGTAATTTCTTTCTTCTCAGAAAACCGTTTGGTTTCTGGGAAATTCATAGATGCTGGCAAAAAAAAAATCGAGAGTGACGCCAGAGATAATCATCGTTCCGATTAGGATCCTCAATCTATTTTGTTCTGTTATCTGTCAGCCATAGCGACTCTCCACACACTGATCTGATCTATGAATCGACGCTGTTCTGAGGATTTCTCACCCGATCATGCTCAAATCGATTCCCCAAATCAAGGGAATAGCGTGTACGGCTGCTATGTGAATGATCGATATCGCAATCGCACGATAGAGAAGAACACGATGGATCTCGTTTTTACCCAATTAGGGTTATCTCCCGTCATCCCAGAATCGCCTATCAGAGAACTTCCTCTTTTCCCTCCGATTTCTCGGTACTGTTCCAGTTTCCTGCAATTTCTCGTTCTAGATGCGATTCTTTTGAGTAATTTCGTTCCAGAATATGCCAGATCAATTATGTATGAGTAGCTACTAGCTCGTAGATGGTGGTTCATAATCGTATTGTTCTCTGATATTGACTGGTCTCTAATTTGAAGCAGAGAGCCTATAGAAACTCCAGAAACGAAGGATGCGAAAGATCAGGAAGGCATTGCTTGGAGGAAGCACAAAGGATGTCGCTGCAAGCAGTCCAAATGTTTAAAGTTGTAAGCCTATTTTCAGGAATTAAGCTTGATAGAGATGAAAGAGAGTTCTGAATTTAGATCATACTACATTCGTTGTAGAACACTTGCAGATGCTGAATTTAAGGTTGGATTGATGCATTTTCGGATAATTGTTTGACAATACGTCCCTTGGTTATTAGGTACTGTGACTGCTTTTCATCAGGATTGTTCTGTATCGACTGTGACTGTGCTGATTGCCATAACAAGCCTGCGAACTGTGATGTCAGAGAAGCAGCTTTGGTGAATGTATTAGGTCGCAATCCAAACGCCTTCAATGCAAAGCCTCTCAGCCTCCCAATTGATAAGCAGGTATGTCCTTCAAGCCGTATCACTTTGTGAGATTGAAGAAGCAAACGGTTATATATGAGAAGATGTTAGAAGATCGGAATATGATTTGCGCTTGTTGTATTGTAGTATAAGGCTAAACTTGGACTGGTTTCGAGAGGCTGCAAATGCAAAAGAACCAAGTGCTTGAAGAAGTACTGTGAATGCTTTCAGGCTAACGTTATGTGCTCAGAAAACTGTAAATGCATCAACTGTGAGAACGTCAATGAAGAGATCCAGCCTTCTGTTCTTGCCTGGGGTCTAAAAAACAGGAGGCTTTTCAAAAGTTATGAGAGTCATTGCGATGCCAATGCTATAGGAACTAACGATAACAGCCACAATAGTGCTGGATGTATGAATTATGCTCCTGGATTTTCTGCTCATAGTTCCCCACAGGTATACCGGAGGAGAAGATTCCTGGAGCTACCTGAGGCAAGTCTAAACTACATACAACCTGCTTCACAACGTATATTCAATTTTAGAAATTAATATCCACAGACTCATTATCTCTCTGTTTTAAACAGCAGTGGAATTCTTGTCCAGCTCCTTTAAGTTTGAAACCTGAAAATGCCATTCTAAATCCTCTGTGTTCCCCTATGTTTAGCTCTCCTAAACTCCCTTACAGGTTCGCCTTTTACATTTTCCTCTTCCTTCACCTTTTTATAGGCAAAGATATTGAACTTGACCTTTTTTGGTAACATCAGAAAGAAAAGGTCTCGTTTGGGATATAGCAGCACACATGTTCCGGACGTGGGAGATATATGCTCACTTCTCTTAGCAGCATCTGAATCTGCTACAGCAAAAGCAGGTATACACTTAAAATGATCTCAAATTCTCAACTTTGTTATATATATACGATTCTGTCTTTCTTGGTTTTGCCATTAACATGCATCCTTCATAATCTCATGACAATTAGCAGGCAACACACCAGTGTTCGACCAGAACAGGATATGTATAAAGACTGATGACAAGCTAGACAACATGTGCCTTGAGCTATCTAGTAATGTGGAAGAGGAAATATCATCATGTGGAAGATTGATCGAACTCATAGATGCCCAATACAATGGAGAAGAGGATTCTCAGTGTCAAGAGACCAAGACAAATGGCAATGAAGCAGATATATACATGGAGCAAGAGAAGGCAGTGCTTGAAAATTTCAGAGATTGCCTCCAGAAGTTCATCAACATTAGATTCGGAAGAGGTACTAATTCCATCTCACTTCGATAATCACTCTAGATTCTCTCCATCATCTACTACCACTTTTAGTTGCAATTTGTGACAGGTCAGGTTCATTAAACGAGAAGAGAGCTAAACCGTAATTAGTCATCAAGCAGAGAAAGATCAAGAAATCTTGAACAAGAAATGACTAATTAAAATTAAACCACAATAAACAAACATCAATACTGGACTGAAGATTAATGTTACAGAAGTTGGGTTCTGATTCTTATTTCTGCGTTACACACATGGTCTGTTGTGTCACACACAAGTAATGAAGAAGAGCCGGTTATCGTCGTCTGTGAGTTGTCCGGTTTGAGACTAATTGAAGGGCAGCGTTTTAGTGATTGAAGGGAAGGATGAGAGACTCTGGTCGCGACAGAGTATCTACCTGAGTATGCCTATTTATACTCTGTCTCAGCTTCATTCATTATAAGCCGTTGTAAACTGAGAGAAAGCTTGTTGCTTTGAGCGTTTTCTCTTGTAAGCTCCTTTGTGAGTGTTCATCTCTGATCTATAAAGCGCCAGGACCGAGTCTGGCCCCAGAGTAGGTTTTACTATCACACCGATAGGCCGAACTGGGTAAACAATTGTGTCTCGTCTCTTTGTTCTGTTTTCTTTGTTTTGTGTGTTCTTACAAACTAGTGAGTGAACAAACGAGAGTGTGTGAGGTGCGAAACGAACGTGAATCTAGATCTATACACTACAATTAAGAACACCAACTAACTAAATTTACTACACCAGATCAATAGAGGGATGATTGATTTAAAGCACACTAAACAAACAATTAGATAAAATAATTTTTTTAAAGCTCTCTCACTCCCACATAGCAACCTCAATGAACCCATCCTCCGTTGCACATCCCCTGAACATGCCATTACAGTTAAAACCACAAACCACCTCTCCTTTATTCGACACAGCGATGAGTCCAGCGAAACCTTCGTCCAGACGATGCTTGATGACGTAATCAACCGCTTCCTGAAGCGCAAGCCCTTTATACTCCATAACAGCCGACACGTCACGCGCTAGCGTCGACCTTATGATAGCTTCTCCTTCTCCAGTGCACGACACGCCGCATAGCTCAGACGCATACGTCCCTGCTCCTATCAGCGGCGAGTCTCCGATCCTTCCCATCATCTTGTTCATCAGACCACCGGTCGATGTCCCGGCGGCGCACCGTCCTTCCCTGTCCACCACGACGCATCCGACTGTCTCCGGCGCGTAAATGCTGATTGGAAGACCGTTCATCACGATAGGACTTTCCGTAGCAGCTGCACCGGCGCATCCCAGCAGCGGGATCCGGTAATCAAACTGGATATAAACAACAAACAAAAAAATATTGAGCATACGATGGTAAAAACAAAAACGTGACGATGAAGAAATGAACGGTGTAGATTGAGTCAAATCGTATACCAAGATGGAGTTAGCTTCCTTGGCCAGCTTAAGCATCCCGACGTTGTCGTCCGTGACAAAGTAATCGTTGTCCACAGTCTCAACTCCCTTATTCATATAAACCAATCAAATTTCGGTTAAGCGGTGAAATTTAACCGAGTGGTTAAGAATAAAAAGTGGAGGGGCAAAATAGTAAAATAAAATACCTGTTTGCGGGCGAAATCCTCAGCGCCTGAGAAAGCTAGGTAAGAGTGGGGAGATTTGTCCATGACGAGACGAGCGAGAGAGATCGGGTTCTTCACGGTGGTTATCCCCGAAACGGCACCGCATCGTCTCTTCGTACCGTCCATAATGCTAGCTTCCATCTCCACCGTCCCTTTCTCCGTCAAAGCAGATCCACGCCCTGAGTTAAACAGAGGATCCGTCTCCAATTCTCTTACCTGTGTCACAATTTGTTAAAAAATACAAAATCAACAAACAACGTAGAATAAAACAAAAACAGGAATCTGAAATAAAATATGTGAGAGGATAGAGACGTACGACGAGCTCAACGACGTCAATGGCGGACATGTTTGAAGACAGAGCTGCTATGCCGAGGTTGAGACAGCGAGTCAAAAGCTGTTTCGCCTCTTCTTGTCTCTCGACCGGAAGGTTAGGGTCAATTCCGGCGCCACCGTGTACAGCGATTGCCCATCTACCCATTCTCTCTTCTTCTTTGTTTCAATCTCTCTCTCTCTCTGTTTTTTCACAATGTCTCTCACAGTTTACACCACAAATTAATTAACCGAGTTTGATGGGAGAAGAGAAGAGTCGCATTGTGTCCTTTATATAGGCCCTCACGAGGAAAGGTGGGCCCACATTTAAAGGAGTGGGGTCAGCTGCTTTCACTACCTTTAATTTACGTTTAATTGGTAAATATTTTTAATTACCGCATCTGATTTTTTTCTGCATCCGTATTTTAATTTTTAGCGGAATATATTTTTATTTTATTTTTCTTCTGTATTGTTTGTTTTCTTTTCAGTTATTTTGTTAACCATTTCCCTTTTCAGTTTAATGTTAAAAACAGAATTTCTAAACCAGTTAAAACTATATTTTAATGGCATCATATTAGTGATAAAATTTTCATGTATTCTCTTATGAAGAACGTAAAATTAATCTTATAAATCAAAGATATTGATAGATTCTTGACTACTACCAAGATGAACGTTCTTCAACTGAAATACTTTATGTTGAAATTCTTGAACCGTTTGTTGAAAATGAAAAAAATCTCGAACCAAGACAAAAGAGTCCTCGGAACTTGCAATGGCACTTGTTATGTTAGATCCTACATCTGTTTTATAACATGCATGAAGAGAGCGATAGCTATATATTGGTTATTATGCATTTTTTTAGTCTATCGATCGTTTTCATTTTGTCTTATTATATCAACCATGCAGAACATGGATCTGTTTTTAATAATAAAATCTGTTTATGATAAATAACTAATTCACACAACTTGTGATATAAATAGATTACAACTCCAAGTTGGCACGCAATTTCCATTTTTGTTTAAACAACTTCCTTTCTTTTCGTTTCTGTATGTTTATCGTCAATTCTGGGCTAATGATCGACGTCAATACTCATAGCTCAATACTATGTGTAAAGTCTATCTTGTCGATTATTTGGGTCCAACTCGACAGGTTTATCAGAAGTTGTTATTTTTCTACTTAATCTAACGTAATCGTATGCATCACATTAATTCCTCCTCAGACGTATCGGATCCTTTCTTGTCCATCATATAATCATATATATACATATATGCATCGAGACATCCATTTTTTACGTCATTGACCAAAACAGCAGGTAATTTCTGTCCTCATAAGTCATAATTACTAATTAGAATAAAAAATTAACTATTACATAATTTTTTTGTTTACTTTAAATAAATAAGTATAACATAAGCAAATTATAAGCAAAATATATGCAGATCATAAGTAAAAAAAAAAATCTTTTAGAGCCATATTCTTAAAATTGTGATTGTTTTCAACATTTTAACATTTTAAAAAATAAGTTCTTAGGTAAATAAGTTATTATATAAGTTAAATTGAGATTATGACACATATCATCAATTTAAGAAGATACATGCCAACTTATCAGAGAGATTGAATAAAAATAACTTTAATATATTATAATAAATGGTGCTACATCTGGTAATACCCCTGGCTTATTGTAAATGAATAATATAGACATGAAAAAGAAAAATAATATTTTTTTATCAAATACCCATAATAAATAAAACCAGCTTCATATAACGACGTATATAGGAACGGCTTGAGTTATATTATTCATCGTATACCAAGATGGAGTTAGCTTTCCTCGGCCAACTTAAGCATCCCGACGTTGTCGTCCGTGACAAAGTAATCGTTGTCCACAGCTTCAACTCCCTATTCATTAAACCAATATAATTTCATATGAACCATCTATTCAACATAAGCAACTAAAAATATATATATATATGAATTTATATACTCCTTATTTTATCAAAATATATAAAAATATTTAATGTTAAAAGAAGTTAAAGCTTAAACAAATGTTGGCATAAGTTGATTGCCCTAGTGGTTTAATCATCTGCACCGTAATCAGATTCGAATTTTTATATAAGTGTGGAGTATTAAAGTAGGTGTGACTATTGGAAAAGAGAAAACCAGAAAGCCAGAAAGCGAATGTAGTTGTTTGTGTATCATTAGACCGAAACAGAAAACAATGGGGACGCATGCACTTGCTAGCGAGTAGCAGAATCCTATGCATTATTTACCGCACGATTTTTCTCTAAATATAATTTATTTATTGAGTGCCAGTCACATCTCCCTGTCTTTCTCTCCACAGGTTTGGAATCTCCGAGATTTCCTCTTCATGTGTGGAAAAGGACAGAACCTTAGTGACTTGAGTTGTTGATTCCAATAGATCCCATCACGTGACAGACCGCAATTAGAAGACGTCTCTCCTCTTCCTTCTTTATTGCCTCTCCCATGTCTTAGGGGTCAATTAGATCCCCACTCGAATATTGTCCTCTCATGTTCTTAAAGACCCGTACTTCTCGTCTTTATACGAGATTCAATATTTTTTTGGAGCAAATACACGAGTTGATCAATTGAATTTTGATTGGAAAATTTCAAAACTACACCTCTTGATATGCCAATTTTCAAAAATACATTTTTATGGTGCCAATTTTCAAAACTACACTTTTTTCATTTAGTAAAATAACTCTAAACTCTAAAATATAAATCCAAAATCCTAAAATCTAACATTGAACCCTTAAATCTAAATCTTAAACCCCAAAATTTAAACCGTAATATATGATTAGTGAACCCAAATATATATATTAAAATTGGGGAAATGTGTATTTTTGAAAATTTCCAAACTATAGGTGTAGTTTTGAAAATTTGCACCTCAAGAGGTGTATTTCATAAAATTTCTCTTACATACCCTAAAGCAAATATTAGTTCAAGATATACGAAACTGCAAAATGGATTTTGATTTTACTTCACTTATTTTGTATATACTAGAAAAAAAATTGTATAAACTTTTGAACCTTACTTTTGTTTTTTTTGGTGCAAATGTGAACCTTACTTTTGTTTTTTGAATACTTTGTGAAAAACCTTTTAGTGCGATCACTGATCCCAAAAAAATCAAATGTGTTTATACTATTTATATCGATATATACCAAACAAATTTTCTCTTTCTTGGTTAAAGGATACCAATTAAGTTAACTACATACAGTATGTTTTGATTTATACGATTTTATCGATACCAATACTAAAGCCCAAAATAAAGTAAAATTCGGAAATGTAGGGGACAAAATAAAGAAAGAGATGCATGTGAGTAAATAGTAATTTTGTGATTAGTGTGTCACGAGTCTCGTGAGTACTTGCGACAGGCTGGATTTTTTTGGTATTACCTAAAACGCATTTGGACATTTTTCAAAATTAAACATAAAACGAGGGGCCAAACCAAAAGGACTCTAAATGCCTTGCGAGTCAGTCTATCTCCGTGTTAAAACTACATTAGTTTACAACCTTATCTTACGTAGACTCCACGTGGCATGTCGTAATTGGCGCAAGAAGATCTTCGAGAGGAGATCTCAGTTTGCCACGTCAGAAGAAGATCAAAATACACCTCATTTTTGACCAAAGGCTATCTATCTTGAACAAATTCCAACTCAACTATTGTCATCCACAACACAAAATCAGTGATAAGCCATGGCGTCTTTTGCAACCGTAGCCGTCGTGAAACCATCCGCGGCCGTAAAGGGCCTCGGCGGCAGCTCACTCGCCGGAGCTAAGCTCTCCATCAAGCCTTCCCGTCTGAGCTTCAAACCCAAATCCATCAGGTAACTAAAAGCTCTTCATCTATCTATGACTATAGATTAAGATGATACGTAAACCACATTATAATTAGGAATCCATTTTCACAGTTCATAACTTCATATCAGTCCACTAGATATTTTTATATGGTTTTTTGCTGATAAAAGACTTTGTGTGAGACATAAATAGTGCTGAAAATGCTAAAAAGAAGGGCATTTTACTCTCTCGTAATCAATTAGCTTGACGTTGTTTTTCATCTGTAATAGAGCTGGTGGTGTGGTGGCTAAGTATGGAGACAAAAGTGTATACTTTGACTTAGAAGATTTGGGAAACACAACAGGTCAATGGGACTTATACGGCTCTGACGCTCCTTCTCCATACAACCCTCTTCAGGTTTATAATTCATCTTATAACCTAATTGGCGGAAAAACTTAGAATCTCTAGATAGACTTTTGGAATTGTGAAAAGACCTCTTATTATATGTTTACTTGTAGAGCAAGTTCTTTGAGACATTCGCTGCACCATTCACAAAGAGAGGATTGCTCCTCAAGTTCTTGATTATTGGAGGAGGCTCTTTGCTTACTTATGTCAGTGCTTCGTCCACCGGCGAAGTTCTTCCTATCAAGAGAGGTCCTCAGGAGAAGCCTAAGCTCGGTCCTCGCGGCAAGCTCTGATTTTACATTCATGCAATGTTTGTTTGTTACCAATTCTCTTCCTCCTCCTAATTTCAGAAACATTTCTCAATACTGCAAACTCTTTCAAATGATTTTATTATGTATATTCTGTTTCTCTGTTACATTTTTCTTAGCCCTAATTTTACAAAAGAAAATCTTATTATTTTTCAAGAGTATCGTCCTGCGGTTGGACTTCTTGTGGTTCCAAGAGATTCAAGATAAGAAGTGGTCTTCTTGTTATTAGCCATGATCATGCTTGACACTCTGGTCAACAGTTTCTTGCCTGATTCTTTCAATGGTGCTTCGTTCTTTTCTTTCTTCGGTTGATCTTGGTCTTCCATATTCCATTGCATTACCTCTGACAGTGAAATGGGAGGCTTCTGCTTCTTCGGTCTCTCCTCCAAAAGACAATAGTTTTGGCCTTGTTCCATCACTGGACTCTCTGTTTCCTTCACTATATATCTCTTACAAACCGCGATTTCAGAGTCCTGAGTTAGCTGATCAGCTTCAAGAACATCTTCTATTCTTGACATTACCGTGTGCGCCAAGCTTTCAAGAACCCTCGAATAACTTTCCAGTATAGCGAACCCTATATCCTGCAAAAACAGAAATTTTCTTAGGACAGAACATAAACAAGTAAATGCTTAATGTGGTTTAATACAGGTTTTTGATTGATTACTTTGTTGAATTGTATCTTGCTGATGTCAAGTGTGGATTGGGAGATCCCTGGGAATTCTTGTTTTAGAAGAAGCAAGATTGTTTCTGCTCTTTCTTCTAGCAGTTGTCTCTTCTCCATACTCAGGTTCGTACTAAATGGAGACGACGACTTGTTGTCTTTCTGCACTATCTTTCTCTTCCATATCACACCCGAAGCTTCGAATCTGTTCTTTAGATCAACAATCTTGTGCTCAGATGATAAATCCATTTCAAGAAGAAAATGCTCTGGATCAAACGTGTCTAATGTTATCGTTCTGTAGATGTTGTCTCCAAGACTAGCTCTCCCATTCTGTTGAGTCACAAAAAGAAGAAGAAGACATCGATAAGGATATGGAGTCAGAAGGGATCCATCGATGAGCTTAGTGTTTAGGGTTAGGGTTTATATATATACCTTAGGAAGTGAGTCAATGTAGCTCTCAGGGATCTCCATTTGAGACAAGACCTCAGCGTTTATGGCCATTGCTGATTTAAGCACTTGGAACACACACTCTCTCTGACTCAATAGAAACCTTTTGGACTTTTCAGATAAGCCTTTAGGAGGAACTTTGACTGTCGGAAGCCACCATTTATCATCGTTCCTGGTCGAGTTTATATTTAGAGATTCCGGAGAATCGCTTGTGACGTAAGAGAACTCATCCTGATCCTTGAATTTATCAAGACAATCCTGCAGAGAGTTTGTCATATTTTACAACCTAATTAGATCTTGTTGATGCAAATGCAAGAAGAAAATTTTAAGCATATTTGTTTTAACTTACAATGAGCATAGCATCGAGTTTCTTAAGAGCAGGGATATTGGAGGCAAGATCTGTTCTCTGTTTCGTTGACATTACCTACAACAGAAGATCAACTATTTAGATTCAAAACACAACAAAAATATTATCAGAAAGTAAAAGAAGGGAAAATGTTTTCAGAAACCTCCATGGAAGATCCATCTTTGTTTGTTTGTTGTGTTGGAGAGAATTCGACTATATGATCAGTAACAGAGAGAAACCATCCGATTTCTCTTCTCCACCGTTTTTTTCTCTCCTCAGATAATGGCTCTAAACGCCGTTGTTCTCCAAACGCAGAAGCCGAAAGATTTGTGATGGCGTTTGATAATGCCATAGCTGACGAAACACCTTCTCCTCCTCCTGACATGTCTTCTCCTAGAAGCAATTTCGCAAACCTTTCTTTCATCTGTTCCTGTCCTGTAACATATGTAAAATGCAATGACATTAGATTTATCTTGAAACCCACGAAACCTCAACTCTAAAGACGTAGCTTGCGATACAAGAAACCTCAGGAAGACTTATTAATCTAAGAAAAAATGTTATAAAAATGTTATCTCTCTTGCCTGCCTCTTCCTGTAGTTCTTCATCAGTTGCTTCATTCGGCTGAGGCGGCTCGTCCTTAGCCAGAGGCTGTCGAAGCGGTAACATTGGCCGGACACTTGAGGCCGCGGTTTTCTTGAAAACAACGTCATCATTCATGTCTGGATCTTCAGTTCTCAAGGCGGAATCTGACTCTGTGTTGCGTTTCTTGACGTGCCGTGAAGATGAGTCTTTCTCCTTCATGCTATCGAGATCGAACAATCTCGAGTTGTAGCTTTCTTCTTCTTGCTCAACCGATTTCGCCATGTCCATAATTTTCTTAAATCTGAGGAGTGGTTCTCTGTTTTTGAATTTCTCTGTTTTTTCCTCTTGCAAAGAGGAGTTTTTAGGCGGGAGAGACATTGAAGATCGTGAAGAAAACCAAAAAGAAACAGAGAGAGTTCTTTGATCTTGTTGTAGAGAATTTAGAAAACTAACTCTTAAAACGAAACGAAACCGTGTTGTGTAATATAATATACTCAAGAGCATGGGAAATCCAGAATAGCTGTTTCAGGTTTGACTTCTGTTTGATGCTTTCTTTTCTCTTTTGCCTCATCAGAATTACTAACTAACTAACCGATTAGTTGTCCGAAACTTCCCTCAAATTTAGGATTTTAAGATGCTGTGTTTTACATTTAGAAAACATAAATTTTAACCTTATTATTACTTTACTATTTATAAATTGTAAACACAAACGTAAATATTTATGTACTTTCCGCATTATTGTTTACAATATCTTTGCATCTTATATATGGTATGAAGTATTTTATTCAGCACTAAATTCAGATCAGTTATTAACTTATTATACTTCTTTGTTGAACAATTTTATTCATTTTTATATTTCTCTTAATAAAACCCAAAATCCATATTTATACAGAGACAAGATCTCACAATTTATTGGAAAAACAAAGATCTATTCACACACACAAAAAAAGCTACCTACACAAACAAAGCTACTTCAAGTTTAAAAGAAAGAGAAAACATGGATGTGAATGTGATTGACAAACTAAAGAGTGGCGCCTTTGAAGATGAGGAAATGGAGGGTCCCCAAATGAAAATAGATGTAACTTCCTTTAGAATGTGTGAAGAAACACCCAAAATTTGATCCCACCACACATTGCCATCCACTTCCATATCTCTCATCAAACTCCTGATTGAAAAATCCAAATTAAATTAGCCAAAGAAGAAACAAGACTCTAGAATTATCTTCCTCGGAGAACTAATAAAAAAAAAACTAACCTTCTTGATGTGAGCAGCGATGGATTGACAGTCAACGACATCAAAAAGATCGAGAGACTGAGAAGCAATGCTCATTGCTTGCATTTGCATCTTCACCGGCATATCTGTCTCTTCCACCTTCGCTTTCCCTTCCAGCATCGTTAGCTACCTGTATATTACATCCCTCTCTAATTAAGACTCAAAAAAATTCTGATCAAAACAAAAACATAGTCGAAGAGATTCGTTCTTGTAAGATCACAAGAGCTAATCTATTGAGTATTGATGATAACTCATCGTACGTACGTCACCTTTTCCGACAGGTTTTAGAGGTTTAGGGTGTAAGATGCCCAGTCGTTTTATCTTTGCTGATTTTAAGGAACTGTGTTAGCTTATGGCTTACGGGTATTTATATAAGAAAAAATCTTAGTCTTTTAATTTATTTTCCTCTTATCTTTAACTTTTTGTTTATCACAATCTTTTTTGTTACTAGAAAGAGATACTGTATTACTATAAAGGTTCTGATTTTTCTCATATTTTGATAATCATGAGAAGAATTAAAGATACTACGCGGTAAGAAAATAGGGTGTGATGAGTCATGAGAGATAGAGTAAAGATCTCTCTGACGTGTGTCCACGTCGTTTTCAGGCCTCAGTTGATAGGATAACGATGGAGAGGTTCATAATATATCATTTCCATATGGAATTTCGACTTTTTAAAGCTTCAGAAATAGAATGATGATGCCTCCTCTCTCTAATGCACTATTTCGGTTTGCAGCTAAATGGGCCGACACAAAATGAGCACCATCAAGGCAATGCGTCAACATTGTCATGCATCAGATAACTAGATGACATAATGAAGGTAAAAAACCCAATTCGTTTCTTAAACTCCAGAATCAATAACTTATAACCTTTTCAAAGCTCATGTCTAGAGTCTGTTTACGTAAATTGGATATTCTTTTTTTTTTTTTTCGTAGGCAGTAAATAAGCTATAATCGATTGCCAAAGTAAACATGAAACATTTCAAGAGTCATATATAGACCTGGAAATTCGAACCCAATAACTAAAAGACAGAGTTTACGTTTCATTGAGTCTCGAGCTTATAATTCTATGACAGTGAATTAAAAGAACATGTACACTTTCGGGAGAATCATGTTTGCGTCTCTCTGAGATGGGAACCACAAAAGCTTTCTCTCCTTTCTCTGCCTCAGTTACACATATCTGAGTTCTATATATTTCTATAGTGAATTTACTCTGCTCCATCAACAGACGCATCCGCAACCGTCTTTCCTTTGTTATCTGCTTCGCCTGTTGATCCCGGTTTCTTACTCTCCAGAAAATGAAGTCGGTTTCGCAAAATCTACACCACAACGTTAATACTTACTATAAGCTATTGAGTCTGGAGTTATGCATAAGATACATTACTCAGGGATCATACCTCGAGATGGGTCTCGAGAGATTTTCTCATCTCTTCCAGCTTATCCTCTGAGAAATTTGCATAGGCACGAGATTTATCACCAGGAAGGTTGTGTTGAGGAAGCTGCGATGGAACAGAGGACGAAGGATGTGCTCCATGTTGTTCAGTTGACACTTGCTCCGGCGACCTTAACATCAGAGGCAAACATATTTCTCAGTTTTTCTCTCTACCACATTGAAGGGAATTAAGGAAAGATTGCAAATGCTTATAATAGCTGACGAACATGAATTTAAAGTATAATATATCACATTGTGGAAGATCTCGAGGGACTAAAGATGATATGATAGGGAAAGTGAGATTAGAAAAGCAGAAACTAAAGTTGTCGCTGTAAATGTTGTATCCTTTGAGTTTCATACAAATCTAAAAGCTTACTTAAGAACCATATTTGAATATTTAGCTATTTAGACCAATCCCACAATACCTTCAGCGTCTTTGGGTGGGGTGACGTTTATGATTCAAGAAATCAAAACCACTTTAAAAAGTTCTACAACTCAAAACCAAGCATAGAGTTAGCAGATCAGTACATACCATGCTACTTTGTTGGCAGATGGATAAACCATTGATTTCCCGTACATGGAGGCCGCAGAAGCAGCTGCTTGAAGCCTGGCGTGGTGCCTGCTCAGATTATCATTTGGAACACCAGCAGAAGAACGTGTTTCAGATCCCTGGGCACCTGAGCTTGAAGTACCTGCTTCAATTTTCACACAACTAATTAGTCAACGTTTCTTATCACAGTAATAAGAATCTCAAAAGCAAACTTGGTTGCATAACATATAGTACACACAATAAAAAAGAAAAAATCGTATTTATAGGAAATTTGAACGAGCAGTACCTTGTTGAGCACCTTGGTGTAATCCACGTTGGCCTGCAGCTGCAGATGCTGCATTTTCAGGAGGTACAACAAGTGCTCTGCAAGTAGGACATGTCTGCTGTCGTTCCAACCATGAACGGAGACAATGGACATGAAAGAGATGCCCACAGATCAGCTTCTTCGCATTTGTCATCTCTTCACGGCATATGATACATGTGGCATCACTTCTGCATATTCAAACGAAACGAAACACAATTGATATAAAGACCAGAAATCAGAATTATGCCTACTTTTAGGTGTGAAAACGTTAATGTGATAACTGAAACTTACGCAGTAAGTTCTTCAGGAGTCGCATCAGGAAACCTCTCGTTCATATTGGAAGTGATTTTACGATAACGCAGGTAATCAGAGACTCGAATCTGGAAGTTCCTGAAGGTTTCGTAGAGCTCCCGCAACAAGTGCAAAGGCACGCCGTAGTTCCTAAACAGATAACGCAAGTCCCCAAATCAAATATGAACATGAATAACATGAGATAAGAGCTTCTTCTAACCAAGTCTCAAGATCATTGATTTCCAGACTAGTACATATGTTGGAAGAGAAAAACTTACATGAAAATGACAAAGAAGAAGCAGATATACATGGACAAGTGAAGCAGGTCACGGATAAGCTCCAGATAGAAAGTATAAACTGGTTTCTTCTCCCATTGACCATCCATGATCATATCAGTGACAAAGAATACATATTTCACAAATATCGCCACAGTTGTTGTCGCCAGGATCATATACCTGTCACACAAACTTATCAATTCAGCTCCATAATCTCTCATCAGAGAGGCAAGACTAGCAATAGAAAAGAAACTTACTCGAATGAGAAGAAGAGAGAAACCGAAGCTTGCCGAGACTGAATCAAATGGCGCACAGAGCTGTACATAAAGAGACTATCCACAAGAAGAAGGAAGCCCATGAAAGAGACAATACGAACATGAGAGAGCTTAGGCACAGAAGGAGTCGTCTCAATGTATTCAACTCTTTTCTGGGCAAGCCAATGCAAAGCCTTGATCAAGAGAAGAGTGACGACCAAAGGAAGAAACCCACTGGAGAAGTCCTGGCGAAATATAGTAATGGCAAAGAGAATCTCCATGAGCTCTCTCCAAGCTTGTTCATTGAGCCTCTCGACCTCTGCTTCCCTCAAGGATCCCAGGAAGACGAGTTTCACCAAATGCCAGAGGCTGAGCATAAGCACCAAACACATATTGAGAAGCAGCACCAGACTGATTTTTGAGGTCGATAGATAAACCGTCGCTGGGTAGAATTGGCCTCTGCTGCTGAAAGCATGATAAATCACAGCCAATGTCGCCATGAAGCTAAGCCCTGCGTATGTCCTCAGTCGAATCATCTTCCTCTGGTGTGTGTATCGTCTTCACAATATCGATATAGATCTGTGCAAAATTGAAATCCAATCGCACAAGCGAATCAATCGGAGAGATCAAATCGGAAAAAAAAGAGGAAAAGCCAACTGATCCAGAAAATCATATAGGGTAAGAGAGAAATGTTAACCTGCGGCGAATTTGGGGAAAAAGATGGTTCGGTAGAGAGAGAAATTAGATTAAGAAGTCAACGAATCGATATCTGCGTCGGGAGAGAGAGACGATGACGACGACTGAAACTAAATGAAGCGGAGGAAGAAAGAGCCAACGTCAGGAGGAGTTGCGGTGTCTACAGGTTTTCTCCGATCAGGAGGAATTGAGAAATTCTGAGTTCTCCGCACGCTTTATTGAATTCCAATTATACCCTTGACTTTCCTTTATTATTACACTCTCACAACTTTTATCCCTAATGTACGAAAGGACATGTCACTTCACCAATGGTAAAGCGACATGTGGCAAGTTTATTGAAAAAAACGCTAATCAGTTCCAATTAATTACATGTCACATATCGTTTTGCTGAAAATCGTGTTACTAAAACTTGTAAATACATTAAAAGAGAGAAATACATGATCCAATTTTATTCATTCTTGCGATAGTGCGATTGGTAGACTGAAATAGTTTCTTAGACCGAATATTTATCAAACTTTTATGTAGTCAAGATGTCAATGTCAATTGAAACCAATTTCCTCAAAAACATTTGTAATTTTCATAGAATGGATTTTTTTGCTCGATGAAAGTAATTTGTAAAGAGAGGGGAGCTAAAAAACAATTTGTAAGAAACTGCAAATGTAATATGATGTTTTATAAGTTCAAAACTGAAACACAAATATATAAAGAAAACATTGTATCAGATCCTCAGAACACGAATTTCCAACTAGATAATGCACTCCTTGGGATTAGTAACCGAGATGGCTTCTTAGGTTGATGCTGCTCCCTTGTTTCTTGGCTTAGCTTCAGTACCTATGTCAAAAATATAGAAAATGTTCCAAGTTCAAAACCACATTCAGACAGGAAGACAAAGAAAAACAAAAGCGATGTAGAGAAAAGAGACATTACCTTCTCTGAAACCAGTCTTGAACCGGCGGGGAACATTTCGGAGATACCTCATCCTCCCGGTACCGGTAGTCTTCCTCCTGATGGCCTTCTCACTCCAGTTGTCTAAACCAAAGAAATGTACACAAATTCAAATCACATTTCAACGATTCAACAACAGAGACTAAAAAAGATTCAGTTTCTACATTTTGGACAGTAAATACAATTGCCCCACTAGTCAATTCAGCTAACACACATTGATCATCGCAATTGCTCCACTCGTTAAGTAATTCATCAAAAGTTCAAAACACACACTAAGCTAATCTTAGTTCAATAAAGTTGCAAAACTGTCAAACCGGAATATTAACGGACTGGTATGTAATCTTCAATCTAGGAAACAGCAATAGATCGGGAAGAAATGAAGCACAAAGTGAGATTAAGAAGAGAAATGAATAGACGAAGGGGACTTACAGGTCCTCTTGCGAGCAGCAGGGTAAGCACAAGCAGAGCAGCGACTCTTCTGGATGTGGAAGCTACGACGACCACATCTCACACACAGAGTGTGACTCTTGTTCCTCCTCTTTCCGAAACTTCCTGTTCCCTTCGTCTGAAAATTACTCAAATAGTTCAACAACAATATCAGAGATTGGTTTTCTAGGGTAAATCGAACGAGAAAGTGTAGAGAGAGGAGAGATCACCATTGGAGCAGAACTGCGTGCTCGAAAACCCTACGATACGGCTTCAATGAAGAAGAAGCTCAATTTTTATGAGAACCAATTTATACGACAGATTTTCTGATTCTAGGGTTGAAGTAAACTAATGGGCCTATAATTTCTATTTTGATGGAAATGGGCCTCATTGCGATCGTAATTTCTTTTGCTCCAGTTATGTTAATTGAACACATGAATTAGGTCCAATCGTAATATCGGTATTAAGTATTAACTTTAATTTAAATCAAACTCATGAAACTTGATTATTCACAAAGCGTACGGTTCCTTGATTTAAGAAGATCTTGAAACATACAAAGACATAAGAAAAAGAGAAAGGTGACATTCCAAGACATGACAAATTTTCACTTTAGCCTTTTCTGATACTGAGTAATAGACACAAAAGATACATTCACAAATACTATGAAACTAAAGTAACTACATCACATTAATAAAACATATAATTTGATTTCTGTGTCTGGAAAATGATTTATATACGTGAGAGAACAACATTGATCATTCCGACAAGAACATATTAGTTTCAGATTGCTGTGAAGAGACATGTTTCAGAAAACAAACAGTTTCTTTCACAGAACACTTCACAGTCTCAAGTCAATCATTCTCCGAGCAGGTAAGAAACTCCCTCGACCAAAAACTCACTTCTCCTGCGCATTTTTCAGATCAAATTCTCTCGATGGCGACAATGTCTACGCAAGTTTCCTCAACATCTGGGAGTCTGATCTCGAAAACAGCATTGGAGGTCCATTAAAGCTGGAGCACAAGGCTCAAGAGCAAGAACAAGATCATCGAGAGAAGAGAACAGAAGCTTGCTCTTCGCGTTCATCAAGAGACTGCGATACAATGGAAAAGAAGATTAAGGAAATGTATATGATTGAAACAGGAGATATAGAGCAAGCACTCGACGTTGAAGAGGCACTTCATTACTATTCTCTTCTTAGAAGTCCTGAGTATCTCAACATCGTTGACAAGTTCTTCAATGATCTCTACTCCTGACATGATCTGTCTGAGCCAAAACACTCTGAAACTATTGGAATCTTTGTTATTCAAATTCTCGATTTGTTTGGTTTGTTACAAGTCTTTCTTCTTGTTTGTTTGAGCCATACTACTTGTATGTACCAACACCATTTTACATTGAATCTTTTACCAGTTCCAAGAACTTTTGAGCTCTCTTGTGACAAGAATTAACACCTGTACTACGAAACGGTGGGCATACTATTCATGGCGATACTGTATGAAGCTTTCAATACTTTCAGATCAAATTAAATTCTTCAATTGGTCCATACGGTATAGTATAATGGTAAAGAATAGTAAGGCAAGCTCATTAATAGCACAGATGTAAATATTATTACATACGTATTTTCCATCTTCTGCAAACAAATCCATTACAAGAACCTGACAGAAATCCAAAGCACGAACAAGAATGCATATCTTTTACGTATGAGAAACTCTGTAACCATCCCAAACTCTTCAGTGAGCTGTAAATAGATATACTTATCATCTCTCCAGTCCACGCCAGTAAGGAGGCATAAGTGCAAAACCCGAGAGATGAGGTCGATAAAAGGAGGACCGGTATTTACTCGAGGAGCGGTTTCAGTAACCAGAGGAAGATACCAATACATTGTGGTCCCTAAGGCGTTTCTGGAAATGAGCAAGACGGTTCTGCAGTTGGAGTATACCTGCAGCCTTCTGAGAGAGAATTGTGTTCAGTCTTGATATGTAACCGTCTAGCTGGTTTCCGGGTTGGTCTGCTTCAACCAGCAAATTCATCTCCTGCGCATGCGATTCAAAAGGGATTAGACGCATGAAAATATCGAACCGAAACTAGGCTGGGCAAAAACTGACCTCTTTCACGATGTTCATGGTGTCCTCAACTTGTTTACGGTGGGCATTCACAAGGTCTTCTTCTTCCTGAAAAAAAAATGCACGAGAAACGATTCTTGCGTCAAGACTGATAAAGACTGATGACTTTTATTTTTTAATGCTTTGGATGAATGTTACCTGTAGAAGTGCATTTAGATTGTCATCGGAGTTTGATTTCTTCATATCGGGCCTTGGCATCTCTCTTGGCTTCATCTGAATAGAAGGTTTCGGGATTCTCTCCTGTGCCAGACCGTTATAAGAAGGCTCTGGCTTCCCGTTTTTCTTCCACATTTGTTTCTCTTGCTCGTAATCCGATGCGTCGAAGTCATCGTTTTCTTCAGTCCACATCTCGTTCACGTCGTCATCATAGTTAGATGGAGTTGGAATTGCGGAAGACAGAGGAATTTTTGTGGACTCCCTTAGGTTTATGGTTGACGAAGATACATCTTTCTTAGAGCCGTTTCCCTTCGAGAGACTCTTAACCCTACAATTCTCATAGTTTATTAGGAACGTTTTACGAGATGCACACATATGACAAAAACAAATATAACAGAGAGCGAGTCAAACCAACCTGTCCGCGTATCTTAAGGTGTTAAGGGTGTGCTCACATGACCCAGAGCTTGGAGATATGCAAGATATCATCACAGTACGAGAATTTCCCATGAAAGAGTCCCTGAGAACTTCAGTCAACTTACTGCCTCTAAAAGGGATGTGACCTTGATCATTATCCAGAGCTCTAATACACTCCTTTAAGGCGAGTAGGCTCTTATTGATCTCTGCTCCTTCCAATCTGTGTCATATCATATGTGATACCAATAAATATTGAAGCAAATAAAAACACTGAACAATTTAAAAGAGTAATCAGGGACTGGCACAGAGATGGTGTTAAGTGTTACCTTGTCTGCTTGTCATTGTCTGTTGTGTCTGCACCACGCTCACTTCCAGCAAGATCGATGAAAGAAAGCTTGCCAACGAGACGTGGGGGCTTTGACTGATTTCCCTCTGCTGATTTTTTGATAGCGAGCTGAAGTATAGCATGTGAGCGAGAGGATTCTTCATTTGCACCCGTGGTTCCAGTACTTCTTGTTGCACTTCCTCTCTCGATAAGTTCCATAATCGCATCTGTATCAGATACTCTGTACTCTTGCAAACCAACGATGCACACTTGCTGCTTACCATCCTCTCTCATGCACAACTTCCTATGAAAGTAAAAATGTTTGTCTTATAAATAGACACTCCAGTCAAGATAAAATAGCAGTGTGAGATGCTATTCAACTTACTTCCTCTCACTGAGTAGATCATATAGTTTTCCTCCATAAATCTCAAAGAAGCTGACAAACAACTGAAACCCTTGGTTTCTGTATGTGTGGTGCATCAACCTCAGGATATCCCGAGAAGCCTTAAGAGGCAAAGGCTTCATAGTATAGGTTTTACCACTACCTGAGAGGCAAACACAAAACCAAAGATGGTTCAGATTCAGAATATACATTTCTAGAAAATGGGTTACTGTAAAGCATAATATTAATTGTTTCTGATATTGACTATCACCTATCAGACTCATACAATTTTCTCAAATAGATAGAAGAGGCTATTTTCATGCACGGTTAGAGAAAAGAGTAAAACGACATGCCAAATAATTTAGAAGTTGGGATCTAAGGTCTTGCTATTATCTTTGTTAGATTTTCCGGATAATGACCTTGTGTATCTATGATTCTTGTGGAGACTATTTACCTGTCTGCCCATACGCAAAGCAAGTGGCCTTGATGCGCTGAAAAATTAAGGGGACAACAGGCTCTACTGTCTCACGATAAACCTACAAAAAGTGGCATATAAAACTTGAGAAATTAGAGCCAGAACAGTAACTGATTATATGTAAAAAAGGCTTCTCCTGTTTAACGTCGGTCTTGTGTACTTGATTACTTGCAAACAGAATTTACCTCATCGTTTGAAACTTCCTCATCTAGCACAGCATCAAACACAAATTCATGCTTTTCCACATAGGCTGTTAAGTCAACCTGCAATAATTTGTCAAAGATCCGCCTTAGTGTCTTACTAGTTACTGCAGTGTTGACTCAGACAACTGAGATTGCATGAACCCAAACACTCAGAGACTGACCTTAAGTTTAGTTTCATGAACTGTTAAGCAATTGGCGTGGGTGTCAACAATGTCTTCCTCATTTTTTGTTGACTCCTTTTTGTTAAGAGGTCTCTTACGCACCTGTTCTCAAACAAGCAGGGAACATCATGTTAAGGAAAGGTTAAGCACGCACAATGCAAAAGGCAAGGAAAATCACTTAATTCAAGGGACATAAGTAAAGGAAGAGAAACCTACAACAACTTTGATCTTTGCAACAGCGTTCATCCTTTCCTTCTCAGCAGCCAAGTTTTCAGCCAACACGCGACCACGGTTAGGCTGCTTGTTGTAAGCTTCAAAGTCATCAAAGCTTTGGCCTTGACTAGGATTGAACATTGAGGGGCCATCTAATTGGCTAGAGACAGGAATCTGCTGATAATATAATAAGTTAAAAGCCTACAATATGATCATATAACGACTAACGCAATGAAGCATTCATCTTATGTTAAACAAAAATTCAAGTAACCAGATTGTGTCTGTATATAATGTTGACCAAATTGCTAAGAGGAAAATATACATAATTCGGTCAAGTTCTTTTACTAAAAATAGTCTGATGACCTAAAAAAGGCTGCGTAAGGAGTCCACGCATCCAGCAAGCAATCAAATTTTATGGATGTCTACCTAAACGCACCAGCATTTAAACCAAAGGTAGGCAAATAAAACTTGAATTGCACATCTGCTCTGTTACTCTCTTATGTAATGTAAATGGCAATTAAAAAAGGGACTAACCAATTACTGGAAATGTTACAGAGTACCTACCTCAGGAAGAAGCTCAGTATCAAAAGAATGCAGATCTAAGAGCCCGGGGCTAAACTCAGACTCATCAGTGTTCTTTCTCTGATTCGAAGGACGAGCACCGTATTGAGGAGTAGTAGGTTCCCCAAAGAAGTCGTTTCCTCCATTAAACCCTCTCTGAGCATTTTGGTATCCTCTTGTTGCTTGGCCGCCGCCTTGTCCACCACCAGCATAGTATCCGTAATCCTGTTCGTAGTCCCACCATTAGGTTTTAGGTCGACAAGTAAACGCATATAAACTCAAACAACATTTTCCCAGAGCTTCTCCGAGCAATCAAAACACCAGATCGAGAGAAATAAACCCTCTAGAACTATCCATCGTTAGACTTAAACATCCAAAAATCTTCTGGACTAACAGATCTTCGTTGAAAAAACGCAAAATTTTCAAAAATTTAAACAAGTAACTCGCACTTTCTATTCGGACGAAATGTAAGATGGAGAAGAAAAGGATCAGATTCTGGGATTACATTGGCGGATGACTGGAAATGCTGAAGACCATTGGATTGGAGCCATCTGCCGCCATTGGAGGAAGACATGTCGAGGAGGTTATCGGAGAGCTGTCTCTGGTGGTGCACCGCGGCGGCGCCAGATCTCTGTCTGCCATTCATCTCCTACCTGAATGCCGAAATCCGAATCTCAAAGTTCTTCTCTAGCTCGAATCGGAGCTCCAGACGGATCCTTTAATCGGATCTCTAAACACAGTTTACTCTCTCTCTCTTTTTCTCTCCGTCTCCTTCTCGCTATCTATCGTCTTTCTCTCTCTCTCTCTCCACAAGTTCAAATTAAAGCGCAGAGTAGAGAGAGCATTGGTCGCTGCTTCTTTCTCTCTCTCTCTCTCTCTCTCTCTCTCTCTCTCTCCTCTCACGCTCCCTTAAACTCGAATTCTGAGTGTCGTTTTGATTCAATCTATTAAATGAGATTTGTGGACCAATTCAAATGGTTAACATAACATTATTCTATGGGATTTACTGATTTAGATTACATAATAGAATTCTACTTCTGATTACTAACTTACTATACAGAGTTCACATGTCAATATTTTTATTGAGTAATGGTTTTATATTCGTCCTTTTAGTTCAATCCAAATGGTTTGTGTATATTACAATGTTAAATTTAGATTCCTAGTCCGCCTAAACGAATTTTGATCGGATATCAAAATTTGAATAGCGAAATTCAAATACCAGTTATTTAGATATTTTATTTTTCCTTTTCTACTTTACATTTATAGTGAGGAAGATCAAAAAAGTACTTTTAGATTTTGTCTCAGATACATTTCTCTTCTTGTCGACTGATTTTGTCTCATCTAGATATCACTAGATTGTACAAACTTTAGAACTTTATGCAAGTGGTAGTAGTCTGGTAAAGTAGGGAGAGAGTAAGATCGAAGGAACGAGCAAATTCATGTACTCGATTACCATTTGCTTGCAAAACTGTAAAAAAATAAGTAAAAATGCAGAATCAACTTGAAACACGTGAGGAGCACTAAAACGACGGCGTCTAGGTCGTGACAATTGGCTTTAAAACAAGTACCCCACATGGTGGCCCACTAAGTGAGACAGTTGTTGGATTTGGCGCTCCCTTTATTTCGTAATTTTCGTGCTTTTTGCTCTTTGACTCGTGTTCATCAAAATGTCATTTTCATAGACAAAAAAATATCTTTGGACGGACGTCGGACGTTGCAGGAATGATGTAAATGAGGCCACGTGGGTTCCTCTTTATCGGACGGCTATAAATCTTACTTGGGTCTTCGCTTCATGGAGGCCCACTTTGTTTATCATCTTTGGCAATACGCTGTCGTTTTGACTAACACTCTACTTCTTCCCAAATCGGCAAAAAATTAGATTCTCACTTCTCTCAGAGACGACCTTAATTTCACAGTCTCAGAAGCTTCTGGACCAAACCACACTCTTCTTCTCTGTTCTCTATATTTCCTCCTTCACTTCCAACGCAGCTCTCTCATTCTCGTCACCAAACTTAAACCAGATCGCGTAACTATCTCCATTTTTGCCGGCGAAAACTTCTTCGACCGTTCTACAATCCAACTATGACTGATCAAGATCAAGGAGGCGCCGTTACTATCTACAGTGGGACGGCGATAACCGACGCCGCCAAGAAAAACCACCCCTTCTCCGTCAAGGTCGGATTAGCTCAGGTCCTCCGCGGCGGCGCCATTGTCGATGTCTCCTCCGTAGACCAGGCAAAAATCGCAGAATCTGCCGGCGCATGCGCTGTGATCGTCTCAGATCCGGTTCGATCTCCCGCTGGCGTCCGCCGGATGCCGGATCCGGTTCTCATAAAAGATGTGAAACTAGCCGTATCGATCCCGGTGATGGCGCGCGCTCGCGTCGGCCATTTCGTCGAGGCTCAGATTCTAGAATCTCTCGCCGTTGATTACATCGACGAGAGCGAGATCATCTCCGTCGCGGACGAAGACAATTTCATCAACAAACACAACTTCCGATCTCCGTTCATATGCGGCTGCCGCGACACCGGCGAGGCCCTGAGGCGGATCCGAGAAGGTGCCGCGATGATCAGGATCCAAGGAGATCTGGACGGATCAGGGAACATTGCGGAGACGGTGAGGAACATTAGGTCACTGATGGGCCAAGTCAGAGTCCTGAACAACATGGACGACGACGAGGTGTTCACATTCGCGAAGAAGATCTCAGCACCGTACGATCTCGTGGCGCAGACGAAGCAGATGGGGAGAGTTCCGGTTGTGCAATTCGCGTCAGGCGGGATCACGACTCCGGCCGATGCGGCGATGATGATGCAGCTAGGTTGCGATGGAGTCTTCGTGGGTCCGGAGGTTTTCGACGGTCCGGATCCGTTCAAGAAGATTAGAGGGATTGTGCAAGCTGTTCAGCATTACAACGATCCTCATGTGTTGGCTAAGATGAGCTCTGGGCTCCGGAGTAGTGCAATGGAAGGCTCAAGCGCTCGTGGTGACAGGATTCAAGGTTCTACTAGCCAAGGACGTGTTTGATGGATGAAAAGTTGCAATCTTTTGGTGTTTCTATCTTTTTGAGATTCCAATTCAGAAACTTTTTGTTGTGTTTTAAGGTAATGTTGGTGTGAAAATGGTCTTTTTTGGTTAAGCTGAGTTTGGAATGATAAACAGGAAGTTGCAAATGTTCTTTTCTAGAATTATTATTATTACTTCCACAAACATGGTTTTAATGGTTATATAACCAGTTATGGTACATTGGCAAGCATATTTATATGGAGGTTTTAAGAAATGATAGTCCCAACAAGAAGGGAGTATGGAGATACTACATTGAGCCGTTGAGGCGGATTAGTCTTATTTATTTCTTGCCACTTTTCTTAAGCCCTGAGCCTCCGAATGATCCCTTTTGTGAAGCCTTAGCTCTGAGCTCTTTAAGTGCCTGATTTCATCACGAAAAAAAACAAGATAACAGATAATCAGTACCACTTCATCTTAAAATTCTTTCATTAATGAATCAAAGATTGCAAAATGTTCAAATGTTACCTTCTCTTCATCCTTCTTTTTCTGCATTAACTCCATATCGTGCTGAAATGGAGACACAGAAAACCCATCAAAACGTTGAGCTAAAGAAACTAGTCATGCTACTACAATCGCAGAAATTACATTCATAATTTAGTACAGCAATTGACAGAGGTGAGGTTTATGATCATAGCTCGTGGACCAGACGCAGACTATTCTGCTCAGATATGCAGACAAAACTCAAGTGCAAATACGCATAAACCAACAAAAATGGCCAAAGTTTTCAAGCTCTATGCTAATTTGAAGAAAGATCATACCTCATCGTACTCCTTCTTACCAGACTTGGGCTGCTTCAAGGGCTTCAACTTCCCTCCTGAAAACACCAAAAGAGAAACCGATTAATCAAGAATCATATTCAAGGAACTATGTAAAAACCAAAAGACGCAATATTTAATATCTCGATTGCGTTAAGAGAGACAAGAATAACAAGAGATCATCAGATGAACCGATCAATGCGTGCGAAGATCAAATGAGAAAGCAAAGCACATAACAATAAAAATTGTGAAGCAAGATAGATCAAGACGATTGATTCTCTAAAGATTTCTCACATCAGAAATGAGAAATCTTGGGCGAAATTAACAGGGTTGATACAAGGAAGAAAAATTATTACCTTGCTTGGACGACATAGCAGAATTCTAGTGTTAGGGTTAAATCCGAAACTCGACGACCCAAAACACAAATTTGCCTGTTTTTTCGAGTTTACGTTTCTGTTCTTGTTCCTCGACCATATATAGTGGTGGGTAATTTTGAATTTCTAATTTGTGAAATAACTTCTTCTTTTTTTACTTTCTCGATAAAAATAGCCAAAATATAAAAACTAACGAATATAAACAAGTGACAGAAAAATACCGATATAATTGCATCTCATTCCAATATACGATGATGCTTTGAATCATATACTCTTAAGTATCATCCAAGTAACTTTTTAAAAGAAGAAAAATATTTCAAGTAGTGAGATCAGTATTTTCCAGTTAACCAGCTCATCTTGCTTCCAGCACTGAGATAGTCATCCTATTAGCAGATACATTTTCCGGCTCCGGTGACTCAACCTCCATATCCGGCAAGCTTCTCCGTGGACCATCATAGAAAGCTGGCTCTTTAGGCAAAGAAAGAGCATTATTGCCGTCGCCGTATATCATAGACACAACATCTAACATACTTGGTCTATCCTCTGCGTTCTCTTGTACACACAAGAGAGCAACTTGAACGCATCTCAACACTTGAGGGTTCTCAAGTGCAGAATCTCCCAGAGACGGATCTATCACCTCGCGGATTCGGTTCTCTTTGAAAAGATTCCACGCCTGAAAACAGAGTTTCAATGATCCAAAGACCAAATAAGCATGCGAGATGCTAACAAATGAAAGAAGAAGAGTGTTTAGCTTTTACATGAACAATGAGGTTGAGAGGTCCTTCTGAGTCATGGTGGAAGCTGTTGTTCTTCCTTCCACAAACGATTTCGAGCATTAGAACCCCGAAGCTGAACACATCTGATTTAGCCGAGAATAGCCCTTCTCTGAAGTACTCCGGAGACATATAGCCACTATATATCAAGAGAAGATTTTCTATTAAAATTCTGATGCTTATGAATGTTCGGAGAATCTCTGTTCTTAAGAGAACTTACAAAGTGCCAGCAACTCTTTTGGTGTTGGCTTTGGACTCTTCTGCTCCAAATATCCGAGCCATCCCAAAATCAGCTATTTTGGGATTCATATCCTCGTCCAGCAAAATGTTGCTAGCTTTGATGTCTCTGTGTATCACTTTCAATCTCGAGTACTTGTGAAGGTACAATAGCCCTTGGATTATCCCTTCCATGATCCTAAACCGCATCCTCCAATCTAGAACATTTTTCCTCAATGGATCTACACAAAAGATTTGGAGATTTTCTCATGTGGTTTCTTCTATAGATTGTTGGCATTTTTAAAGAAGCTCACTCACCAAAGAGGAAGTAATCAAGGCTCTTGTTAGGCATGTATTCGTAAATCAACATCTTCTCATCCTTGTCAATGCAGCATCCTAGCAACTGCACAAGATTTGTGTGTTGAGTTTTGCAATAAGCATGGCCTCGTTCTTGAACTCCACTAATCCTTGCCCCGATGCTATTGATAGTCTCTTGATAGCCACTTCTTCCCCATCTATTAACCTCCCCTTCAAGAAAGTATCGGAGACATTAAAATAGAATCTCTTTTAAGTTAATATCAAAATCTGTCGTACCTTATATACAGGACCAAAACCTCCTTCACCGAGCTTGTTTGCATCAGAGAAGTAATCTGTTGCCAAGGCTACACTTTCAAAGCTATAAATCTGAAGTTCATTATTATTCTTCCTTGCACTTCTCCTGTGCCGGCCTCTCCTATCAATTCCCAATTCACGCAGTAACATTTCACGGTCTATTGTTGAACCAGCCCTCAGTGTTTGTAGCCTCCTCCGTATGCAACCAATCACTATAAATAGCAAAATCACAAACACAATTCTCAATTTCGACAAGGATTTCTTACATGCTTATACAAAATTTATTCAGCTGAGCCTTACTTTGTGGAATGATTTTCCCCCCATAAAAAGTAGAAAACTCCGCGAAATATGACAGTTACTGGATCAAACACATAAAGAAAAGTGGTGAACTTGTTAGTAAAAACACGATTGACAAGAAAGTGATTCTGATCCAAAGTTTTTTTACCTTTTACTTTAAATTTCCTCAAAACAAGATAGATGAAGAACCAAATCACAGGTAGAATTAGTAGCAGTGATGCCACAACAACTAGCCAAGTTGCCGCCTTTTCTTCCTCTTGTGCTAGCTCATATTCTGTATCCAAGAAAGTGAGTCCCAAAATAGATTTGCTGCAGTATAAAAAGACAGATAATATATTCCCAAAACTCATCTACCTTTGTCACGAATATACATGGTTCTGGGACTATAAGAAGACGAGCTATTGTTGGTAGGATCAGTATCCCAGATCTCGCAGCCAGTACCATCCACATTGGTCGAAGCATAGGAAAGACAAGAACAGTTTTGCATACATATAGCCTAGCAATCAGCTGAACTGAACCTTCCACCAGTTTCATTAAGTACAAATCCATTGGATGAGAAAGTGGATATCGTCTCTGTGAATCTATTATGTAGGGGCCTACAGCTATATGCCCTATCCGGGACTATGCAACCAGCTTGCAAATATTCCCTGGAATTAACATCGCCACGCAAAGTGAAAGGAGAACAACGGACAAAGGCTTGCTCTCTATCAAGGCTAACTATATGCAAAATGCCCTGATTATCTATCATTACCGTGGGAAATACTATATCAGAATAGTGGAGATCAACTGAAAACGTAAAGTAGTGTTCACTCTCGGTTGAATTAAAAGTGAAGAAGGCAGATTCGTACTTGCTGAATTCCCACAATGAAAACCGATCCTTGAACCAGAGCCCACTTTCCCAATACATGTCTCCACGCCACAAGATGGTCAACATGTTTGTAGTATTATCATCCATCCCAAAGACAAAAGATCCAGAAGCAGGTAAAGTATCACCTAGCCGTGACGTCAGCTCCCATCTCTTCCCGGTCTTGACATTGAAACCGAGTTTCATCCCAGGAAGAAGAGTATCCGTTGGATAATCAAAGCTTTGCCACAGAACCCGCCTCACCGATCCACCAGGATCCATCTCCTGGAGCTGAAGATTTCCGGAATCCAACAGCTTGAGGGTCGTGTTTCCTGTGGTTTCCGTAGAGCTTAGCACAAGCAAGCTTGATGCTCCTCTTAAAACCTTCAATCTGCCGAGGGAGTCCACTGTGAGGCTTCCAGGGCCTCCCGGAATAGGGTTGTTACGGTTAGCAATCCAGACAGCCCTGTCTTGGAACTCGCCAAGATACAAGTTGTTGTAGAAAATCCCAAGATACCGGTTTCTTGAGTTCTCGAAGTTGAAAAACTTGAGCTCGAAGATATTGAAAGATGAAACGAGCTCTTGCCCATCTTTCAAGTAGTGCCCCTGCAGTAGCGTATCTGTTTCACAGCATGACTGTCCTAACAAGAGAGATAGAGTAAGAAAAGTGAGAAAGATGCCATTTATGAACATAGTAGTATCAGGAAGAAGGATAATGTACCAAATTCCTAGATACCAGTTTCTTGAATTCTTGAGGTTGAAAAACTTGAGCCTGAAGATATTGAAAGATGAAACGAGCTCTTGCCCATCTTTCAAGTACTTCCCTTGCAGTAGCGTATCTGTCTCACAGCATGACTGTCCTAGCAAGAGAGATAAAGTAAAGAAAAGTGAGAAAGATGCCATTTATGAACATAGTAGTATCAGGAAGAAGGATAATCTAGCAATAGAAGATATCTCAAACGAAGAGTTAATCAAAATACATATTTCAGGTCAAGTCTTAACTCAGAAGTCAAAGTCCACGGTGGTGGGAGCCATAGTTGAAATCTCTGTCCACTCAAATAATACACAAAGCTACAGATGCTACCATTAGGAATTAGCTACTAAAATGACAACGACCAATTTGAGGTTGACTCTTTCATGCTACATTAACCCGAAAACTAGACACATACCTGAGTAAGCTGCCACAATCTTCTCGTTTGCAAAGTTTCCTTTTTTCACCCAGTCGGAAGTTACAAATTAAAATAAAAAGCTTGAAGATTGCATTCTCAGTAGCTTTCTGTGCATGCGTAACACTGTAAGTAACCACCCTGTAACAGAGATCATCAAAATTCAGCTGACAATTTGAAGAAGAAAGTAGAGGAAAGAGTAAACCAAAAAAACTTCATTCAGGCATTTTATCGAACACCTTATGTCTACGCGGAGAATACAAGAGCGAAGAAGGAATAATGCATGAGAAATACAAACCCAATTGCTCCGGAGAGTTGAAGTTACTTCCCCTGCTGTAGCGTATCTATTTCACAGCAATGATTGTCCTAGCAAGAGTGATAGAGTAAAAAAGGTGAGAAAGATGCTAATTAGCCACCTAGTTTCAGAAAATTTGGAACTTGGAAGATGGATCATTTAGCGATGGAATATAACTCAAAATTGGTTCTCATCATACTCAGAAGTCCACGTTGGTGGGAGCCAAAGTTGAAGTCTTTGTTCCAATGAAATAATGGAGCTAACATAACGAATTAGCTAATAAAATGATAACGACCGATTTGAGGTTGAATCTTTCATGCTAGATTTGACGAAAAAACCAGAAAAATACATGTGTGATGGCTCAGTTGTTTGAATGTCCTCCTTCTTTAGCAAACAAACTGTTTTTCCATGCTACCTTTAAGACTTTGCCCTTATAAATATAAATAAAAACAATTACGTGATATGCAAACAACACCTTTTAGATCACATAATACGTTATAACTAACTTATAACAAATCATATTATTATTTTTCAGGTCCTAGTATTGTAGATCACCAAACTAGTATTAAAGAGAAAAAAAGAAAAGCTATATATCCTTTTTAAGCGAGAATCTTAAGATTCGCCTATATAAGTTTCAAGTGTTTCTAGAGATTTTGTTAAAAACATGGACAGTCGACATAAACCATATCACAAGATGGATCAGTATTTGAGCGAAAGTAAAAGAAACCAGAGGAGTTGCGTAAAGGCCAGATAACATTTTTTTATTACTTTTCATATTCTGCAAAGAAGAGAGGAGGAAACAGATTATTAAGTGGCTAGTGTCAGTCATGCTCCAAATAATATCAAACCAAACAAAACATTGAAGGAAAAAATAAACTAAAGAAAGATGTGTTACTGTAGACGGAGTAATCAATAAATCTGCAATATAATGAATTTGGAACATGAGAGAAGGCTTGCAGGAAAAGCTTTCCTGGTTCCATATCTCCGAGAGATCCACTACTCTGAAGTAGCCTTGGTCGCCAGTGAAGTAAGCAGTGTCGATTCATCTTAAACTAAGAAACAACTTCAGCCTACTAGGTAACATATTTCTTATCCATTATTGCCATCTTTCAGTCATTAAAAGATGAGGATGATGTCATTGGTCACATGACTCACATATATACTCATTTTCTGTGTGGACTACAGAAGAAGAAATATAAAAATGAGTTTGAGACACGTACCAAAACCAGTGAACCAAATGTCGGCCTACACTGAAGGATCATAACATGTGCTAGCTAAGATCTTAAGATGGCTTGTTTAGCAATGAATTTTCTTTTGACCAAAAAAAAAAAACAAATAAAGCAATGAGTTTCTATGATTCAAATATTGATAAGGGTTTCAGTTAGACAAGTGGTTTTGGAAAACATTCACAGACTCTTTTAAATACATTCAAAATTACATGCGATTTGATTATTTTTGTGTTTTCTTATATATCAAGGTAAAAGATAATCTTATAACATTATGAAATCATGTGTTGGTTTTTACTGTTAATTTTTAGATTTTATGTCATAAATGCTCAGCTTTGTTGATTTGATTTTTAGATTTTACTAGTAAATGGAAAACTTTCTCACTACCCTATTAAACAATTTGTGATAAATGCGTATCTCTAACTATTGATACTTTAGATTACTTTCTTCGAGAAATATATTTTATACTCTTAGTATTGTACAAGTGATTAAAATATAACATGCACCACATTTCAGGATTAGTAAGTTGTAACAACAATGATATTTTTCTATGTAACTCAAGTATAAACAATCATCCATCACTTCCTTAAAAGTTAAAACGAGATTAGATCCCTGACATCAAATTGTAAATACATACTATTAACTTCCCACCAAAAACACAACCCCTCTCCCCAAAAAAAAAAACAAAAAATCGGTGTCTCAAATTTTCTATTCTTCAGTTTTTATTCTCATTTGCTCTGATGGAGCTATGTGGTTCAGGGATCAACAAAGAACATCAACTGCGTTCCAAAACTTGCGGCTATAATCGGATCAAAGATCTTTCTGAGGATGTTTTGAGGTCGAAGAAGATCTCAAGATGGACAATGATGTGGAGAAAAATAATGATGATGATGAAGCAAAAGAAGAAATATCAGACTCTGGATCATCATGTTCGATATGATCCTTTCACTTACTCCCAAAACTTCGAGAACGATGGAACTATCGCATATCATGACGATCCTGATGTGTCTTCTAAGTCTTTTTCTGCTCGATTTGTTGTTTCTTCTAAAGTGTTCAATGTTAATCATACTTGAGTTTCGTTCTTCTAGTAAATTTTGGATTCAAGTGTTTATATACATAATTTCATGTTCTTTGTTGATCCAAGTTCAAGCGTCGCCGACCACCATCTGCTTCCTATAAGCATCGTCCAGGTCACCACTTTCTAGTTTCACCAGCTCACCTTGCTTCCATCACCGTGATGGTAACACTATTCTCTGATACATTTTCCGGCTCCGGTGACTCAACCTCCATATCCGGCAAGCTTCTCCGTGGACCATATAGAAAGCTGGCTCTTTAGGCAAAGAAAGAGCATTATTGCCGTCGCCGTATATCATAGACACAACATCTAACATACTTGGTCTATCCTCTGCGTTCTCTTGTACACACAAGAGAGCAACTTGAACGCATCTCAACACTTGAGGGTTCTCAAGTGCAGAATCTCCCAGAGACGGATCTATCACCTCGCGGATTCGGTTCTCTTTGAAAAGATTCCACGCCTGAAAAAACAGAGTTTCAATGATCCAAAGACCAAATAAGCAAGGGAGATCCTAACAAATGAAAAAAGAAGAAGAAGAGATTTAGCTTTTACATTAACAATGAGAATGAGAGGTCCTTCTGAGTCATGCTGGAAGCTACTGTTCTTCCTTCCACAAATAATTTCAAGCATCAGAACCCCGAAGCTGAACACATCTGATTTAGCCGAGAATAGTCCTTCTTTGAAGTACTCTGGAGGCATATAGCCACTGTATATTTATATGACCAACACAAGAAATTCTATCAAAACATATGATCGAGGAAGCCTCTCGTTGTTTCTAGTCAGATCATAAGATAACTTACAAAGTGCCAGCAACTCTTTTGGTGTTGGCTTTGGACTCTTCTGCTCCAAATATCCGAGCCATCCCAAAATCAGCTATTTTGGGATTCATTTCCTCGTCCAGCAGAATGTTGCTGGCTTTGATGTCTCTGTGTATCACTTTCAATCTCGAGTACTTGTGAAGGTACAATAGCCCTTGAATTATCCCTTCCATGATCCTAAACCGCAGCCTCCAATCTAGAACATTTTTCCTCAGTGGATCTGCACAAAAGATTTGGCTACATTTTCTCAGAAGAGTTTCTTTTGTTCATATATAGATTCTTGGCATTTAAAAGAAAGCTCACCAAAGAGGAAGTAATCAAGGCTCTTGTTGGGCATGTATTCATAAATCAACATTTTCTCATCCTTCTCAATGCAGCATCCTAGCAACTGCACAAGATTTGTGTGTTGTAGTTTTGCAATAAGCATGGCCTCGTTCTTGAACTCCACTAACCCTTGCCCCGATGCTATCGATAGTCTCTTGATAGCCACTTCTTCCCCATTTACTAACATCCCCTTCAAGAAATTAGCGGAAACATCAAAACTCTGTTTTTAAGTTAATAGTAGAATCTGAAGAATCTGTCTTACCTTATACACAGGACCAAAACCTCCTTCACCAAGCTTGTTCTCGTCAGAGAAGTAATCTGTTGCCAATGCTACACTTTCAAAGCTATAAATATGAAGTTCATTATTATTCTTCCTTGAACTTCTCCTGTTCCGGCCTCTCCTATCTATTCCCAGTTCACGCAGCAACAGTTCACGGTCTACTGTTGAACCGTACCTCAGTGTTTGAAGCCTCCTCCGTATGAAACCAATCACTATATAAACTAACAACAACGACAAACACAATCCTCAATTTTGACAAGGAGAATTTTCTTACATGCTTATACAGAATTTATTCAGTGGAGACTTACTTTGTGGAATGATTTTCTCCCATAAAAAGTAGAACCAGGCTTTACTTGGTGGGATGATTCTTCTCTGTATAAAGTTCAACGTGGCCTTACTTGGTGGGATGATTTTTCCCCATAAAAAGTACAACGCTGCCTTACTTTGCTGAATGATCTTCCCCCATAAAAAGTAGAATGCCTCGCTAATTATAACGGTTACTGGATCAAACACAGAGAGAAAAAAAGAAGTGGTGAATTTGTTAGTAAGAACACCATTGGGAAAAAAGTGTGAGAGTGATTATTTTTACCTTTTACTTGATATGTTCTCAGATACATGACGAAGCAAGCCACAAGAATCAATAGAAATAGTGACGCCCCAACAACTAGCCAAATCACCGCATTTCCTTTCTCTTTGGGTACCACAAAGTCCACAAATTCTTGGTCCGGATATATTTCATTACATCTCGTATCCTGTTCACGAACGTATATAGTTCTGGGACTAGAAGTAGGAGAAGCCGACCTGTTGTTGGTAGGATCATCGGTATTCCGGATCATGCAGGGATCATTCCAAATCTCGCAGCCCGTACCATCTACATTGGTCGAAGCATAGGCAAGACAAGAACAGTTTTGGAGACATTTAACCTGGCAATCAGCTGAACTGAACCTTCCACCAGTCTCACTAAGCACATAACCATTGCGTGGGAAAGCTATAAGTGTTTGTTCGAAATAGGGAGAAAGATCGGACGAACAGTTCAGGACCCCAAATGCCACATCCGGGATTACGCAACCAGCCTGCAAACAATCCCTGGATTTGTTTCCATAACAATCACTGGAATTCTTCCCAACCCAATCCCTGAAATCTTCTTTCCCATACCACTCCTTACTAATAACCTCAAAAGTCAGAGTGAAAGGAGAACAACGGACAAGGGCTTGCTCTCTCTCAAGCCTGTATATATGCAAAACGCCCTGTTGGTCTATCATCATCGTGGGAAACACTGTTTCAGAAACCTGGCCATCGACTGAAAAGTTGAAATAGTGTTCACTCTCGGTTGAAACAAAAGTGAAGAAAGATTCGTACTTGTTAAACGCCTCCAATGAAAACCGACCCTTGAACCAGAGCCCACTTTCCCAATACATGTCTCCACGCCACAAGATGGTCAACATGTTTCTAATCTTAGCATCCATCCCAAAGACAAAAGATCCAGAAGCAGGTAACGTATCACCTAGCCATGAAGTCAGCTCCCATCTCTTCCCGGTCTTGACATTGAACCCGAGTTTCATCCCAGGAAGAAGGGTATCAGTCGGATAATCAAAACTTTGCCACAGAACCCGCCTCACCGATCCATCAGGATCCATCTCCTGGAGCTGAAGATTACCGGAATCCAACAGCTTGAGGGTGGTGTTTCGAGTTGTTTCCGTAGAGCTTAGCTCAAGCAGGCTTGATGCTCCATTCATAATCTTCAATCTGCCAAGAGAGTCAACTGTGAGGCTCCCAGAGCGTCCCGGAATTGGGTTGTTACGGTTAGCAATCCAGACAGCTCTGTCCTGGATATCATGAAGATACAAATTGTTGTACCAAATCCCAAGATACCGGTTGCTCGAGTTCTTGAAGTTGAAAAACTTGAGCTTGAAGATATTGAAAGATGAAACGAGCTCTTGCCCATCTTTCAAGTACTGTCCCTGAAGCAGACTATCTGTTTCACAGCATGAACGTCCTAACAAGAGATGCAAAGTACAAAAAATGAGAAAGATTCCATGAGCCCACATAGTTTCAGGGAACTTGGAAGATGATTAATTTGGCAGTCAAAGAAGATATCTAAAAATTGGTATTACCGGCTTTTGATATGCTTCAGGTCAAGTCTAACTCAGAAAATTCCAAGTCCACGGTGGTGCGGGAGCCAAATTTGAAGTCTTTGCACTGAAATAATGGAGCAACAGTTGTTAACATGACGGTGACTAGAGTGATAAAGACCAATTTAAGGTTGAATCTTTCTTGCCAAATTCACCGAAAATTCAAAGAAATACCTGAGGAAGCAGCTGTCACAGTGATGTGTAAACCGATCCTCTTGCTCTAGCAAACCATTGAAGAGTAAACAGAGAAAAACAAAAGGGTTGAACTTTGTACCGTCAACAGCTTTCTAGATGCGTAACAGTGATGGTCACATTCAGATGATAATCTAAAGGAAAGAGTAAAAACTCATCCAGGCATTTTATCAAACTGTTTATGTGTACTATGAGAATACAAAAGCGAACAAGGATTTACAAAAGAAGTTCCCAAGTCAAAAGGAAACTATGCTGAAAACTAATTACTTTTGAACAGTTTTATACTACAAACTGAAAATTTTGAACAAAGTTTTCAAGACGAACTTATCAGAAGAGAACTTCACATGAAATCCAGAAAAACCTTGTTTACAATCGAGTAGAAGCTGAAAGATGAAACTATGGACGTTAAACCGTTTAGGTGTACGTGTCATTACAAGCAACCTTACCCGGCCCATCAAATCTCATCTGTTTAGAAATGATGATCCTTTCGTTTGTAAGCGAGAAAAAACCTTTGTGAAGTTTACAGTTTTCACGAAAACCTTGGTTCAAAAAGTTTACAGTTTTTAGTACCTTGTGAATAAAGTCAAAAGTATATATATATATATGTTTTTTTTTTCTTGTTAAACTGGTCTGAAAAACCATATATCTTTTTCAAAATATCGCTAAAAATACAAAGTATATATATTTAGGGATATTTAGGCTGAGGCAAACTGAGACTTGAGGGTAAACTCGTAAAAACTCGGATCCATTCTGGATCATAATTTGGGAGCCACATTTTTCGCAGGTTAAAGAATTCTGAATTTGTTTTTAGATGATATGGTTTTTGTTTGTACATGCAACATGGTAACGAAGTTCCCCGGTCCGTCAAACCCAATTTAATATATAGTATGCATTGCAGGCTACGTGTCCAACAAATTTATATTTTCGTTTTGGTCAACCGAATTCTCCAGATTATCCATAAAATAAAGAAGATTATTGGGAAACTTAGAATATACAATAGGATCTCAATAACGTTTGTACTACGCCATCTGAATGTAAAATTTTATATACTTTTTTTTTTCTCTCTTCTAGCTAATGACAGTTTTTTATGGTCAAAGCTTTTTTGGATAAACTAAAAATGATAAAACCAACATCGAAAAATTCTTAATATTATACTCCAGTGGAGGAGTATATGTTAAATTACTAGCTTAAAACAAACAACAAATAATAAATAAATTGTAGAAGTTTATTTAATCGAGTGATTGACCAAATGATTAACTAATGCTTTTTGAAATTCTTACTACTACTAGAGAAATGATCAACTAATGCTTTCTGTTGTAAAGAGAAATGTAGGTGGGAGTAATTTTTTTCTAGGTTTTGTTTTGCAGTACATACATTTCTCTTTACAACAGAAATCATAACTACATTATCGTTTCGGGAATCATCATGATGCTCGAAACACATGGTCAAAGTTATTGCAACCTGCCAAACAATTCCATTTTGGGGATTTTGTTTCCCCACTCAAGGCATATCGGATAATAACTGATCGCTTTTATTTATTCGAGATAAAATATTTGGATATGTACAACTCATAAGATACTATCTTGGTTGTTAATCAGTATGTTAATAAATGTGATAATATCTTAGAGATCCGCTTGTACTATTGCGTTAAGTGATCAAAGACACAAAGGGGATCGAGCTTTTCATATCTGTATTATTATTTCGTGAATTTGAAGTGGAAGAGAGAGTTTCTTGAAATTAAAAATGGAAGAAGAAAACATCTGCATTATTTCTAGAATTTGCGGAGAGTAAATAAAGAAAACTTTTACCTTTTAAAAACCACCATACATTTTTGATTTTTGTTTCTTTCTTGTACAGCCAGATCTTAAGATTTTCGCGTATTTCTAGGACTAGGAGTATCATTCCTACTTTTAGCAAAATCTCTTACACCACCCACCATTAAAGAGTTGGCATGCATAAATGTATGTAAGCGTAACACGTACTACAGCCTTCTTTGTCAAACCAAACAGAAAATTATATATTCTGCAGTTCTCGCGTATAACGTGGGGGGAATTATAATATAGCTTTTATATGGATATTACACTTTGAACCGATCCACTAATTCACCAAAATCGTACAATATACCGACTATTAAATAGCAGGCAAGCATGTAAACATAACACATCTACACTACAAACAAACAGAAAAGAAAAAAAGAAAAAAAAATAAAAAAAACTCTAACAGAAGATCGATCGAGGAGTTAATACACATGGCGATATCTCAGGTCCAGCCTTTGCTGCTTCTTCTCCTTGTGTCACTCTTTGTCTTACCTGCTTTGGCCGTCAAGTTCCAGAAGTGCTCTAGTAAGTATAGGATTGTTAGTGTTAATTTTCTTCGTTGTGTAGATTAATGTTTTGTATTTTCATTTTTCGTTGATAATAAAAGACATGCATGTACTTTTGATTCATGGAAGTTGAAGAAAATTAGTAATTTGTATGATTTCTTTTTCTTTTTGTAGCTGGTAACCAGAGGTTCATTGAGGTCAAGACTGTGGTGGTCACTCCAGAACGGGTTAAGCGTAGCGGTAGCGGTAGTGCAAACACGCGTTACGATAACTGGTTATACAAGGTAAGTAATTCCCTTGAATCTATTTTTTTTTAAGGTAAAAAAAAAAGACCAATAATTTTTCTTGATAAATAAAAATGAACAGGCAAAGACATCTCTGAGGGAGCAACTGTAATTTTGGCCTTTCGTTATGGGTTCCGGTCTCTACTAAACATTACTCAATCTGTGATGTAACGGCGTGTCCTGTTGCACCTGGCCCTTTTGTACTTACTTTACCTAACGTATTCACTGACAGAGTGACAGGGAAAGGAAAGTAGCGGTAAGTAGTTTTTGCTTTTAGATAGTTTAATTGAGCGGAATAATATCATATATAATGGCTGCATTTCAAATCTCTGTTTTGGTTGGTTTTTCTGATAATCTAACGAGACCTTCTTCTTCTTTTTGAATAATTTAGAGGGGATATAATGTTGGAATAACCATCACCGAGCAGGTTATGGAAGATGAGCCAGTTATGTGCGTCATGTTCGCTTTTAAGTTCGTAAGAGGTTATGCGTCTCTGCTTAGCCAAGTTACCGGGTGAAAACTATGTTCTTTTATGAGTCTCTCTCTCTTTCGTTAATTACCATTGTAAGTGGTAACAACCCTAAAGTTTGTATCCTTTTTTACCTTCTGTCTATGTGTTACGTTGTCCAAGAAATAAAAGTGAAAGGGCTAATAAAACACCCTTTATTTGGATTTGTCTCTCTGTTTTAGTTTGGTTCCATTTCTTCTCTGAACAGAAGCTGATACAGCCGTGCCAACCTAAATGGATGCCGGAAGCCAACAATGAAAAAAAATGTTCTTAAAAACACCATTTATAATAATGTACTTAAAAACACTCTTAGTTTAACGTACAAAAGCCATAGGATGTGTATTTTTTATTTATTATATTATCTAAAAATGCATAGAGGATATCTCCCTTTGTCAATTTATTTTGACATATTAGCCAAAATAATTATGTTCTCTTATCCTTAATAACAATTGCTCCATAATTATATTCTTTTGTTATTTGAGAAGATTCATGTTTTTATCGTAGGCTGACAAAGGTCACAAAGCTATTAATTAGTCCATATTTCTAAACTTTTCTTAGTTTTGATTAGTAGATGAATGTAAATTATATTATGTAATAATGGTATTTTTCTTTAAAGTTTTTCAAAATAATATGATGCCGTAGGCCAATGTTTCTTTTCTTCTCAAATAGGCACGGCCCCTGCTGATACCTATGAATGTTAGGGAAACCATTTTTTAAATGTAAGAAAGATTTGTACCTTTTAAACGGATAGTCTAGGATTATGAGAAGATGAATTATTGTTGGTAGGATGGATCAAAATTTCATATTTCACAGCGCAAGCAAGACAAGAACAGTCTTGGAGACGTTTAATACATAGCAACCACAGGACTTTAACTCTCGTTTGAAACTTGATACGAAGGAGAAGACGATACCTTTCTAGTTCAACTCTTACAAGGAAATTAGCCATCCTTTAACCAGAGCCCTACTTGCCAAATACATGTCACTTTCCACGCGACAAAATGGTCAATAGGTTTGTGACCATCCCAAAGACAAAAGTACCACCTAGCCATAGATGTGATCAGTTCAATAATATTATATATTTCAATATTTCATACTTATAATGTCTTAGACTTGTTTAAAAAAAAAACTAATTATATATATCTTGATTTCTTACATGATTTTTTCCTACAAAATTAGCTTTAATTTTTTAACTACCCAATCGCATACGCTAGAAATACGATTTGAGAGGTTTGGAGCGTAAACAAACGTTGTTCATACTGTTTCCAAAGCGTGGGAGGATCACATACAGTAGTACTATAAAAATCCACTTGCTTGATAAATTTTGAAGGAACTTGGCTAACTTCTTCCTTTAAAAAAAAAATATTTTTGTATCTTCCAAACAATACGATTACCAAAAAAAAAAAAAAAAAATCCATACGTACATGTTTTTTGTGAAATCATTTTATCTATTACGTGATTAAAACTAATTCAAAAATTCATGATACAATTCTAAAGTTTTTTTCTGTGTATTCATGGCGTTTTACCATTAAGTGTTTTTTGTTTACTACCGTTAACAGTGGTTGTATGTGTAATGTGTCACACTGTCAGCCCCAGCTCTATAAATTTAACAGCCTTCGGCAAAATACAAATAATGAGCCTTTTTTTATCAAATACAATATTTATTTATTATTATGAAATTTATTACTAAGAAAAAAATTGTAGCATGTTTTAAGTTTTAATACAGATTTAGCAATAAAGCTTTGTCATGAAGCTCTTTGTTCCACTGCATTCTTTATCAGATAAAGTTTATGTAGGTTAAAACAAAAAAATTGTTGAGTTATGTATGAGCTTTTTGCTTTCCTTATTTTAAGTTACATAAATTATGTTCATGAGCTTGTAAATTGTAATTAATATAATGAGTTTAAAAAAAAAAAAATTGCAATCGAGAAATGCGCCCATCGCGGTCGCCCGGCGAGAGCTGGGGCTTCACACTGTTAGCTATACAAAGAAAATGTTGGAATAAAACATCTACATTTTCAAAATGTAGTGAGAGTAAATTAAGAAAACTTATACCTTTAAAAAAGAAACCACCATACATTTTTGTACAGGCAGATCTTAAGATTTAAGCCCTTTGATAAAAAAAAAAAGATCTTAATAGTTGGCATGCATGATTGTATGTAAGCGTAACGCGCGTGCTGCAGACAAGCCTTTTAAAAAAAAAAAGTTAACGTGCTAGAGACAGTCAACCAAACAAAATATTACAGTATATACATCTTGCAGCCATATTGTAAAATTCTCGCGTATAACGTTGGGGGATTATAATATAGGGACATTACTTTCAACCGATCCACTAATTCAGCAAAATCGTACGATACACTACTATAAAATAACAGGCAGGCATGTAAACATAACACATTTATAGTACTACAACACAAACAGAGAGAAAAAATATATAACAGAAGATCGATCAAGGAGTTAATACACATGGCGATATCTCAGGTCCAGCCTTTGCTACTTCTTCTCCTTGTGTCACTCTTGTCTTACCTGCTTTGGGCAACATCAATTTCAAGAAGTGCTCTAGTAAGTATAGAATTGTTAGAGTTAATTTTCTTCGCCGTGTAAATAAATTAAATGTTTTAATTTTCATTTTTCGTTGATATAATAACAGAAATGTACTTTTGATTTATGGAAGTTGAAGAAAATTAATAATTTGCATCATTTCATTTTCTTTTTGTAGCTGGTAATCAGGGGTCCATTGAGGTCAAGACTGTGATGAGCACTCCAGAACGGGTTAAGCGTAGCGGTAGCGGTAATGCAAACATTACGGTAACTGGATATACAAGTAAGTAATTCCCTTGAAGCTTTTTTTTTTGGGGTAACAAAATTAAATTTCCAATAAATATTCATGATAATTAAAGATTACTTTGGTATGAACAGGCAAAAACATCTCTGATGGAGCAAGTGTAAATTTTGGCCTTTCGTTATGGCTTCCGCTCTCTGCTAAAAGTTACTCACTCTGTAATGTAACGGCATGTCCTGTTGCAGCTGGCCCTTTTGTATTTACGTTACCTAACGTATTCACTGAAATGGAAAAGAAACTATCAGTAAGTTTTGCTTTTACATAGTTTAATTGAGAGGAATTCCAAATATATATAATCGCTGCATTTCAGTTCTCTCGGTTTTGGTTGGTGTTTCTGTTAATCTAACGAGACTGTTTTTTTGTTTTAATACCTTAGAGGGGATATAATGTCGTAATAACCATCACAGAGAAGGATATAAAAGATGAGCCAATTATGTGCATCATGTTCGGTTATACGTTCAAAAGAGGTTATGCGTCTCTGCTTAGTCAAGTTACCGGGTGAAAACTATGTTCTTTTATGAGTCTCTCTCTCGTTAATTACCATTTTGTATGGTAACAAACAACCCTAAAGTTTGTATCCATTTTTACCTTCTGTCTATGTTTATTCCAAGAAATAAAAGTGAAAGGGCTAATAAAACACCCTTTACCGATTTGGATTTGTCTCTTTTTTAGTTGGTTCCATTTCTCTCAGAACCTGTATGAATATTACTATATCGGTGAAACCATTTTGTTTAAATGTAAGAACTAAGAAAGATTTGTACCTTTTAACCATCCCAAAGACAAAAGTACCACCTAGCCATATTTACTTTTCTTGTAGTGCATGATGTGATCACTTCAATAATATAATCATTCTTTAAAATGACAAAGCCCGAAAAATACATATATAATCCATTTTCAGTTCGCTGCACGTGGTTATACACTTGACTTTTACCTTTTGAATCAACGCGACGACCCGCTGATGAAATAGTCAAGGACAGTGCGAAAAAAAAATGAACATACCATGATTGTATTGCTTTTTTTACGGCTAATTGATTTGATTTTTTAAGGTTCTTGCAATAACTTATAGTGTGTTTAGCTTTCATTTAGTATCAACATTCAAATATGTAAGTAATCAAATCAACATAATGTTTATAAAATAACAAAAAAGGTGTGGAGGCCAAGTCACGAGATTATTCGTAAGACCTACTTTGGCTCGATATTAACTCGTCCATCACCGCGATGGTAACACTATTCTCTGATACAGATTCCGGCTCCGAGTCCGATGGCTCAACCTCCATCTCCGGCGAGCTTCTCCGTGGACCATTATAGAAAGCTGGCTCTTTAGGCAAAGAAAGAGCATTATTGCCGTCGCCGTATATCATAGACACAACATCTAACATACTTGGTCTATCCTCTGCGTTTCTTGTACACACAAGAGAGCAACTTGAACGCATCTCAACACTTGATTTTCAAGTGCAGAATCTCCCAGAGACGGATCTATCACCTCGCGGATTCGGTTCTCTTTGAAAAGATTCCACGCCTGAAAACAGAGTTTCCAATGATCCAAAGACCAAATAAGCATGCGAGATGCTAACAAATGAAAGAAGAAGAAGAGTGTTAGCTTTTACATGAACTATGAGGTTGAGAGGTCCTTCCGAGTCATGATGGAAGCTGTTGTTCTTCCTTCCACAAATGATTTCGAGCATTAGAACCCCGAAGCTGAACACATCTGATTTAGCCGAGAATAGCCCTTCTCTGAAGTACTCCGGAGACATATAGCCACTATACATATCAAGAGAAGAGTTACCTATAAAGATTCTGATGCTTATGAATGTTCGGAGAATCTTGAACTTACAAAGTGCCAGCAACTCTTTTGGTGTTGGCTTTGGACTCTTCTGCTCCAAATATCCGAGCCATCCCAAAATCAGCTATTTTGGGATTCATATCCTCGTCCAGCAAAATGTTGCTAGCTTTGATGTCTCTGTGTATCACTTTCAATCTCGAGTACTTGTGAAGGTACAATAGCCCTTGGAATTATCCCTTCCATGATCCTAAACCGCATCCTCCAATCTAGAACATTTTTCCTCAATGGATCTACACAAGATTTGGAGACATTTTCTCAGATGTGGTTTCTTCTATAGATTGTTGGCATTTTTAAAGAAAGCTCACTCACCAAAGAGGAAGTAATCAAGGCTCTTGTTAGGCATGTATTCGTAAATCAACATCTTCTCATCCTTGTCAATGCAGCATCCTAGCAACTGCACAAGATTTGTGTGTTGAAGTTTTGCAATAAGCATGGCCTCGTTCTTGAACTCCACTAATCCTTGCCCTGATGCTATTGATAGTCTCTTGATAGCCACTTCTTCCCCATTCAGTAACATCCCCTTCAAGAAAGTAGCGGAGACATTAAAATAGTTCTGGTTTTAAGTTAATATCAAAATCTGTCGTACCTTGTAAACAGGACCAAAACCTCCTTGACCGAGCTTGTTCTCATCAGAGAAGTAATCTGTTGCCAAGGCTACACTTTCAAAGTTATAAATCTGAAGTTCATTGTTATTCTTCCTTGCACTTCTTCTGTGCCGGCCTCTCCTATCAATTCCCAATTCACGCAGCAACAGTTCACGGTCTATTGTTGAACCGTCCCTCAGTGCTCGAAGCCTCCTCCGTATGAAACCAATCACTTTATAAACTAGCAAAAAGGACAAACACAATTCTCAATTTCGACAAGGAGGTGTTTCTTACATGCTTATACAAAATTTATTCAGTAGAGCCTTACTTTGTGGAATGATTTTCCCCCATAAAAAGTAGAAAACTCCGCGAAATATGACAGTTACTGGATCAAACACATAAAGAAAAGTGGTGAACTTGTTAGTAAAAACACGATTGACAAGAAAGTGATTCTGATCCAAAGTTTTTTTACCTTTTACTTTAAATTTCCTCAAAACAAGATAGATGAAGAACCAAATCACAGGTAGAATTAGTAGCAGTGATGCCACAACAACTAGCCAAGTTGCCGCCTTTTCTTCCTCTTGTGCTAGCTCATATTCTGTATCCAAGAAAGTGAGTCCCAAAATAGATTTGCTGCAGTATAAAAAGACAGATAATATATTCCCAAAACTCATCTACCTTTGTCACGAATATACATGGTTCTGGGACTATAAGAAGACGAGCTATTGTTGGTAGGATCAGTATCCCAGATCTCGCAGCCAGTACCATCCACATTGGTCGAAGCATAGGAAAGACAAGAACAGTTTTGCATACATATAGCCTAGCAATCAGCTGAACTGAACCTTCCACCAGTTTCATTAAGTACAAATCCATTGGATGAGAAAGTGGATATCGTCTCTGTGAATCTATTATGTAGGGGCCTACAGCTATATGCCCTATCCGGGACTATGCAACCAGCTTGCAAATATTCCCTGGAATTAACATCGCCACGCAAAGTGAAAGGAGAACAACGGACAAAGGCTTGCTCTCTATCAAGGCTAACTATATGCAAAATGCCCTGATTATCTATCATTACCGTGGGAAATACTATATCAGAATAGTGGAGATCAACTGAAAACGTAAAGTAGTGTTCACTCTCGGTTGAATTAAAAGTGAAGAAGGCAGATTCGTACTTGCTGAATTCCCACAATGAAAACCGATCCTTGAACCAGAGCCCACTTTCCCAATACATGTCTCCACGCCACAAGATGGTCAACATGTTTGTAGTATTATCATCCATCCCAAAGACAAAAGATCCAGAAGCAGGTAAAGTATCACCTAGCCGTGACGTCAGCTCCCATCTCTTCCCGGTCTTGACATTGAAACCGAGTTTCATCCCAGGAAGAAGAGTATCCGTTGGATAATCAAAGCTTTGCCACAGAACCCGCCTCACCGATCCACCAGGATCCATCTCCTGGAGCTGAAGATTTCCGGAATCCAACAGCTTGAGGGTCGTGTTTCCTGTGGTTTCCGTAGAGCTTAGCACAAGCAAGCTTGATGCTCCTCTTAAAACCTTCAATCTGCCGAGGGAGTCCACTGTGAGGCTTCCAGGGCCTCCCGGAATAGGGTTGTTACGGTTAGCAATCCAGACAGCCCTGTCTTGGAACTCGCCAAGATACAAGTTGTTGTAGAAAATCCCAAGATACCGGTTTCTTGAGTTCTCGAAGTTGAAAAACTTGAGCTCGAAGATATTGAAAGATGAAACGAGCTCTTGCCCATCTTTCAAGTAGTGCCCCTGCAGTAGCGTATCTGTTTCACAGCATGACTGTCCTAACAAGAGAGATAGAGTAAGAAAAGTGAGAAAGATGCCATTTATCCACATAGTTTCAAGGAACTTGAAAGATGGATAATTTGGCAATAAAAGAAGGTATTTCAAAATTGGTAGTACCGGCTTCTGATATGCAACGTAAATGAATGGCTCAGGCCAAGTCCAAGTCCACGCTGGTTGGAGTCAAATTTGAAGTCTTTCCACTGAAATAATGGAGCCAACAGATGTTAACATACATGACTTATTGGTGTAAGTGATAACGACCAATTTCAGTTTGACTCTTTCTTGCTAAATTCACCGAAAATTCAAAGGAATACCTGAGTAAGCAGCTGTCACAATGATACACACTCCCTGTGTGTAAAGTGTAAACCGATCCTCTTGCTCTAGCAAAACCATTGAACAGTAAACAGTAGCTTGGTTTGCAAAAGTTCCCTCTTTTTTCTTTCACTGAGTCCGAAGCGAACAGAGAAAAACAAAAGGGTTGAACTTGAAGATAGTATTCTCAATAATAACACTGTAACAGTGATGATCAAATTCAGATAAGTAATTTTGAAGGAAAAAAAGTATCCCAAAATTCATTCAGGCATTTTATCGAACACTTTATGTCTACTATGAGAATACAACAGCGAACAAGGATTTTAAAAGAAATTCCCAAGTCAAGAGGAAAATATGCTGAAAAGTGAAAACAATTTAATTTTGAACTGAAAACTGAAAATTTATGAACAAAGTTTTCAAGACGAACTAAATCATTCTTCTTAAATGCAGTAGTCGGTGCCGGTTGGATAATAACAGTTGGATAATAGAGAAGGTAATGTTACCTTCCTAAATCATTCTTCGCCACTGTTTAAGCATAACACGTGAAACATTACTACTTACTCTTCTTTTGTGCAGCCATATATTAAAGTTCTCCCGTATAACGTGGGAGATTATAAGAGCAAATGCAACTCATATAGTCTCTAAAGTCTAAACAATAAAAGAAAAAGAAAAGAAGAAAAACAAATAAGGTGGCAAGAGAAAGTAAGAGAGACGGTTGCTCCCCAAAGAGATTAAGGCCAACCGCATTGGAGAGTTTTTGAGAGGTTCTACTTTAAAAAAATAAAGAAAAAAGAAAATAATAATGATGTGGCAAGCTGATGTGGAGAGACCAAGACAGAAGCGTCTCTCTGCGAGACACCGTCTCTGACACAAGCTCGCCAGGTGTCAACATTTCATTGGTCAATTTTGTTTTTGATTTTTTTTTTTGATTTTTTTTTGAAATTCGTATTTTTTTAATTGTTTTTCTCGAAAAAGTTTGTAAAGAGTCCATGGGTGAGTTCTCCATTGCAGATGCTCTAATAGCATCCCCTGCGGTGATATTTAGCATGATCTCTATACATTAAAAAATTAAAAACAAATGAAAAAGGAGAAAAGAGAATGTCAGAGAGTGTGATACGTCTCTATGCAACAAGACTGTATCAACAAAAATAAGAAACTATGGTAAGAGATGTCACTATATTAGTGGTTGGCTTCTTTTATTATTTTAAGTTTAATTATTTTTTAAAAATTATATTGATAATATTTAAGAGAGATTGAAACTACGGTATAACCTATACCGATGGACATCCTTTAAAGAAACGTCTCATAAATGAAGCTCGCCATTTGTCTTTGTCTAATTGGTTTATTTACTTATTCATTTATTTATTTTGAAAATTGAGTTTTTTTAATATATTTAAGAGTTTGTGATGGGTATCACCGTTGTATGTGCTCTAATATGCATATATTTTGAGTGTAATCTACGTAGATTATAAATTACAAGGCAGGCTTATGTAGACGTAACACGTACTACAAAACAGAAAAACAGAGTATTTCTCTCTACTCAAGATCGATATATAGAGAAGGTAATATCCATGGCCATATCTCACGCCAAGCCTTTGCTTCTTCTCCTTGTGTCACTCTTTTTCTTACCTGCTTTGAGCAGCCCCAGATTCGAAAATTGCTTTCGTAAGTATTTTGTTGATATTATAAGTCTTTCTTTCGTTGTTGTTGTTGTTCTTGTAAACTTCTGCCTTTTTTTGTTGAAATTTAGAACAGAAATAATTTTGATTTCTGGAAGTCAAAGAAACAAAATAATCAAGTAAGATATTGTTATAATTTATTAGTTTTTGTTTGGGGATATAGCTGATCGTCAGTATCCCATTGAGGTCAAGACTGTGGTGGTCTCCCCATACCCGGTTCAGCGTAAATCTAATGGAAACATTACGATAACCGGTTATACAAGTAAGTAGTGCGTACTGTAGTGTTCCCTTTCAGCTTTTCTTGATGATTTCGTTTTTCTCCTCATCTTCAAGATCGTTATTTCCATTCTTGGTTTGAAACAGGCAAAGTCATCCCTGATGGAATAACTGTAACTCTCCGCCTTACCTCAGTACTGCCTTATTACTCTAGAAGACATTTCCACCTCTGTAATATAACGTCATGCCCTGTTGCACCTGGCCCCATTGTGCTTAAATTTCCGCCCATATTCACTGTTCAAGAATTAAGAAGAGCTGTAAGTTTTTTTTCCTCACATTAACACTAGTTTAAGATGGGTTGGCTTTTCTAATGATCTAACGACTTCTTTTTTTTTTTTCCTTTCAATACCTTAGTTATCTTATCATGTTTACATACGTAGTGTTAGATGGGTTGGCTCCTCGCCACCGCCGGGAGAGGCCCCTTCTCCCTTTCTTTCTCGTTTGATTCGGCTTCCTCTCTGTTTTGCTCGATTTTCAGCAGAGAGGGTTTTGTGAGTTTGGATCGAGATCCGCGAGGTGGTCCTCCGTCTTCGTGGTTTGGGGATCTTAGTGGAGGTAGAGTGTGGCATTTCGGCTCCTCCTTCAGATGTGGTGCTCTGGTCTTTGCTCTGGGAGGTCGTGGCTGAAGTTTCCGTCAGATCTGAACGGTGTGGTGGTTCGGAGGCTTTGAGGACGAGTTTCCGCCGTCGATTTGTTCAAGGAGGTGGGGTTTTCGGCTGCTTTGATCTCGTCAGGGCAGCGACGGCGTGGTCTCCGGTGTACCGGAGAGTGGCTCATTCCGTCGTCTCTCTCGTTCCTTTCTCGCCGGCGGCTGTTGTTGGGCGGTGGTCGACAGTGGTGGGATCTCACAGTGACGACTGTGGTTTCTCTGCTCAGATTTGGCCTTCCGTGTGGCTCTTTCAGCTTCTGCTGGTTCCTTTTGCTTCTCGGGTTCGTAGATTGGCTCAAGCTCTGATAGGGGATGACTCCGTTAAAGCTTAAAGCTTCCGAGGTGGTTCAATGTTGGATAGAGGCGGCAGCTCCGTTTTTCAGTCTCTACTCGCCCTGTGGGAGACTATTCTTGTGGCTTCAAAGCTTGAGTTTGGTGGCTAGAGGCGGCTTCTCTAGCTGTCCGTAGAGGCTCCCGTGCCGTCGGTGGTGTAGTAGTTCGCTGATGCGGTTCTGTTTTGTGCTAGTCCTCGGAGAAGCTGCAGGTACCGCTACTAATGAGGTTTTGAGGACTGGCCTTGTGTGCGGTTGCTCACGGCAACAACGATGGGGATTCCAGGTTTTAGGATCTGCGGCAAAAGCGCAATTTTCCAAGCTTTGGTTTGGAATCGGTGTTCCTCATTGGTAAGCTCTCGGTTGGTGCAAACATGTGTCTAACTTGTTGTAGTTAAGCCGTCTTTTAATCCTGTTTGTATCGTAGATTTCGGTCTTTCTGTCTTCTTAGTTTCTCTGTATTCTGTCACAAATCAAAAATTTGGTAATAAATCTTACATTAAAACCAAAAAAAAATAAGAGGTTGTTATTAAACACTCTTAGCTGAATTCCTTTTTTTTTTTTTATCTCTGATTCAATTTGTATCCGTTTTCACGATCTGTGTCGTCCAACAAATAAAAATGGGTTAATAAACACCATCTTTTGTTAAGAAAAAAAACCATCTCCATATCTCTCTCGTTTGAGTCACCGCTAATTTACTCTCAACATTTAATAATCTATTCGTTTTTGTCACAAACTTTTCTTGTTACAAAGTATAACATTACCTATGCTATTTGTGAGAGAAATTAGTAGAAATTGTTTCAGCTATAATTGTTTTTTTTTTTTCTGGTTACTCCAATGACAAAAGTCACCTCTTACAAAGATGAAACAACATCTTCATGATCCACATTGCCAACAGCATCAAGTATAGATGAATAAGTGATTGCATCATAAACAAAGCCTTTATCTTTCATCTCTCTCATCATTCTTGCAGCTTCCTCAAACATCCCAGCATGTGCAAAACATCCAAGAAGAGTATTATAAGTCACACCATCAGGCTTCATCCCAGAACGCTTCATACTCTCAAACATCTCTATAGCCCTCTTTGGCACACCTGTTCTTGCAAACCCATTCAAGACGATATTATGCGAATTCACATCCGCAACACAACCATTCTCCTCCATCTTCCTAAGCAACAAGTTAGCTTCATTCACCATACCAGCCTTCACCATCCCTGACATCAGCGCATTGTAAGCATAAACATCAGGACCACTTCCTTGGCTCTTCATCTCATTAAAAAGATCCACAGCTTCACTCAGCTTCCCACATTTCCCAAAATGCTTAATCATCACAGCGTACACTCTCGAACTCACACTCCCGAAATTCTCTCTCAGCTCCTTAAACAGCTCGTTCGCCGCCTCGTACCGTTTCGCCTTCCCAAGCGCGTTTATGAGGCTGCAATACGCTGCAGGACAAGGAGGAAACCCTTTCTCATCCATCTCCTCAAGAAGCAACAGAGCCTTCTCCACTCTATTACTTTTACAGTAACCATCTATAAGGATCGAGTAAGTGAACTCACTAGGCGAAACACCCTCCACCTTCATCTTCTCAAACCAAGAACTCACTTCCGAAACAGGCGCTCTCGACTCAAACAGAGCCTTGATAACAGTGTTGTACGAAACAACAGTAGGAACACACCTCCACATCCCCATCTCACTAAACACATTCCTCAACTCCTCCACTCTCCCAACTTTCCCTAAAATGTTCATCAGATTGTTCAAGAACACAACATCAGGAAGAATTAACCCATCTCTAAGCATATCTTTATACAAACCATACGCTTCTTCCACTCTCCCACCTTTACCTAATCCCTTAATCATCTCTGTATAAGTGTAAACAGTAGGGGAGCAACCTCCACGTCTCATCTCCTCAAACAAATCCAAAGCTTTCTCAACTTTCCCAACCTTAAAGTAAATTCCAAGCAAACAAGTGTATATCTTCTCCGTAGGCTCCAAACCATTCTCCCTCATCTCCTCAAACAACCTAACAGCAGAATCATCACGACCTAATCTATCATACGAGCTTATAAGCGCAGAGTAAGTAACCGTATCAGGAAAGCAATCACCTTCGTTGCACATCTCAGTGTAAACCTCATGGACTTTCTCGTACTGTCCTTCTCCCATCAGCATCAGAATCACAGAGTTGTAACTGCTCGAAGTCGGTTTGCATTTCCTTCCTTTCGCCTGGTAAAACACTGACAAGGCCTTGCTCACCATTTTGGCTCGTCCCAGAGCTTTCACAACCTCGGAGAGCACCGATGGACTGACGCTAACGTACGCGTTACGAACCACCTCCTGTATCGTTCTGTACATTTCGCCGTAAAGCCTGGCTTCTTCGAGGCAACGTATCAGTGTCATGTAAGTGGAGGAGTCGTGTTGAAAGTTCCTTCTTTTACCTGCCCATTTGAAAAACTGGATCTTGACGTTGATCTCGACGTCGATCTCGAGAATCGAACGGACTAGTCGGTGATCGACTTTCAGTTTAAGCACCTCCAGGGCTTTCTCTGCGTCGGGTCCCCATTTGAAGATTTTCAGGATTCTTATGAATCTCTCGTCTAACATCCTCACTGACGGATCTTTTCTGGATAGTTTCCATTTCTCTTGGGGTTTCTCTGATTCCTCTGGATTCGGTACACTAAACATCTGAACGATCTCGCTTTCTGCGAATTTTAGATAACACATGGATTATCAATTCAAAAACAATTTCTCGTTTTCTTCTCCAAAGAGAAGCGAAATTAGACTCATTTCTATTTGAAATCCTTAAACCGTAAATATCTCGAGAGGGAATTTTCGGTTATCGGAGATTATTACCTGTTTGTTTAAATCTCTGAGAGAGGTGAGGTAGAGTGGAGACGCTTCGCTTCGCGAAAATGGATCGAGCCGGTATGTTCACCATTTTTTATAAACGGGTTTTACATGTAACGGTGCCACCAATTCTAAACCTCCTCCTCCTCCGGTGGCGACGAATTCCGACGTCCAGCAATCGAGATTTCAAATCGGCGTCGGTGGTTTTAGCTTCAGACAGATCGGCGGAGAGATAAATCATAACGACTCCGACTCATTAGGGTGGAGTTGAAGAAGACGCACGTGAGCGTCACGTGTTTTCTTATTCTTAGGATAACGAAGCAGAAGAGTCTTAGCTGGCGAATTTTCATTGGCCGTTATGTACACAAAACACCGAACTACTCGAGAATTGCAGAAATGCCATTGCTCCCTAAAACGAAGTTCGTATTCACAAAACCTTGAATTTACGATGAATCGATCCTATATTACTTGAAAAATCGAAGGATAATTCTGAAATCTTTATTGTTTTTGTGTTGTTCTTTGGGATTTCTTCCAGTCAGAAGTAGTGAGTGACACAGTAGAATACAAAGGAAGCTCCTTTTTTTTTTTTACTCGGTGGATTTTGGGTCAGTGAATTTAGGATTTGCCAATTGCCACACATTTCCAATCTCCAAAACACTTCATCGGCGAAGATGGGTTTCCTCATAGGGGGCTCTTGCTTCGCCCCATCTCCTCCTCTCCATTCTCGATTCTTCCCATCTTCTTCTTCTCCATCGCAGTTGCTTTGCTCCAGCAATGTCGCCAAGTTCAAGCGTCGCCGACCACCATCCGCTTCACTACGCCGCGAAGATGCAAACGGCGAAGATGCTTCCGTCAAGAGAAGAGCTTTTATACTTGTGGGTGTCTCCGTTCTTCCGTTTTTGCAGTTTCAATCGCCGGCTATGGCAGACGAAAGTGAGATTTATCAGCTTTGCTCTTTTTCTCGACATTCCTCTGTTATCTGCATTGGAGGGTTTTACTTCACCCTTTTGCTTATGTTTATGTTTAATTACTCTCAGGAGACAGTGAGATAAAGACGTCAAAGCTTAATCAAGAAGCTGAGGTTTTTGCCATTCTCTTAGACCTTCTCAAAATTGAATTTCAGAAACCTTCTTTACACCTCTAGAATTTGATTGTTTGAGTTAGGTGATTGATTGTGAGACTTTTCTATAATACCATTTGCTTTATGTTGATTAGGTTGCAGTTAGTGAAGGAACGTCTCCAAATCCATTTCTGTCTCTCTTAAATGGTCTTGGAATTTTTAGTGCTGGTGTTCTTGGTGCACTCTATGCACTTGCTCGGAAGGATACAGCAATGGCTGAAGAAACCATCGAATCTGTAAGCTACTCTCACTTAAGATTCTGCTTAAAAATGATGCCTTTGATTACAATTGTCTAGTCCCATCGACAAGTTTTGATCTTTATCATTTAGTTCGAGCTTCTCTATTGTTGTGAACTTCTCGCTGCTGGATTTTGATCCTTTTTTTCACTTAAGCTACTGATATCCGTGACATACAGCTAAAGAACCAGTTGAGAGACAGAGAAAGAGCATTAGTTTTGAAGGAGAAAGACTTTGAAGCAAGACTGAAGCGTGAGCAGGAAGAGCGTAACAAGGAACAAAAAAAGGCCAAAGAGGAACAATTATCATTGATCAACCAGCTGAATTCTGCAAAAGAAATGGTGACTGAATTAGGCCTAGAGCTAAGCAGCGAGAAGAGAGCACGTGAGGAGCTAAGAGTTCAAGTAGAGAGTCTGCAAATTAGTCTGTCAAAGGCTGATGAAAACAAGAAGGCACTAGAGACAGAGCTCAGAGAAAAGGTTGATTTGATTGAAGGGCTACAAGATCGGATCAACTTGCTTAGTTTGGAGCTGAAGGATAGTGAAGAAAAAGCTCAGCGTATTAGTGCATCGCTGGGGGAAAAAGAAGCAGAGCTGAAGAAACTCAACTCTACTTACACTCAAACTAGCCGAGATCTTGCTGAAGCAAAATTAGAAATCAAACAGCTGAAGGAAGAGCTCACAAGAAACCAGACTGAACTGGACTCGAAGAATGCGGCTATCGAGGAGTTAAACACCAGAGCAATCACTTTAGTGGCTGAGAAAGAGAGTTATATCAAGAAGCTTGATGATGTTTCAAAAGACTACAGCGCTTTGAAACTGACTTCTGAAACGCAAGCAGCTGCTGATGCAGAAGTCATAAGCAGGAAAGAGGAGGAGATTCAGCAGCTAAAGGAAAAGCTGGATGTTGCGCTAAACGATGTAAATGAGAATCAAGAAAAAGTTATTGACTTGACAGAGAAGTACGAAGACTCGAAGAGACTGCTTGATATAGAACTGAGTAATGTACAAAATTTGAGGCATGAACTTGCAGGAACAAGGAAAACACTTCAGGCATCTAGAGATCGGGTGTCTGACCTGGAAACGCTGCTTGATGAGTCAAGAGCTTTGTGTTCGAAGTTTGAATCAGAGCTTTCTGGAGTTCACGCTGAATCGAAAAAGGCTAAGGAAAGATATGAGAGGAACCTTGATGAGGCCAACAGAAAAAGTGAGATTCTGGCTGGGGAACTCGCAGTGGAGAAAGATCTTTTGAAGAAAGCTAGAGAAGAGCTTGTGGGACTGACCAATGAACTCGAAGAGTCTACTGTTAAGAACAAGAGCCTCCAGAAGGAACTAGTGGAGATTTACAAGAAAGCTGAAACCACTAACAAGGAATTGGAAGAAGAGAAGAAGACTGTTTTGGCGTTGAACAAAGAGGTGAAAGCAATGGAGAAGCAGATGTTGAAGGACAGGGAGGCGAGGAAATCCCTTGAAACAGACCTCGAAGAAGCAGTCAAGTCCTTAGATGAGATGAACAAGAACGCATCGATACTGTCACGAGAGCTTGAGAAGGTGAATACCAATGTCTCGAGCTTGGAGGACGAGAAAGAAGTGCTTCAGAGATCACTAGAAGAGGCAAAGAACGCGTCGAAAGAAGCTAAGGAAAACGTGGAAGACGCACATAGCCTTGTGATTAATCTAGGAAAAGAGAGGGAAGTGTTAGAGAAGAAAGTGAAGAAGCTCGAGGAGGACTTGGGCTCTGCAAAGGGAGAGATACTGCGCATGAGGAGCAAACCGAACTCTGTAAAAGCTGTTAAAAGTACAGACGAGAGTGACAAAGAGAAGAGCGACGATAAGGTTACTGTGAAGAAAGTTGTCAGGAGGAGAAAGAGCAGTACAAGTTCTTGAAGAGACAAGAGGTTATATAGTGAAGTGAAGAGCTTGTGCTTCTCTTATCATATAACTCTGATTTATTATTGGTAGCAGTATTAAATCTCTGTGTAAATTTTGACAAGAGGCAAATGGCTCAAGAGTTTCATCATTGAGATCATTCCATCAGTGATGAGAGGAAATATAGAGTGAGAAGATGAAGATCAATGCTATATATAAGTCTAAATTATGGTTTCATAGTGATAAGTTAAAGATGAAATTACATTTATTGTACAAATTAAACCGAAACTCCCTCAAGGAGTTGATAGCTACTAGCACCAAAAATGTTTCACAAGAAGTTGCTTCGACTTCAGAAACAACCATCAAGGACAGGTTCTCAAATTATCCAGTAGAAAATTCAAAGTTTTTCAAATTCATAAAGAGACTGCTTTATTTCAAGGCTGGCCTTGAGCTTTCCATGTTGATGAGAGATCAGACACAGCTTCACCAACTGTTAGATAAAGTCCACTCAGACCCAATGCCTCAATGATCTTGGACTTGTGTAGCTTTTCCATCACACTCCCCACAGGATTCACCAGCACAAGCTGTTTGAACAAGCGTAAACATAAACATTAGCGTTGGTTTTTCTCTCATCGGTAATGATCTTTTGTTTTCAGTTGAAAGGTCTAACCTGAAGTGACTGCTTCTCAAGCCTCCTCCTAAGTTCAAACACTGCTTCAAGGCCGCTTGTGTCTATGGACGACACAGCTGAAATAATTCCAACAAGAAAAAAAAAACTTATTAAGTGAAGAAGAAGAGTCAAAACTCATGAACATAACTCATGTGGGAACAAAAGTTACCTGTCATGTCAAGAATTATGCATTTCAAGGTAGTACCATTGTTCTCCTTGATTCGATTTTCCTCTTCCCTGGCCCATCTCAAGATCCTACAGAACCATAAGCTCATTTCCATAAGAACAAACACAAAACCATATCAAGAAGTAGTAAGTAATTTAGTAAGAAGACAGTTATTTTGACTGACCTTTCTTGCAGGTATGTACTATTGGCGAAGTATAATGGAGATTCAACGGCAAGAATTAGGAAACCAGGGATTCTTGAGGCTTCTCTGTATCTTTTAAGACTCTGAAATATCTGAGTCCCTGAGATATTTCCAAATTCTACAGTGTTTGGCCGGGTTACATGCAACAAGATCTTGAGAACCGAAACTCCCACCTGCAAGAAAAAAGATATCAAACTTAGAGAACAACCTGAGAATTTTGAAACAAGAACCTTGAGGAGAGATTCGTATACTCACTGCTATTGCAAGGCCAAGAGGTACAGAAACGAAGAGAACGCCAAAGAAGGAACACATGCAGGTGAAGAAATCGAATTTGTCAACTTTGTAGAGCTTGTAAGCCGCTTCATAATCAATTAGGCCTATCACAGCGGTTAAGATGATGGCGGCAAGGATCACATTAGGAGTGTAATAGAAGAGTGGCATCAGAAACAAAAGGGTCACAAGAACTGCTGAGGCCATCACAATGTTAGAAACCGCTGTTTTCGCTCCAGCATTGTAGTTTACAGCAGATCGAGAGAAAGACCCTGAAGAAAGCAAAAAATGGAGTCGTCAAAAACATTGTTCCTTGAACCACAAGGTGAAGGAGATTGGTATCAAAGTTAGGTTTATAACCTGTGGTAACATAGCAAGAAGTGCAAGAACCAGCCATGTTCATAAAACCTATAGCCATCATTTCTTTGTTGCCATTAACTTGGTAATTCTTCATAGATGCAAAAGTTCTCCCTACAGCAATCCCTTCCTGTAAAGAAAAAACAGACAAGTCAGATCCAATAGATAATCTCTTAACTCTACAACATACAAAGGAGCTTGAGATTTTGTTTAGCTTACTGTAAGAGAAAGAATCCCAGTGATGAGACCGGTCTTGATGGCAAGAGCAAGATGAGTACCACTGAAGTACAACATGTTTGATGAAGGTGGATTCAAACCCTTTGGTAAATGTCCAATCTGTATTCAAAGATTGAAATTTCATTTTAAGCCTTGATGAGTTGTCTTAGTCTCAGTTTTATAGTTTACACAAGTCTGGTTAAAAATGTTCTTACAAAGGAAATGGCTTGAGTCTTGGATCTGATGAGGTATACAAGAAGAGTTGAGAGAGCAACTGATGCCAAAGGTGATGCAGCTGATATCCAGAAAAGTTTTGGCTTCCTCATGCTCTATGTTCCCAAAAAGAAAAAAACAAGTAATGTTAAATATTTTGATCGCCGTTGGAAAATTGCTAAAGGTTTTGCAAGTACTTACAATGTGTCTTGTGGTTAAGAGAATGCTCAAGAAGCCAACCCCCATCACAATAGTTTCCCATGACCACTGAAATTGTTAGTAGTAACATTTTTAGATAAGGATCTTCAAATATTTTTTTAATAGTTAATTTCAATGTTTAAAGAGGAAAGTAATGTTTGACTTACCTCGGATCTCTGGTTGATAACAGAGGACATGACAGGAATAAATTGCATTTTGCCAGTGAAATGAACAATTCCAAGAAGACCCTTAAGCTGTTGAAGTGACACAATCACTGCAGCACCAGCAGTGAAACCAACCAAAGTTGCCTTTGACAAGAAGTCAATCACAAACCCCAGCCTGAAAATTTAAAAAAATAAATAAATTAAATTTAAGAAGAAAACATATAATATATAGTCCAATGTTGCTGACTATGACAAAAAATAAACAGTGAAACCCACTAAGTAGAAAAGAAGGAGAAGCATCTTGGGAGGTCGACATTAGTACATGTCACTTGTCACCATCAAATCATATTAAATGGAATCTTGGTCTTTTTTACATATAATAATGTTGTTCATCATGACGAACTTCCCTTTCGTTTTCAGTGATCGTTTGTTCAACAAAAGAGGCTTAACCAAACTACAATAAGAGGCTTTGCTAAGTATTCTTTCACATGAAGATTGCAGATTCTAAAGTTTAGTTTTTTTTTATTTTTGGATTGAAAAAAATGTGAAATCTTTTGGATAGGATTTGTACCTAAGAAGGCCAAGGGAGGCTTGGAAGACACCAGCAAAGAAAGTTGAAGTGAAAGCCAATTTGAGATATAGGATTGAGTCTTGTGTTGGAGAAACACTCTCACTTAACATTGAGCCCATCACAAGTGATGCTATTGAGACAGGACCAACTGCAAGATGTTTTGAACTCCCAAGAACTGAGTATATAAGTGGTGGCACAAAGCTTGAATCTGCATGCAATCCATAAAATTGATTAATTAGAACTTTAGTTAGCTAATTAGTCTGTAATCAGGTGATTATGAATCTATGATAATCGATACTCACAAAGACCAACTATGGGAGGTAAGTTTGCTAGCTTGGCATAGCTGATTCCCTGCAATTTTGAGTTTCACAATTAACAAATAAATTTTATAAATAAATAAAAAACCATTTGTTGGATATTTCAGAGTGAACCCACTATGAAATTAACGAAACGTATTTATTTAAATTTATTGGAACATTGAATGACATTTAATAGTCCAAAACAAAAACAACCGGAAAAGGTTTTAATTTTTGCTTTAACCTCTCCGATTCCAATTAGTCATCCCCATTACCCCACACTAATTCAACGATTAAATGAAAAAAATATCTTTAATTACGCCTTTTTATTATCCTTCCAGCATTAGAAAACAAAAAAAAAAAAAAAAAAAAAAAAAAAAAAAATCATTTTCGGGTCGAATTCATATTCTTTTATACATCCAAATATCTATTGCTGACGTGGTATTTCCTATTCCATTTTTTGTACCATTCTTCTTCTCTAAATTAGACACAAAAATGTTCAAATATCACATTAAAAACTGTCCGAAGATAGAACAAATTCTACAGCTGGTGTATTGAAAAGAATGATAATTTCCAAAAAAAAAAAATGAAGTCAAAATCAGCCATAAACACTTTGAAACTTTTTGAAAATTTCTAAATGTTCCATAAAACTTTCCATTTTGTCAAGAAAAAACCAAGACAGACGAAAACAAAGGATGGATCTTTCAGTTACCTGAGGGATGGCGAGACTGGCAATGGTGAGACCAGAGACAACATCGGACCTAAAAAGCTTGAGATCGTACTGTGAACCCCATGTGAATATCGGAAACAAGCTTTGAAGACCCAGAAGCACTCTGTTTCTCCATGTCTGGTCCCTAAACTTCTCTAAAGGATCATCCGGGAAGAAAACATCAGCACACCGCTTTTTCAGTTTCTGAAACGCTGTTTTCTTCGGCGGTAGACAAACACTGTGTATCTGCACGATCGTTTCTCTCGGGGTTGCGACTGCGGCTGCGGCGGTTCCATTGTTTGGAGACGACATGTCTTCTACTCTGTTGGTTCCATGACCCATGGTTTATGAGACTATATATCAAAAGGGTTCTCCAAAAATGGAAAATTCAATTTTTTATTTTTGTGATTTTTGATATGATGATTTGGGATTGAGTTTGTGAGGTTTTGTGATGGAAGATGGTCGTATTGTGCTCTGTATATATAGACACTTGGCTGTGAAAGTGTAGTTGGTATTATGGGTAATGTCAGTTTTTGTTTTACTTAGTGCCAAAAAAAAAATGAAAAGCGGTTTCTGTTTGATGTTTGGGTGTATAGGGGTAAATGCGTCATTTTCACTTGAGAGTGAGTTTACTAAAATCTGAATGAAATCACATTTTCTGTAGAGCATGGCATATGAACAAGAGAATATGATATTGAAGATTGAAGATATATAACGAAAATAATACAAATCTTAAATTTAGAGGATCGTTCGTCTAACCTGGAGTAATCAGGAGAAAGCGCGATGACAAAATTATAACCGAATCTTCCACAATTGTGAACTGTATTCTGTGATTCAAAACAAATTCAGCATTTGAAAATTGCTCATTGGAATTTCTGTAAGTTCTAAGAATACTATTTGATTATGGTCAATACATATTCTTATAAAGATGATGAATAATATAGTAATTATCTTATCTTATCTTATCCTATTATAGCATTCCTTATATTGCACAATTCAAAATATGTATACTTCCTAATCTATCATATTTGTTTTGATTTTCCAGCAATAATACAATTCTGTCGGTCAAATTAATTAAAGGGCATATTATGGTAGTTAATGTGTGAATATGCATGTACATTTTGGGCGAGTGTACGCATGAAAAATAAAGACACTAAATAGTTAATGTAATGTGCGTTTTGGTCAACTTCTTGGAAGGGTTTTAAAAAAAAACTCGTGGTTTTCAGCATTTTAGTTTATATTTTTGTGGAAAAAAAAATGATTTTTGACACATGGTTATTACTATTTCTCTCTATTGGATGAAGAAAAAAACTCTGTTTTCGGAAAAGAAGTGAAGAAAAGGAAATTAATGTTCGAATTCTTGAACGTAAAAAAGAAGACTTACAGATAACAGTGTTTGCGTGGATCATTTCTGAACGTCGAATTTTTTTAGGGTCATGAGGACAGTTGAATTTGGAAGACTGGTGGGGCCTCCACTTTTAATGGTTTCCATTTAAGTTTTAAGAAAACAAAAATATTTTTAAAAAAACTTTTTTGTAGTTATGATAACCAAACGTTAAATATTGGAGTAGAGCACTTGAACAAAGACAAAGGGGAAAATGGTTACAAAGATTCCAAGTTGATTCATAATTACTTCTCAACCGACTAAAGTATGTTTTCCATAGTACTAATTTTTTTTAACGCACCTAATTCATTCTTATCTTCCATCACTAATAAAAGCGTTATCGAATTAAAGATTTGTATGGCTCCTACATATTTAAATTAAATATACATATATAAAGATCTCTACATATATGGCTATGGGATCTTATTACTGACCAGAAAATATCAAATGTTTTGGTGCTCAGCAATACTTGAATAGGTCACTACCTAAGCCTTTCTAATTTTCCTGATACTAAGCAGCCATTGAACAAAGCATTAACGATGGAGAGAAATAATTATCCCTTAATGACATGGTCTTAGTTGGTAAAACTGACTTGTAGATAAAATAACTAGCTAAAAGGTGGCTCAAGTAGATAGTTAACACATTGTTGATTTTTAAACACATTGTTGATACTTAAATTATTAACTTTTTAATGGTTTTAAGAATAGTGTTTTCTCACTGTTTTTTTATTACGTACGTGAATGGCTGAATGCCACACGTCCAGATTTAATTATAGTTGATTGGTCCAATGCATGATCAAATCCCGTGTCACAAAGAGTCAAAGACCCATGGGTTCGAACTCTCGGTATCCTTAGAACAAAATGTAGTGTAACAACACTTAACTAGATTGTAAGAAAATACTAAACAATACTTTTAAAATATCAACATACCAAACTTAGTGTTTTGAGATTTTTTTTGTTTGTTTTAATAGTCTGAAATTTTGGACCGAATGTTCTTTTATGATCGGGATGCTTACCAATATTGCTTCTACTTTATATTGATCGCAATTTGCGTGTTTAAGTGCTTATAAGGGAATTAATTAGGTCTTCAACTTTGTTCGGTAACTGCCGTTCATGTTTTGTCTTCTTAATACACGTAGTCATCTGAACGGTGTGTATGACTTAAAATAACTTAAAATATTTCGCATGACTTTTTCGAAACATCTCGGAAAAAAATGAATGCAAAAAAAAAAGTTTAACATAATTGTAACACAGTAAGTTAATCACATTGATTGGATGAGTTCATAGTATTTCTAGACAAGACCAAATATTTGTATGGGTTTGATAATACGTGAATTGTTTATTTTTGGAGTTTACAAAACACTTGCTGTTTATTGTAAAAACTTTTTCTGAGTTAATCTTTGAGCTAGATTGCAGCATCTATCTACTATCTAGTGAGCATTTGACACTGTAGATCGATCCATTTTTAATATACTTCGTATTTCGTACTGTGAAACAATGAAACCCGATCTCATAATGTGTGGAAATGGATTTGGGGTCAGGCATAAATATGTATTACCACTATAATATATTATCTTAGGTATGCAAGTTTAAGCTTAATCATGTTGATACCGGTCCAGAGAACTACCTTTATCGGAAGATATTTGAACAAATCCAATATAGAACCGACATCCATATTGAAGATCATAATAGAAAGATATTTGCACTCCGAGAAAACGTATCTTTCTAAATAAATTTTTGACTGGTATGATTTGTTTGTCTCAGTCTGTACATATAACATCATATATAATACCAAGTGGCATATATAGTATACGATGAACCACTCCGAGAGCTCCATCTGGATTTGTAAGATTCTTTTTATCGATTCTGTTTTGCTAAAGTAATATGCACTTTAATTATGATCAGTATCCCCCCCCCCCTTCCTATCTTTGTCCATGTTCTTAAGTGATTTATTACTTCTTTCTGGTTAAGAGTAAATTATTACTACTAATTTATAAAATAAAAAATAAAAAATTTATTGCTTGAGGTTCGATTCGGTTGGTTTTAAACTATATTGATCGTTATCCATCGATGTGAACTCAGGCAATTTACGTAACATCACAAACACCTCTGAGTATTATCTATGTCATGAATGTGCAATATTCATTGTGTGTAAATATTTTAATCTTTATATATAGTGCTCATTTAAAAATAAGTGGCCTAGTGGAAAATGTACGGTAACGAATACTGATTTACTATATACAAAAAAGACACAAGAATTTTGGTTGGTTTTAGTCACAAGAAATTTAAGATATGCTAACGAATTCGCCATACTTGTTAGATCATATATTAGTTGAATTCAAGCTAAATACAAGAAAAAGGGAATCCACTATTTCTAACTAATACTTGACACGTTAAATTTTTAAAAGCATGCTAACTATATTAGTAATGAGAAAAATGAGAGCTTAGAATAAACATAAAATAGAAGTAATGCATATATTCTTGTATAGCAAAATGTTGCTTTAAATCTCCATCCCACACATAACTAATCCTCCCCAAATTTCTAAAAATAATAACAAAAGAGATTCCACTAAACATCAATATTTGATTAAAGAACATACTATATAATAGTTGAAAACAAAGATATCAAACACAGTTTTAGGTTTTTTTATTTGAAGAATAAATTTTAGTTTTTTTTTTTTTTTTTTTTTGACCAAGAATATATTTTAGTATTGATATATTTAGATACAACATTTCTTTTATGGACCCCTAAAAAATTTGAGGTTCTTCTCCGTTACAGACAGAATTGGAGGCATTGATTTGGGCTATGCAAAGCATGATAGTCCATAATAAACGGAGGATGAATTTCCAAACAGACTGCGCTCAGTTGGTGACGATGGTGTCCAAACCTGCGGAGTGGCCAGCGTTTGCGATCTTGCTAGAAGAGGTGGAGAAGTGCAGAAGGATGTTCCAGGCGTTCTCCCTATCACACATTCCCAGGACAAAGAACACGAAGGCAGACAAGCTAGCACGAAGTGCTCGAGATTAGCCTCATGATGTGTATTACATAAACTCCCTTCCCCCGGTCTCGCTCCCCGAACCGGTCTAGGAATTTAGGCTGTTGAAAAAAAAAAAAAAAAAAAAAAAAAAAAAAAAAAAAGAAAAAATCGAGGTTCTAACCAAATAGTTCATGAACAAAGCGGGATCTACTTGAACAGTTGTACTAATTATCAAACAAACCATATAAACTAATCTGATCAAAGACTTATCTTTTTTTGTTAAAAAGGGCTGATCAAAGACTTATCATTTACGATGTCTTGTTCATTTTGTTTGTGTAAACTATAATTGAAACCGCATATAATGAAAATCATTGTTGTTTTTGTATATGTGAAATGCAAAATGCCAAGGTGGCGAAAATAAGGCCAAGAAGAATCTCGAAAAGCGAGCACGGAGGACGCGACCTCACTCGTTACGCGGCGAGAAGTAGAGGCGCCAATATAGAGATATTCCATTTACTTGTTCAGATTTTTTGTTCTTTTCTTAATTAGATTCTTCTCATTTTTCTCCTATTGTTTATTTCTTCTTTCGGTAATTCTTGGGAAACCAAATTTTCTTATCCCTCTTTCTCTATTTTTCGGTTGTTTTGTCATATCACATTTTTTGTAAAAAGGAATAATTGTGAAAAGATTGTTAATATGTAGCCACAAACGATGAACCATATATATTTAAGCACAATGACTTCTTTTTCCCTTTAATTTATTTAGTTTTTAGTGAAATATAGAAATCTCTTTGTCCACTTGTTCCCTTTTCTCCCCCAAAATGTTTCTATGTTTCTTTCAATATGTTTATTCAATACTGGGTTCTCACGAATCTATATCGTATGCACGCATTGTAAACAGATGTATGGTCATGGAGATACTCAGATATTATAAAACATATATTTATAACAAATTGGTTACAGTTCAACACACGACTAACTTGTTTTTCTAGTTGTCCAGTGTCTTTAAAATAATTTTCTTCAGGTGGAAAAAGGATGATTGATGCTCAATCATGCTCATAAACACCAAGTGAAGAGAATCATCAATATATGTTTTCCCTTAATCAATCAAATCAGTACATATATATTCGAATATATCAAATTTACTACTTGTAAAGTAAGAAATTCACATGCAGCCTCTTTATTGGCAATGTATGAACACATATACGGTTTTATGAGTAATGTTACATGTGGTTTCTGTCCGGACGTAAAGCAAGTTTATGGTACGTATCCGATCTAGATACACATAATACTGACAATAGAATAAATTTCAGTTGCAGAACCATTTAAATAGCTTTTCTTACTACAATATGATCACTTAATAAAGTTTTGTTTGGGTAAAAACCTAAAACCTAAGACGGTCTCACGGGGACAGCCGATTAAAATGAGTTTAAGAAAATATGGATATTATATCAACTATTTTCTCGTTTCAAACGTTAGAGAAATTTTAAATACTTTCTTAAGATGATTTGAAAAGTAAAAAGTGATGTGGGATCAACATTCTTTTTTGTTGGTTATCGAAGAATATTTCTTTGGTCAGGAGCCGGTCTATGATGTAACCCGAAATAGTGGACGCCTATATACCAAGTGGAAATCAAACTAAGATTTATAGGAGACGCAACATTAAGAAGATTCTAGGAAGCGCCACTGGCTCAAGACTCGATCACTTGGCTGGAATTTGCACATACTCATTCATAACAGCATTTTGTGATGAAACCTTTATAAAAAAAAAAAAAAATCATTTGTGATGAATTTTCGTTATATATATAATTTGAAGAATACTTAACCTTACACTGTGTAACCAGATATGAATGAAGGCGATATACTTAACATGTGGATTTATTTTCATCATATGGCTGATGTTGAGTTATATAATGATGGCAATGAAAATAAACTAAGTCCGATTAGTGAACATGCATATGTAAAATTCTATTCACGACTATATTGCATACATATTAAGTTAAATATATTAAAACATTAAAAGTATATAAACTTGTTGACTAAAGACCCGCATGGTGAAACCAGGGATGCGCAAGATGAGATAGAACATCGTGGAATAAACAGCAGAACTGGAATTAATTTGGACGAATTAGGATAGATGTTACTCTGTGCATCAAGATGAGAATTTGGGTTTTTCTACCATGAGAATTTGGGTATTAAGTTGCAAAAACATGGCTTATTCTACAAACTCCACTGACTAGTGAGTCTTGCAGTCCCAAAATTTTCGATTATAAAACAATAAATATATAATTATTAAACGAATTAATAACAGATGTTGAATGACGAATCGCATGACAAGTATTCCACGACAAAAATGAGATAACACGCATGCCACAAACATTTCACATTTTTTATAACCAATGTAACTTCCAATTTGTAAACAAAAACCAAAATCCACCTTTTTTTGGGTTTTTTCTTTCTACGAGAGATTTTTTTTTTTGCTTATATTATTTCACATTTTTTAATAATTTTAAAATCTACAGCAGAATCAAAATCAAAAACCAAAATCTAAAATCAGAAACTAAAATCCAGAAACCAAAATCTAAAATCTAAAAACTAGCCAAACATTCATGGCCTGAAAATGGTGATGAAATACGTTTGCAGCGACTGTATTACTCACACCACAACGACCGCATTAGATTCGTGGGCTTGTTGGTGTCCACCCTTAGGCACATTACACTTTTGGTAGCCTTTAAACTGAAAAAGCAAGATCTTGAACAAATGCGAAGATAACTTGAACATTATTAGTCCATTGATCTATCCAACGGTAGATAGCTCTTTTGTAAGAAAATGGAATGTCCAAGTTTTTAGTTTTGATTGGTTAATATAATTTTTTTTTTTCAAAAAAAATTTAAGTGGACAGGTATATTCTATGGAATATACCAGTTTCATTCTCTTTCGACCTTTCTTCCCTCTCTCGTACGTGCTTCTTCAATCATTTCGATCTTAATTTTGACCTAATTTATTTTTTGGGACATTGGTTTTGACCTGATTTAATTTCTCTCATTTGACGGCCAATGCAAGGTCCCATTAAAAGAAAACATACATTAGGAGACATCATTATTGTACAACTTACTACTTAGAGTCTTTTTATTAGATTTTTCTAATCAAAATATAACCACGTTGCGTTTGTTTTGACGATTTGCATCAATATCAGGAGCCAGGAAATTACAATAAAATGGGACAAAAAGCATCTGAACAAGAAGTGAAAATTACTGTGCTACAAGTAATGCAAGTATATATTCATAATGGTCTAATCATGATATATTCTTTTGGACACACGTAATTATCAGTTGTTGTTTTTTTTTTTGAAAAATCCTGTTGATAGGGATTCAACATAAAATTCAAAATTTTGGCTGTTTAATCCAATGTATATTTACTAAAATCTTTTTATCTGGTTGATAAAGCAGCTTCAAATAAAATGACCTTTACAATCTATTTATTCAAATATTTTTTATGGACCATACTGTCTTTTAACAATAAGTTAAGCAAATTAAAGGTTTAGCCTTTAACCGAATGAGCATGTTGTTATATAAACTTGGTAGGAATCATGAAGGTTTATTCTCACTTACAAACAGCCCATGTTCAATATTTTAAAGCTTGGAATGACATTTTGTCTCACTTTTTCTCATTCCAAATATGAAAGATTAGTCGTTCTACCAAATACGTTGTCTAAGAAATTCGGTAGGAATCATGAAGGTTTATTCTCACTTATAACATGCCTTTTTATTTGCTTAAAGCTTCTAATGACAGTTTGTCTCCCTTTATATCAACTTTGTTTGGTCTCCAACTCGATTACCTGTGATTAATTTAGGGTAATATGCCAATTATAATTCCATTTCAATATAAAACCATGATAAAACGATAGCTACAAAAGAGTAGGAAAGGGGCAAGGAATTGATAAACAAATGATGGTACAAACACGAAAACGATTTAAGTGGCATAAAGTGCATCCCTCTCTTGGTTTCTTTTGTTTAACTTGCAGTAGTGATGATACTAATATAATTACTAAATTTGCACAAAGCTAACTTTCACTTGTATTTTTATTTATTTTCAGCATGTCCAACCTAACTTGTAATTTGTTAAATGTTGATTGATTCCGGTATATAGTAGCTAGTAAAGGATATCTCATGTATTTTTTTTTTTTTTTGGTAAAATTATCTCATGTATTTTCGAGTGTATATGTTACTTTATCATTACAATATTTTTATTTGATTATAAATAATGATCTTATCAGTAATAAATATAACTTTCTATGGAACATGATGGATGTTTTCATATGAATTCCACATTAGAAATTTTTATCAACACCATAATCGTCCAATATAGATGGTTATATCAGCACTATACATATACTGATATATATACACGATGTACAATCTTACTTTTAATATAAGTAACCACGATGAACGGTTTTACTATAAATACCACCATATTCACAAATTTGCACAGCTATCTAGGCAAGATGCTTCTAAGAAATCGGGCCTAGACTATTCGTTTATGAGTATCGGGCCTGGGCCATCACCTATGACTTTTGTCCTCAACACAAGTTACTTTTGTTTGGTTAGTCTTTTTACTTTTCTTATATTCGATGGGAGCTAACAAAAAAATCAAGTAAAAGAAAACAAAACATCTTCATCTGCATGAAGTATTTCAGATCATGTATCAAATAAGCTATAACTCGGAAACATATATAAGAGAGTCGAGGAAAAGAATATGGCTACCAAATTGATCGAAAAATCCCAATAACCTTTGTGATCATGAGTTCAAATCTTTTACTTTTTACATGTTGAGCCCTTTATGAAAAAAAACTAATCGATTTTTACCATTTCCGAAAAGAAAGAGTTACATATATGTGTACAGATTTTGGAAAAAACTAATTTTTCCAATCGGCGCCTTTCATTTCTTGTTGTTTCCCCCTTTATTACTCTCTGAGCTCTCTCTTGGCTCCGGCGTCAGGGTTTCTCTGCTGCTTCTGCTTCTCGGTGAGTCTCCGAATCTTCACTTTCTCGTCGCTTCTCTCGTTTTCCGAATCTAGATTTTCTACTCCCTATTCTAGGATTTACTCTTCGTTCTCGCGGCTCGCTTCTCTGGTTCTTAGGGTTTTTCATGTTCCGGTGTGATTTTGTTAGGGTTTCTTTCGGAGTTCTGGGCTATATTATACATATATACGCTGCTGCATACTTTCATTTTCGTGATTCTAGTTTCTGTTCTCCTTTTGATCCGTCCATTAACTACATCTTAGGTTTATTCTGATCCTTCCTTCAATGTTAATTTCGTAACTATAAGCCTCCGTCTTTGCAATTGAGGATTCTTCGTCTACCTTATCACCTCTTGTTCACGGCTCTGGTGACTTATCGATTTCAATTGCAGTTGCATGTTAATCTTGTTCAGGTCTCTAATTGATTACTAATCGGGCAATTTTTTTAAAAACCTAGATTTAAAAAACCCAGTGAGTTTAGGTGTATGGAAGCGTTAGATTTGGATCGATTGGTTCTTGTTATTGACGGAAAAATATTTTGTATAATTGGTGTAGGTACTCTACCTTTCTTTCTTGCTTGCGTCTATTTGAGATTCTCTCGACGTTTTCAATGGGGGACGCAGAAAATGCTCAGCAACCTTCCAAAAAGAGAGGTGCTTTGAAGGAGCTCTCTCGTGAAAACCCTGGTCTTGATGATGAAGACGACGACTCTTCTGCACTTGAGGGTGCTACTTTCAAGACTGCTAGTGAAGAAGTGTTGGCAAGCAGAAGAATTGTCAGAGTTAGGCGCAGAGACCCATCTGCAGCAGCAGCAGCAGCGCCACCAGCATCCAATCCATTTGCTGGAATTCGTTTGGTCCCTTTTACTGCTCCTGCTCCTGCTACAGCTGCTGCAGAAACGAATGAACCTCTGCTTAAGTCAAACTCGGCTCCATCTGAGAAAAGACAAGAAACACAGGACGATGGAAGATCTGATACGACCAAAGAAATCATTGACGGTGGCGAGAAAGACGAGACTGAGGCCGTTAGTACTGGAGAGGATGGTGGAGCTGAAAACAAGATTGACGATGACGCAAAAACAACAACAACCAAAGATGAAGATGCTGCTGGGGAAGAGACTGAAAAGGCTAAAGATGATAAGGAGGCTGACTCTGTTAACAAGGAGTCAGGAGGTGATAAGACTGAGAAAGAAGAAGAAGGCACAGATAAGAATGGAGATAGTGGAGGAGCCTTGAGCTCTTTCCAACAGCATTCAAGTAGCAAAAACGCATTCACAGGACTTGCAAGTACAGGTTTCTCCACTTCTTCATTCTCCTTCGGTTTGGCTTCACAGGAAGGTTCAGGTTCTGGGTCTCTGACTCAACAGTCATCCTTCAGCTTTGGCCTGCCAAACAATGGAAAGTCTTCTCTTTTCGGCACATCTTCCGTCACCACAGAGAGCGCAGGAGCTACTACTACCACCGCCTTCCCATCAAAGCAAGAGGTTTCAGTGGAAACAGGAGAAGAGAACGAGAAGGCTGCTTTCACAGCTGATTCAGTAATGTATGAGTACTTTGAAGGAGGATGGAAAGAGCGTGGGAAAGGAGAGCTCAAGGTGAATGTATCATCATCAACAACGAGTGACATCAGCAGCGCGAGGTTAGTGATGAGATCAAAAGGAAACTATAGGTTGATCTTAAACGCAAGCCTTTACCCGGAAATGAAACTGGCGAGCATGGACAAGAAAGGAATCACATTTGCTTGTGTGAATAGTGTAAGTGAAGCCAAGGATGGTCTCTCTACATTCGCACTCAAGTTCAAGGATCCAAGTGTTGTGGAAGAGTTCCGAGCAGTCGTCGAAGAATATAAAGAGAGTAAACCTGCGGTTGTGGAAGCATCAGCTCCTTTGAAGACACCTGAGAACTCGCCAAGTGCTGAAGATGCTTGAAGGAGAAAGATCTTGGAAACTAGTATCGTTGTGTTTCTTGTCTTTGGTTGTTTAAAGTTCAAATTTGGCAGAGAGATTGTAATAGATCACTTAAAAACTCTTTATGGCTCCTTATGAGTACTTTGATTGTGCATTTGCATTTCTCTGCGAACACATCAATAGAGAGTGAGAAAGTTCAGAGAGTCATGGAATAGATCGCCTTAGAAAACAGATTTTTGTTAGCATTTAGAAAAACAAAATCATTTATGTGTATAAATGATTACGAGATGGATTAAATAGTCGTGTATTAATGGGATCTTAGATAAGACTTGGGTTAGAAAATTTATCTTCATATCAATTTAAGAACGTGTATATGTATATCAAGCACGTTATAATCGAGATGAGGGAGAAATAAAATATTAACGGATGAAACGTTTTTGGTTTTATTGTAAGGCTTGAATTTAGTTGATTCAACTATTTTTGACCTTTAAATATAAACACTTTTGAAAAAAGAAAATATATAAATTACGTATAAAATGAAAAATTGCAGGTCAATGATTTTTGTTTGTTAATTTCATATAATACCGGCGAATCATACGAGTCATATTATAATATTCTTATAAATTAAGAAATTGGTGCTATCGATCTTTGCCGGCTAGCTAGTGGCGACAGACCTTATCCTCTTGTGATATATACTGTGAATCGTTATAAAATAATATCAGGTGGGAAATTTCGAAAATTACAATAATATCATCATGAAATTCAATGAAAATTGACCCATGACTTAAACATCACCTCATCTTGAGATGACGCGCGTTGTTACTAGGGAAAGAAACAATTTTTTCGAGTCATTCTGATAGAGAAATATCGAGTGAAACAATTTTTTCGAGTCATTCTGATAGAGAAATTTCGAGTAAGTAAATTGGGCAAGAAAATACATTCTGAGACTTCTGACCTATTCAACTTTGGGAAACTTACTTAACTTTGATTACTTTCGTTTCGTATATCTAAATGTTGATAGTTAAGTAAGTACTTTTAAGTCCTTGCTTTTTATAGTAATCAGTCCCAAAATGAAGTCCTACTACATGAACGACATAACTACCATCGCCCATTGCACTCTTGTATTCTTTGCTCGCATGAAAAACGAAAGCAAAAACAAAAACAAAAATAATCGAAATTAAAACTGAGATTGAGTTAAAAAAATGGAAGTTCTCTTTTTCCTAGTTGCACCGTGGCATTATCTCATGCTCATTCTAATAGGAAATCTAATTAAGATTTTGTGTCACCTTGAACAACGAACTTTATCATAAGCCATAACTTATAAATTCATAACATGTTGATCGTACTCCAACCAAATTTGCCAAATAGCTAATAAATACCCTTGTAATTACCCTGAGAATAGATAAATACCCTTTATCGCTGAGAATAGATTAACAGAAAGCTTCCCTGGAACGTTTTTGCAGTCGACGTATTTTTTCCAAGAACGGTATTACAAGCCAGTAGGCTATACTCTTAATCAATAAGCTATCTCAAACATTTAGTCAATACATAAAGAAATATGTTACGTAAGATGATGTAATGATGGTTACATCATTACATATTAAAAAAAAACCTTGTCGAGTTTAGTCTCTATATAAAGCACATCAACTTCTGCTTCAAAAAATCTAGCAAGTTTTGAAATTTGAAGGATCTAGGCAGTTTCTTTTATTTGGACTTTGCAATGACAATCTCTGCGATGGGAAGCAAATGTGTGGTTTTGAGTTTAGCAGTGTTTCTCCTTCTCTCAAGCTTCCATGAGGTTTCTTGCCAGGTAAGTAAACCACAATTAAAGAAGGAACAAGAAACTGAAGAGTGTAGTCAAATTGACTTGCATGTATTTTATTTCCATTTCAGGCTGAAGGAAGTAGCGAGTTTTTAACGATGGACAATCAACAATTTCAGTGTAAACAATATTTTTTCAGACCAACCTTTATGTTTGTATTATTAATATCGACTGATCTCTATATAGCCAGGATTGAATTTTGGTCTTTTTTTTGTTGCAGCTAATATCTTCGACGAAGTAGAAGAGCGTCAATGTAATTCAGAGCTTTCCCTTCTTCATTTTAAAAATTCCTTTTATTTTATTTTATGTTGGCTTCTCTTTCTCTAAGACAATAAGTTAACCTATTCTCAGCGATAAAGAAAGAGAGTGAAAGCGAGAGCATTTGGGAGCAGAACAGTACAGTGAATGATAAGACTAAAATATCTTCGTCTCTGTCAGAAGAAATCGAGGTAAAACCTAGAAGATTATCTTGATGTTAATAACTCAATCTTGGTTTGGATCACCAGTCAACAATCTATTGGTGTTTTGGCTTAAAACTTTTGCCTACGTCTTGAAAGAAATTTTAAAACCAAAAAAAAAAAAAGTGTTAAATTATTTTGTGTGTCTAATCTCTGGTTTGTGTGCATTTTGGATCTATAGTCCGAAGCTGTCAGTGTTCAAAGTTCGAGTATGATGGACGCAGTAAACCGAGAAATTGAAGGTAGGGATATTGTATTGTCAAAGATGTTTTTTTTTTTTTTTTTTTTTTAACTTTTATTGTCAAAGATGTTATAAATTAATAGTTTCAGAGCTATATCATCATTGAAGATGTGCCAATTTTGGGTTCTCTTTATGGATTGTAGCTCATCTCGGTGATCTGAATAAACAAAGTGGAACTGAAGGGCTGGTCACTACAATTGGTGTGGATATGGATGCTTATGAAAAAGGTAAAATATTGACAACAAAAACAAAATTTCTTTTTGTTGACTCATAGTCCTAGGCAGAGTAATTTATTGGTAAATTATTTTTATGCGATTTTTGAATCAGATGTTGAAAGACGGAAACAGCTGGAAGAGATTGAACGACAAATCAAAGGTAAGTTTGTCTATATATGATTCAGACAAAAAGTTAAACCATTAAGATGAGTGTTAGGTCAAAACCTAAAGAGTTTTGTTTGTACTTTCACAATCCTAGCTGCGGCTGCTACAAAAGTTGTTGAAGGAACTAGAAGTACAAAGAGTACTGTAGAAACACAGGAGATCAAATCTGAAGGTACACATTGAGACAATTTAACATTTTTTCCCTGAGCTAATCATTGCGAATTGATTTTGAGATGAAAGTTACGCCTTTTGTTTTTTTTTTTTTTTTTGGTCGGAAGATGAAAGTTTATGAAATCTTGTAATGTATTAGCACTTTATTATCTAAGATAATTAAAGTTTTCCGGGATGAAAATGCAGATATTGAAAGTGATAGCTACCAAACATATTATGGAAAGACGGGTGAAAGAGTACATTGTAAGAAATAGATTTGTATATATCTCAGCTACATCTCTCTTTTAAAACAACTTCGGAATATTGTAATGATTTTTTTCTTTTTTTTTTCCTTTTCAGCTGCATCAACGATGAACACTTATAATGATAAGAAGAAAGGCAATATTGGTGACGCGAGGGTGTTGGGATCTCTAGGAATTTCACAGTCCTCAGGTTTTTAATCATCTCCCAACTGAACTTTAATTCAGACACCATGTCACAAAGATATAATACAATGATGTGAATTTTGTTATGTTTGTGTGTGTGTGTGTGTGGCAGGTGCGTGGCGCTGTTATCTTCCCCCAGACAAAAATGGAGGTAGTGAAGAGGAGGATGGTTCCCTCATTATTCCAAAGTATGACATAGATGCGATCATCAAGGAAGAATCCATTTCTCAGGTTTCTTCTTAGACTTGGACATTTTTTTTTTCCATAAAATTTAAACAAGCAAGCTCTTCTTAAGTAACCTGTATTATTAACTTTTGTATGTAGGACTCCACGTCATCAAGGACCAAGAGTCTCACACAAGCGCTTGGAATTATTGTTAACGATTTTCGGAATGCAAACCGTTATCGAAGTGTAACCACAGAGTCCTCTTCTAAAGAAACAGCAGAGACCGTGGAGAAGCTCAAAACAACCCTAAAGAGTTACCGTAACATCAAAGTACACGAGCTCGTCACTCGTACTGACTTCGAGGAGATACTAACGATGGCTGCACGTTACGAGGAACTAAGCTCGGCTTCGGTGAGTTACATCTCGAGGCTTTCCATGTACAGAAGCGTGATCAAGGAAGGAATCAAGGCCTCTCAGCGTGTTAAGCTTGCGCAGCAGCGTGCAAGGTTGCTCAAAGACATGGCCGTGGAGAAGCAGAAGTATGTGGACGCTGAGTTTGCGTTGGTCAAGTCTTTGGCTCAGAGAGGAGACGCCTTGTACGTCAAGATATTCGCGATCAAGAAGCTGGTGTTGAAGCTTGAGGCTGAGAAGGAAGAAGTTGACGTGAGTTTCCAGAAGAGTGTTGGGAGTCTGTCTCGCGTTATAGAGGAGGCTTCTCAGGCTTACGAGGAGTATCATGTGGTTGTGAGGAAGTGGAAGGAGGAGCAAGCAACTGAGGAGTTCTCGCGTGAGGCCATTGAGAGCGCAGAGGTCGTTTGGGTTCAGTTTCTCAGCTCTCTCTAGAGACAACTCTTATCTTTTCTTCTCTTTTGTTTTACACATTCCCTCTCTTGTGTTATGTTCTACTCCTTGTCTTTCCCTTTTCTGTATTATGATATTTGGTAAGTACTCGTTGTTCTACGCGTGGAGTTTTTTTCTGAGGTGTTTTTAAAAAGTTATACTAAATGTTTTTGTTGTTTGTTATGTAACATTTCGGTGCTCATATAACAATGTTACTTGTCTTTCGTGTCTTTATTTAAACTCGTATATTATTATAGTTTTCTTTTCCAAGAAGTTTAAGGGACTCGGGAATTTGTATGATCAAAATTTAGGGAAAATCTATTGATGGTTTGTTTTTCTTCTAAACGAAAATAAATAAAAGGGAACGCAACTTTGCATGGTTGCTTGTATACATTTTGTCGCGTAAGTAAAACTGTTGATGAGAAGAGACGGGGCTGGTTTGGTTATAAAATGTATATTTATGATCTTTGTTAAAACAATATGGATTGGTTGGTGAAATGTAAAATAGATAGTATAGTCAACGTCTTGAGATCTAACCGTCTGATTTTAAGTTAAATGCCATCGTCCAGAAATTTATAAATTAGTGGATGATGATTGAGTTGGGACGACACATCTTGCATGTGTAATTTATTAGTAGTATTTAATTTATATTTAATTTTAAATTAAATGCCATCTTGCATGTTAAAAATCCTATCCCTGTTGAGTTCGATATAAACTAAAACACTGATCGGCGTATATATGAATACTAGATTAAGCTCCGCGTATACGCGGGTTTATTATACAATTTTTGAAATAAATCATAGAAAAATATTAAATAAATTTGACACTTTAAAAGTAAGTAGATTAATATTAAAACCCGATAAAAGACCTCTAAATAATATTAGATTGGTAATCTTTTTACATTTTTATTATAATTGACATATTTTCTGAATTCATGATACGAAAAATGAATTAATTTGTTATCTTTTTACTTTTATCTAAAATTGAAAGACTTACACATGTGTAAGATTGATTGATTAATTCGTGAAAATTTTATTATTCCATTGAAGAGATTTCGGTTGATGAAATATTTTTTTACCTAACAAAAAAATTAAACTATTAAAATTAGAATATCAGTTCATATAATTTTTCCTGTTAATATTAGTTAGTTGCTCGATAATTATTTTATTAGTTTTCTATTTATATTGTTTTCAGTTTTGTTTTTACTCAGGCCATTATAAAATTTCCTTTCCATTATTAGTTAGTTGTTTTCTAATTATTTTGTTAGTTTTTTTATTTATTTTATACATTTTTCCAATTTTCTTGTGTTAACACTTGTTTTCAAAATATTAGACACAAGTAGCAACAATAATTTTGATTTGGATCCAACTGATCTAGAGTTAAATATTCTTCATTGATATCATGAACTTTCAAATACATTATATTTATTTCTTAATGAGAGAGAAGTTTAATCAAAAGATAGAATCACACAATTAAATCATGAAGGCTATAGCTTACTATATATTATTATTTTTTCCTTTTTGTATTTGAAATATGTTTTACTTTTCCTTTTCGTAATGGATGTAACAATTTTTTTTTTTTTTCGTTTTTTTTTTCTTTTCTTTAGTTTTTTTCCTCCTTTTCTTAATAAGTATATATATCAATATAATATGTTACCAACCTTTTCATCAAGTAATAGAAGTTTTTTTATGAGCAGACTGCAGATTAAAATTACAAATTTCGATAATGTTTCCTTCGGCCATCTGATCTCAAAATTTTGAAGTAGTGAATGATGCACAAAAACTTGAATTGTGTTTTCTGTTTCAAACAAAAGTAAAACTTTAATGTTAATCAATGTTATAATAAGATTATCTATATCAATATAATAAGATGTTACTAACCTTTTCATCAAGTAATAGAAGCTCAACTCATAAGAATAGTACGGCGATAATTTCGATTTCGATCCAATTGTTTTAGAGTCAAATAATCTCCACTGTTCTCTTGAACTTTCAAAAATATGATTTTAAAATTAGAGAAAAAGAATCAAAGAGATTTGCTGAATTTGCTTTGATGAGTTTGTGAATGAGAAAAAGAGAATACAGTAGCTCTCTTTTTATAGGGGTTCATGTAACCAATTTCATTCCGTTTTATGATATTTAGTTTACATACCTATTCCATGTACTAATAGATTTTTTAAAATAGGTTTATGTAACTATTTCCATACAGTTTTAGGATATTTAGTTTACATACTATTTCATGTACTAATAGGTATTTTTTATTACATTATTTTTAATTTATTATATAAATTTTCGTTTTTATTATAAAAGATTAAAATTTTCCCTTTATTTTTTTTTCCCAAGACATGTCACGATCTTAACGGACGTAATATTAAAAGTGACACATGTCACAATCTATATTTTATAAAAATCTATGTGTCGCAACCACGTTGTGCGCATCCACTTTATATAATAAGATATTCGTGTTTATATAATTTACAAAATCTAAGAGAGATTTGGTAATGATTATACACATAAATAATTAATTTTAAAAGATTGCAGTTAGTTGAATCACCGTAACCTAAAACCAGTAACAATTTTATCAGAAAAAAATATATTAAAATCAAAACAGAAACAAAATTTAAAAATTTATCTTAATTTTCAAAAACAGAAACCTAAACACAATCGTCAAGCTATTAAGAAAAAGTTGTTAGCCTAAAAGTGTAATTGACAGAGTAGATAATCATAATTTATCACCGTTTTACACAGCTAAACTACAAATTACATATACTCCACGTGAATTTATATTATTTATTTGGCAAGTACAGTATTAAATAAATATTATGTACATTATGTCATTATGCACCTTATATTATTTAAATAAAGCCACGTGAATTTATATTGTTTAAGAAAAAAGCCACGTTGAGAGTCTTCAAACAACTTGGGTTTTATTTAAAGTCTTGTTATATTATGGTTCCTCAAACTTCAAGACAGTTTAGTCTGATCTTGTGATTCAAACAAATCTCCGACATGGGAACGAAGTTGTTAGCTCTGAGTTTGTCTCTGTCTCTGTGTCTTGTTCTCTCCAGCTTCTATGAAGTTTCTTGCCAGGTAAATACACAGAAGCTCTTTTTCTTTACAATAAACGACATGATGATCAATATAATAAAATTGATTTCAGACGCATTTTACTTTTGGTTTTAGGATGAAGGAAGTAGAGGTTTGACTTTAGATCTGATCGAGCAAGAATATCAAGGTATATTGTGACTGAACCATTATTATTTATTATATGTTAGATGAATAAAGATCTTTTAAATTAACCAGGAAATAAAATTTTTGGTTGCAGCTAATGTCAATTCTCTCCAAGTCAACGAAGAAGCAGACCAGTGTAAAGACTTCTGTCTCTCTTGTCTCTTTACTTCTTGAGCAAATAATCAATCTCTAAGATAATATCTGTGTTGTGTACAGCTGCAAAGAAACAGAGTGAAAATCAGACCAGTAGTCAGAAAAACAGTACAGTAACTGATAACAACACTATCTCTCTGTCTCTATCGGAAGAACCCGTGGAGACCCTTAAAGATTCTGTTGATACACCAGCTCAGGTTAATTAGCTTTTCTTGGATTTTGATTTTAGCTTAGCATGAGTCATGATTAATTAATCTCTGGTTTATTTTCCTTTGGATATATTAGTTAGGAGCTGTTACTGATGAAGTCACTCGTTCTAGTATGTTGGACCGTATCGAAAAAGAGTTCGAAGGTAAGATCCCCTAAATGTTTACTCTGTTTTCTTAAATATATATATTCTTAGTTAATTATGTTTCTGGAATAAGCTTGGATCAAAATCTTGACATGAAGAGTGACTTTGTTATCTTTTGTGTTTTCTTGATTTACAGCACATATCAATGAACTTAACCAAGCTGGATCTGATGGTATCAACAACAAAGTTGATGAATCTAAGGATGATGAAGGTAAAAAACACAAAAACAAAATTTTCCTCTTTAATTTTGATCCTTTTTGGTAAGAGATTAATCTTATACTGTCTTTGTTGTTTCAGCTGCTAAGAGACGCAAGATTTTGGAAGCTATTGAACGCGAGTTTGAAGGTACTTTTTTCAATGCTTCTGTCTAAATTTGAGCTTCACATTAGTTCTTGATAGATTTTTACTGACTTTTTGGTTTCTTGTCTTCTTTTATCATCTCTTAATTACTTGCAGCTGCTACAGCTGGATTTGAACAACTAAAGATTGGTGATTCCACCCAAGGAAAAGATGATGAAGCATGTAAGGAAACACACCTTCCTTTAGTAATTGATATGCTCACATTTACTAGTTACTCATTTATTCAAAGTCAAAACTTTTATGTTTTTGTTACAGCTGCAAAGAGACAAAGCATGTTGGAGGAGATTGAACGCGAGTTTGAAGGTAATCTCTACACATCATATATCTGTTTAATCAAGTTCTTGAGCCTCCCAAAAAGCTAAACGATCAATCTATTTGTGTCTTATGTTTTCTTTCCTACTTGCAGAAGCTACAAAAGATCTTGAACAATTAAAGGCTGATGATTTAACCGGTATCAACGATGAGGAACACGGTAAAACAAAAACACTCTCCCGTTTTTGCTTTGTTTGATGCCTTCTTCTTTACGTATAGTATTGTTAAGTCAGATTTTGTGTGTTTGTTATAGCTGCAAGGAGACAAAAGATGCTGGAAGAGATCGAAAGAGAGTTTGAAGGTATCTTGAAATGTAAAACCAGTATCTTCTCTTAAATAAGACACATTTTCTGCAGAACCAATCTTACTGAAAACTCTGTTTTCTTCCTCTGTTTTGCAGCCGCTACCAAAGGTCTTGAAGAACTAAGGGATTCTACCTCAAGCACAGATGATGAATCATACTGTAATATTTTGTTTTTCCCTCTTTTTTCTTTTTATGATCCCTTAATTTCAAATAGAGTATTCAGAACAGAGATCTTATGTCTTGTTTTAGCTGCAAAGAGAGTGAATATGCTAGATGAGATCGAACGTGAGTTTGAAGGTATCTTATCACACGACCTAATTCGTTCATATTCTTTGTGGTGAGACTTATTTAGATTAAAGATTGTGTTTCACCTTCTACTTACAGCTGCTACAAGTGGACTTAAACAGCTAAAGATTAATGCTCACACACCTGTCGAAGATGATAACAAAGAACAAGGCAAGAAATTGTTATCATCTCTACTTGGATATTTTTGTCCCTCATTCAGTTTTCTGATGAGATAGATCTTTGTCATGTCTTATTTACAGCTGCTAAGAGACAAAAAATGCTAGAAGCAATAGAACGCGAGTTTGAAGGTAAACAGACTTTCACAATCATTCATATAAAGAGAGAATCTTTAACTCTTAAGAAGTTGTAAACTTTTGCTTCCCCTTACAGCCGTTACAGAGAGCTTTACACAGCTTGAGGATCTCGCCGAGAACAAAGATGACGAAGGACAATGTAAAAACAAGCTTGCCCTCCAACGTTTTTTACTTTTCTTGTAGTGTTGTTATTCTCTGACATGTCTTCATGTCTTTGTTCTTAGCTGCAAAGAGGCAAAGTATGTTGGATGAGATTGAGCGTGAATTTGAAGGTAAATTTTGACATATTATTATCGATGTTCATTAGTTGCTATGGTTCTTGAAACAAATCTTGAATCTTTTCCTCTGTTTTATCAAATTACTTTGCAGCTGCTACAAGTGAGCTTAAGCAACTGAAGCTTGAAGATTCCAGTGAACAATGTAATAACTTTGCCTTATTTACTTTTTATGATCCTTTTGCATCTTCTATAGTATTCTGAAGAATATTTTTGATGTGTTTTGTTACAGCTGCAAAGAGAAACCGCATGCTTGAAGCTATCGAACGCGAGTTTGAAGGTTACTTTCACATAACATTTGTAAACTTCTTAGCTGAAAGTGAATCAATACAAAGAGACTAAGTTGAGAATATGTCTTATGTTTAATGTTCTTACTTGAAGCTGCTACAAAAGGTCTTCAAGAGCCACAGTCTAATGAATCAACCGAAGGCAAGGATGATGATGAACAATGTAGGAATTCTTCCCTTTAATACTTTTTTTATGTTACATTTTATTTCCTAATGCAGCCTGAGTCAGATTTTGTTTCCATGTTTGGTTACAGCTGCAAAGAGAAAAAGTATGCTTGATGCTATTGAACGTGAGTTTGAAGGTACCTTGACATGTTCCTCTCTCTCTGTCTTTAGTTCACTCTTCTATGTTTTTGGAGAAACCATTGAATCCTTATTATTGCAAGAAGTTTGTTAAAGAAAGAGTTTCTATATGTATTATTTTTCCTATTTCATGTTTCAGCCGCGACAAGAGGCCTTACAGAGATAAAGAATTATGAAGAGAAAGGTAACTAAACTGATGCCTTGTTGTTCCCCTCAAAGCCTTCTGAGGCAAATTTTCTAAAAATTTGCCCTTTTTTTTGTTAACAGCTGAAAATAAGAGAAACAGTATGTTGGAAGCAATCGAACGCGAATTTGAAGGTAACCTCGAGAATCAAACGCAAGAATTCATAATGAAACAAGGAGAGCACTGTATATAAAAATAATAAAATCTGACAGTTTGGTTTGGTCTTCTTGTTCATTTCTAACTTCCAGAAGCTACAAGTGCAAAGACTGATGAAAAAGACTGTAAGAAACTCTTTCTCTGTTTACGTCATGTTTCTATTTTTAAAAAGTTACCTGAGACAGCGTTTCCATGTGTTGTCACAGCAGCTGCAAAGATTCCACCAACAATAGTACAAAAATCTTATAGTGGTGGATACAATGGTAACTAAACCTCAGATTCTCTCAACCATCTTTTCTAAAAGGAGATTGTAAATAAATGCTGATATGTTTCTTTCTTTTGTACAGCTGGTGTAGAAAGTCTTCTAAAGCCTGCAGGTTAGCTTAAAAGCTCATTCTTGTCAAACTTTTTCAAAGAAACTCACAAGAGAAGCTATTCTTATTTGTCTTTTCTCTGTTTTGTGTTTCTTGCAGATGGTGTCTGTGGCTGTTTTAACCAAGACAAAGATGGTCTTAAGGCAGACACAGATTCATCTATTAACCTAGCAGAGATACTCGCTGAAGAATCCAATTCCAAGGTTTGTATAATTTTACATGATTAAATTTAAACCAATGAAAGGCTCTCACCAATCTCAGAGTCTTGACTTTGTTTACATTTTGTTGATTTTGGCTTGTGTAGGGGTCAGAGAGCTGTAGCCTCACAACATCACTGAAAAATCTTTTTCATACTCATAGAAAAGAAACACCCTCAAAGGTAGGCAAAGTCCTTGGCTCATCAGTTACTTCCACCGCAAGCGAATCATCCGCTACATCAGAGAGCATAGAGAGTCTGAAGCAAACCCTAAAGAAGCTGCGTGGTCTAACCGCACGTGACCTCGTAAACCATCCGAACTTCGACGAGATCATAGCAACCGGTACACGTTACGAGGTACTCAGCTCAGCTTCTATTGGTTACATCTCTTTGCTAGCCAAATACAAAACCGTCATTAAAGAAGGACTAGAGGCTTCTCAGAGAGTCCAGATTGCTCAGACACGAGCCAAACTGCTCAAAGAAACCGCGTTGGAGAAGCAGAGATCCGTTGACTCGGTTTTCTCATCAGCAAAGTCACTGGCTCAACGAGGAGACGCCCTGTACGTCAGAATCTTGGCGATCAAGAAACTGTTGGTGAAGCTTGAAGCAGAGAAACTGAATGTTGACTCACAGTTTAAGTCTCTGGAGACGGATCTGTCGCAGCTTCTCAAGGAGGCTTCTCAGGCTTACGAGGAGTATCACGAGGCTGTGCGTAAGGCCAAAGACGAACAAGCCGCTGAGGAGTTCGCTCTTGAGACGACCAAGAGAGCAGAACATATTTGGGTTGAGTTTCTTAGTTCACTTAATTGAACTAATGAGATTCTTGATCTTGTTTAAAACACATCTTCATTTAGTTGTTGTTCTTGTCTTTTATTTTCTGGTCTTGTTTTGTTTCAGACTTTGTTTGTTGGTTATATCTGGAGAGAGAGGTTGAAAGATACTATAGAGTGAGTGTGAGAGAGATTTGTCAAACACAAATAAAATTTTAGTCCTCTAATAAGACTTTTTTTTAATATATTTCTACTTGATAATGCTCTAATTAGTCCACCATTTTTCTTGTAACAGAGATTTATTAGTAAATTAATCGCATCAAACAGAGATTAGTCCACCATTTTCCAAAATAATCCATGCAATTGACGTCAACAAGGACGTCTGTGAGCACTTCAATAAATTAATGGCCCTTTTTATAATACCACTTTGGGGTAAAATAATTATATTTCAAAAGTCACTCACTCGTTATGCAATATGAGGGAAGCAAAGCTACGCATAAAATATAACGGAGATAAGGTAAAGGACCAGCCACCAAGATCTCAAGTCTCTCTTTCCATCCAACGGATATGATCAAATCCACGTGTACTAATCTTATCGACAAACGAACGACCAATAACTACTCACGTGTCATCACGATCCGATTATTACCCTCTCGATCCAACGAACCCAAAGCACTCTTTCTTTCTCCTCCTCTCTCGCCGCGAACGCCGCCGACCTCCGATTTTCCGTTCCTCCTCTGAGATGGCGGATTCCGACAACGATTCAGGCGGTCACAAGGACAGTGGAAGCGCGTCGACTCGTGAGCAGGATAGATTTCTCCCGATTGCTAACGTGAGTCGAATCATGAAGAAAGCACTTCCGGCGAACGCTAAAATCTCAAAGGACGCCAAGGAGACAGTCCAGGAGTGCGTATCGGAATTCATAAGTTTCATCACCGGCGAGGCCTCCGACAAGTGCCAAAGAGAGAAGAGGAAGACAATCAACGGCGACGATCTTCTCTGGGCGATGACCACGCTAGGGTTTGAGGATTACGTCGAGCCGTTGAAGAACTACCTGCAAAAGTACAGGGAGGTGGAAGGGGAGAAGACGACCACCGGCGGGAGACAGGGCGATAGGGAAGGTGGCGGCGGAGGAAATGGAAGCTCCGGCGGCGGAGGAGGAGGAGGGTACAATAGCGGAGGAACTCCGACGGCGGGGGGAGGAATGTACGGTGGGATTGTGACGATGGGGCATCATCATCAGGGGCACGTGTACGGCGGAGGAGGGATACATCACATTCAGCGGAGTGGGTCCGCACCTGGTGATTAAATTAAGAAGAAACACAATTGGGAAGATGAATTAATAAGAAAAATATTTAAACAAATTAGAATCAGCCACCTCACGCCGCTCTGACTCGGTTGACTTCAAGTCTCTCTGTTTTTTTCTTTTTTCACTCTCTCTGAGCTCTGAGCTTTCTGTTCAGCTCTTGGAATGGCTCACTCCTCAAGCTTAGATCACAGAGGAGAATACTTTTATGCAAATGTAAATGTCTTATTTTTGTCACTTTCTCTTTCTCTTTCTCTTTCGTCTTTGTCTAATTCTTCTGCAAACTTGTGTTGTTCCTCAATCTGTCTTGGTGCGAGAAGTTGTTCTTAGATGAATTTAAATCTAATACAAAAAAAATCAAACAAAGAGGAGGATAGTGTAACATTTACAGAAAACTTTTAGTGCATACAATGGTTAGTTAACTTTTACTTTAGCAGGAAATGTTTCTCTATCTATGCTCTTTTCTTCTACAGCTGGTGTAGGTGGTCTTCAAAAGCCTCCAGGTTAGCTTTGAAGCTCAATTCTTGTGAATGGTTTGACCATAGAAACTTTGCAATAGAGCTACTCTTAAACTGTCTTCTCTTTGTTTGTGGTGTTTGTGTTGCCTGCGGATGGTGCCTGAGGCTGTTTTGACCAAGACAAACAATGGAACTCTCTCGCATCTAAATCACAGTTTGTTTACATGTTTTGATTTTGGCTTTTTGTAGAGCTCAGAGATATCTAAACTCACGACATCACTGATCAATCTTGTTCAGACGCATATAAAAGAAAAGCTCTCAATGGTAGGAACGGTCCTTTGCTCGTCTTCATCATCAGTTACTCTGCACACGGAAATCATCCGCTGCGATACATCAGAGAGCTCGTGAACTCGTAAACCGTTCTGTTGGTTACATGCTCTTTGCTAGTCCAAAAACAGTCGTTACAAAGGGACTCGAGGCATCTCAGTGAATCCAGCTAATTGCAAAACTGTGCCAAATTGCTCAAAGAAACCGCAATGGAGAAAGCAGAGAGTTCGCTAAGGCTCTGGCTCAACCAGGAGACGTGTTGTCTACCAAAATCTTTGCGACCAAAGTAACTATTGGTCAATATGTAAATCACATATAAATATTAGTCAAAAAAATTCCTAATTTTTCAATTGCCGTCAGGAGAAAAGGACGTTGTAACCACTTCAATAGATTTTTTTTGGTCGGCTTATGTTTATTTGTATAAAATTATAAAATTAAACAGAATTAATTTGAGTAGATAACTAAAGATTTGAGTGATGATTTGAGGAAATGTTATACTATGCTGTCTTTTTATATTTTCATTGATTCCTTGTTTCACGTTCATTCATACAACTCCCCAGAAAACAATGAATCAGAGTAGCCCACACGAGTGGCTAGCACGTGTAACCCATTTCTTTCTTGGAAAAGCAAACGGCGATTAATCATTGATTTGACGTCAGCAAACAAATGATTAATTACCAACAATTGCGAAAAATCAATTAATAATAGTAACAAATTAAAAGCAGCCACCTCTCTGAGCTCTCTCTCGTGCAGGCTCTGACTCCGTTAACTCTCCAAGTCTCCGAGATCTCTCTCTCTTCCTCATTTTCTCTCTCGCCACGATTCTGTTCAGCTCTTCGAATGGCTCAAGCTTAGATCACCGGAGATTACTATATGCAATGTAATGTATCTCCTCCTCCTCCTCCTTCGTCTTCGTCTCTACTTCTTCTGCAAGCTTCTGTTGTTTCTCCTCTCTTTCCATCGACGATTTTCTTCTAGCTTCGTTGACGAACATTGACTTTAGCTTTCCTTAGATCGTAGATTTCTGATAATTTCGCATCAACTCTAAATGCGTTGCTTCCTTTTTCTACTTCAGAGCAGCTGCAGCATTGGAGCATCGGCGATCCAAGTCCGAAGCTCACTTAAGCTTCGGAAACGCGTCTCTGAGCTATCGGAAACAGTAAGATACTATTACTCGCTAAGATCGTGATCTTGAAATTGAAATGGATCCTTCTCGCGATTTCCATTCCAATTCCATTTTGCTTCTAGCTTACTCCCGAAATTCACGGAAAAGGCGGTTTCATAGATCAATTTGGAAATTCGAGATCCTCATTTTTGAAGCAGATAGGGAGTTTCTTTAGATTTTTTCAGCTTTGAGGAACCAAGTAATTGCTGATTTTGGATCACAAATGATACTAACTATAGCTGAATCGCACTCATTTGATATGTGTTTGCATGCTGATTATTGATTTATTGTCATTCTAGGTTGCAGTTTCACTGTGAAAATATGGAATGTTGAAAGTGTGAGCGGATGCTATTATAATCAAGAAAACTATGGAAGATCTTAGGCTATCACCATTGAGACAAGGTAGCCTTAAGCCTTCACTATCAGGGAAGTCTACTCCAAGGGGTTCACCTACGTTTAGGAGAGTGAGGACTCCGCGTAGAGATGGCAAAGGCAGTGTGGGCGCTGTTCAGTGGTTCAGAAGTAACCGGATGCTTTATTGGCTACTTTTGATCACTCTCTGGACGTATCTTGGGTTCTATGTTCAGTCCAGATGGGCTCATGATGATGATAGCAAAGTTGAGTTCTTGCGGTTTGGAGGCAAACTGAGAGAAGATGGTTTGCTTGTGGAGCAGAATAAACGAGTGGTGGATTCGGTTGCCAATGAGAATTCTCATTCTGTAGTAGATAATACCAATATAGTCAAGATAGGTGTAAATAAGAGGATGCATGTAAGTCTGGCCAAGAAAGAGGATGGCACATCTCGACGAAGCTTGAGTTCCAGGAGGAGGACGAGAAAAGCTGGTCGAAGAAAGCGGAATGTGAGAAAAGTGGTGGAGGCTAAGGACTTGGAGGAGCAAGATTCAGAACTTGCAAAGACAAATGTTACCTATGGTAAGCTTTTTGGTCCGTTTGGATCACTGGAGGATAGAATTCTTGAATGGAGTCCACAGAAGCGATCAGGGACCTGTGACAGGAAATCAGACTTTAAACGCCTTGTTTGGTCAAGGAGATTCGTCCTGCTTTTCCATGAGCTGTCAATGACCGGTGCTCCAATTTCAATGATGGAGCTGGCTTCCGAGCTTTTGAGCTGCGGTGCAACAGTTTATGCGGTGGTTCTTAGCAGAAGGGGTGGGTTGTTGCAAGAGCTCACAAGGAGAAGGATCAAAGTGGTTGAAGACAAAGGAGAACTCAGCTTCAAAACTGCCATGAAAGCAGATCTTGTCATTGCAGGATCAGCAGTTTGTGCTTCTTGGATAGGTAAGGCTCCGCAATGAATACAGATTATCTATATTCGTTTTTTTTTCCTTAAGTGTGGAAACTTATTATGATGGTCGTTACAGTCTCTTGTGTTTTCCCCCAGATCAATACATGGACCACTTTCCAGCTGGTGGAAGTCAAATCGCTTGGTGGGTGATGGAGAACCGGAGAGAGTACTTTGATCGAGCAAAACCTGTGCTTGAACGAGTGAAGCTGCTAATATTTTTATCTGAAGAACAGAGTAAACAGTGGTTAACATGGTGTGAAGAGGATCATGTAAAGCTTAGGTCTCAGCCGGTTATTGTTCCCCTCTCTGTTAATGATGAGTTGGCTTTTGCTGCTGGGATTTCCTCTTCATTAAATACTCCAACGCTAACCCAGGAGATGATGAAGGAGAAGAGGCAAAAACTACGTGAATCAGTCAGAGCGGAGTTTGGTTTGGCAGATAAGGATATGCTTGTGATGTCTCTTAGCAGCATAAACCCAGGAAAGGGACAACTTCTTCTCCTTGAGTCTGCGGCCTTGGCACTAGAGAGAGAACAAGAACAGGAACAAGCAGCTAAAAGTAATCCGTCCAACATCAAGAATCTCAATGGCATGAGGAAAGAAAAGATTAGTCTTTCAGTCAAGCATCGTCTAAGAGGTTCATCACGGAAGATGAAAATCGTCTCTCCTGCTATCGACAATCCATCGGTTCTCTCTGCTACCGGTAAAAGAAAGCTGTTGTTGTCTGGCAACTTAACACAGAAACAAGACCTGAAACTTCTTCTCGGATCAGTTGGGTCCAAGAGCAACAAAGTTGCATACGTTAAGGAAATGTTGAGCTTCATGTCAAGCAAAGGAAACTTATCCAACTCGGTTCTGTGGACTCCAGCGACCACTCGTGTTGCCTCGTTATACTCTGCAGCAGATGTCTACGTTACAAACTCACAGGTTTCCCATCTTGATCCTTCTATGGCTTCACTCCAATCAGACTATCCAATGCTATTTGAAGCAAATTCTTCAATTTGTGAAACAGGGAATTGGTGAAACATTCGGGAGAGTGACTATCGAAGCAATGGCTTATGGTCTTCCGGTGAGAAACAAACGAACGAAATATCTATGTTTACTTATTCTTAAGAGAAGAAAATGAAATGTTCTCATCCTAATTTTTGTTGATAATGGGACAGGTTCTTGGAACGGACGCAGGAGGAACAAGAGAGATAGTGGAGCAGAATGTTACAGGGCTACTTCACCCTGTGGGGAGGCCAGGTAACAAAGTTTTAGCTCAGAATATCTTGTTTCTTCTTAGAAACCCATCCACAAGGCTACAGCTAGGTAGCAGAGGACGTGAAAAGGTTGAGAAGATGTACATGAAGCAGCACATGTACAAGAGATTTGTGGACGTTCTAGTCAAATGCATGAGACCCTAAGTGTGTACTTACTACTTCCCTTGTTTACTTTTGGTTCAGTTCCGGTAAGTTCTTGTTTCAGAGTAGAAAAAAGTAAAAAACGAATCCCACCAATTCTTATTAAATTTCATGCTATTCTTTGGAGTCATTGCAATGCAAAGTCTTTACTTTCTATATATTTTGAATTTGTGTTCTGAGAAGCTTAATTACTTGGCGACTTAAGGCAGCACTAACTGTTCACTGGGTTGGTAATTGTCAGGAAAGTTGTTGATTGCTGTATTGGGCAGAGTGAGAGTTAGCTAACTTAGCTTAGTGAAATTGTACAAGTTAAGATTCTGATTCGCCATAAGTTTGACTTTGATTCCCTAGTTTAATACACGGAATCTGATGCTTCGAACTTCAGTACTAGTTGTAGAACTAAATAATCTAAGTTCATAACTATTAGTATTCGATTCTTGGTGCTTCTTTTAGACTTTTAGCACTGACAAGGAGACAAACAAAATGTACAGTTAGAAAATGTGAATAGCGTCTATGAAAACTTACATCCTGATCTGTGAAATGGCGTGAATCTCTTACAAAGAGGTTTCTTGACAAATGAATTTCTCGATTCCATAAACATGTACTCTTTGATATATCCAGTCAGAATAAGGAGTATATTTCCTTTTCCCTGGATGCTTCTCTTCTGCATTGTCCAAACTCTAGTTCAAGAGCCAGACACCACTCATTTACAAAACTGTGTGGATCAAAAAAGCATGTTAAGGATGTTCTGGATGTCCTCGAAAGCAAGTATGGCTGATCTTCAGGTGCAACCTTGATTAGGCTTGGCTCTGAGTTCCAGAAGCTTTTGGTTATTGGTTAGAAATCTCAGGCTCTTCTAGAGGATTACAGCTTAAGCGGTCAGTGAGAGCGATTGCTATACGCAGTCCTCAGTCTGTACAGGTGAGTGTCAAGCACTTTTCCACCACTTTGACGGTGACACTCTTAGGATGTGTTCACTTCTCAGGGTTCTCTATAATCTTGAACTGTGTATCCCTTTCTTCAGAAGCAATAAACTCAAAACCCATAGCTGATCAAATTTGTGAAATGATCTTACCCAGCCTCCAACAATAATTCGGGAGTACAAGGCAAGCACCCTGCAAATGTCAACTCTTGAGCCATTTCTTCAAGTTTCACATAAATCTCTTCTGATTGAAGATGTGATTTGTCTCCAGAAACAAACTCGTGAGCAACACCTTTTACCTCAATCAAACTACACCCTGGTGTCTTCTTGGTTGCTATCTCCGTCATCTTTCTTCTCACTTCTCGCAAATCCTCCCATCTTTCACAAGCTGCGTATATATTGCATAACAGAGAGTAAACAGCCCCATTATCAGGTTCCAACTCCAGAATCTTCCTAGCTGAGAGTTCAGCCAATTGTTCATCATTATGAAGTCTGCAAGCACCAAGTAAAGCTCCCCACACAATCGAGTTTGGATTCATCGGCATGTTCTTAACAATCTCATAAGCCTCCTTGACCAGCCCAGCTCGACCAAGCAGGTCAACCATACATCCATAATGTGCTAAACTCGGCTCAATCCTACAGTCGCTTCTCATCTCTGCGAAAAAATTCCTCCCTTGGTCTACCATTCCACTATGGTTACAAGCAGAGAGTACACCGAGGTACGTAATCTCATCTGGCTGTATCGACATGTCCTGCATTTGGAAGAAAACTTTAACAGCCTCTTGACCTTGTCCATTGTTAGCAAGACCAACAACCATAGATGTCCATGTGAATTTATCTCTCTGACACATTCCATGGAAAACCTTCTCTGCTTTCTCAGCACACCCGCATTTGAAATACATATCGATCAAAGCATTCCCTACAACAACATCGTTCTTGATCTTGTTCTTGTTCTTGTCTATATACGTCTTAACCCATTCACCTATCTCCAACGCACCTAGATGAGCACAAGCCGTGAGAACACTAACCATGGTGAATTCATCAGGTACCATGCCTGCATTTTGCATCTCACGGAAAAGCTCCAGAGATTCGTTAAAGCAATCAGCTCTTAGGTAACCGTCGATCATAATAGTCCACGAGATTCTGTCTCTCACTGGCATCTCATCAAAATATGTCCTTGCCAGCTCTAGATTCCCTATCTCCACAAACCCTTTCACGATTGATGTCCAAGAAATCACATCCCTCGTCTTCATACTCCTGAAAATCCTTACTGCTACATCCATTTCCCCGCACGCAGCATATGCATTAACCAAAGCATTCTCCAGCTTCAAACTAGGTTCCTTCACATACACATGAACCCTCCTACAGAGATCTTTATCCCTTACCTTAGAACAAGCAGAGAGAACAAGAAGTAAAGTAACAGAAGTTGGGAAAACAAATTTTCTCTCCATCTCGGCGAAAAGTTTCACGCTTTCTTCATACTTTTTCATCCTATTATACCCAGAGATCATCAAGTTCCAAGAAAACACATCCTCTCTACATCTCCTGTCGAAAACCCCACGAGCCATATCCATCAGTCCACACAAAGAGTACATTTGAACAAGAGCATTCTGCACATAAAGGTTACAACCTAATCCGAATTTCTCAACATGGCAATGCAGCTTCTTACCATAGCCCAACGCTCCATCCCGGTTAAGACCGTTCAGCAAAAACGGAAACGTGTGGCTATCCGGGATCACACCTTCCTTCAACATGTTCAAATACAATCCAACTCCTTCTCTGTCACAATCGGCTCTTGACCAACCTTTGATCATATTGTTCCACATGACCACGTCTGGTTCAGGTATTTTCACAAACAACTTGCAGGCGTAACCCATGTTGCCACTTAATCGAGTACACCAGAAAATCAAAAGCTTCTTTTGGATTGTTGGGTTTGGTTCTAGACCTGCCGTGATGCTTTGAGAATGTAGTTGCTTGAATTGGTCCGTCGTCTTGCAGGCTCCGAGAATGGAGATGAAATGAGAGTAATCATTGGGAATAGATTCCGGGATCGTTGATATGAACAGTACCTTAAAGATCGACAATTTGGGGATAAACGGAGATGTGGCAGAACTTCGCAGAAACATTTCCAGAGGAAAAACAAAATATAACACCTAACAGAAGCAGAATTTGTATGTTTGAAGAATAAAAAAAAAAAGGAAAGAGCTCAGACGGCACTTGCTATCGTCACAGATGATCAGGACGACAGTGACGGATGAAGCCGCCACTTAATTTGATTTATCTTCACCGCTCTTAATGGTTGTTCGAACTCGGGAGCTAAACCCGAAAACGAACCACCACTCAACCACTCGACAACAGTGGTTTTTTTGTATATACTGTTTGTAATAAAGTATATATATAAAATTATTAAAACTGAAAGAAACGAAACGCACCGTTTTGAGTCGTTGGTGGGTGTTGAAGACCAGAAAGAAGAAGCACAACGAACGGAAATTTTTTGACAGAAATCGAGAGAGAAGAGGAATCAACAGAGTAGTGTAGTCGTAGTGAAAGAGATGAATATCTACGCGCACGAATTCTCTCATCTCGATTTTAACTATAATGTCTCCGGTCCATTCGGCGACCCGCTATCTCACCGGTTCTTCCACGGGGAAGACGACGATTATCGCCGCGATATCAGCTACACTCTCGTCGGAGCTAATGGCGGACAAGAAGATACCGATCCGAGTGTATCTCCGGAGAATCGCCACGACGGGAGGTCTCCGTTGCCTCTGGGGATGGATTGGAGTGCTCCTCCTCGTCAATTTGTATGTTTCTCTCCACCTTTTTTTCGCCATTTTTTGAATTCATTGCATTGGTTGAGATCCTTTGAGAGATTGCTTCCCTCTTTCCTCAAAATATTGTTTTGTTTCACAGTTCACATTGAGTATTGTTAAGAGCAGGCTTGGTTTAACTTGAAAATTGCAAACTTCCTTAGATTTTGAGTTTTCCCTTTGAAAATGAAATGACTTTTTTTTGTTTGGATAATGTTGGTAAGTGTAGGAAGGAAGGAACACTGTTTGGCCACATGATCCTCGAACTGGATGGAGTTACTGTGTCACCGTTCCCTCTTGGGTTGACCTTCCCAAATCAAGTGTTTCAGATCCTGCCGTGGTGTGTATTATCTATCTCTACACATTGCTGTTTCTTTTGTATAAATCATTCTATCTTCCTTATTTTCATATCGTTTACGTTTGTTCTGATTAGTTTTATAGAGTGCAAGTGGCGATACAATCTCCCGAGGGAATCACCTCTGCCAGGCTGATACTTAGAAGATTCAATGATTTCTTGGAGTTATATTCCTCAGTGAGTACTTCCTTTCTTCAATGCCCTTTTCATATTTTAATGTTCAGCCATTTTCATCTTAAGTTCCCATTTTCCAGATTAAAAAGGAGTTTGTGAAGAAAAGCATACCCCAGGCCCCACCAAAGAAGGTTCTGAGGATGAAAAACCAGACACTTTTGGAAGAGGTAGTTTATCGTTTCTCTCAACTCTAAAGATTGTTGACAGTGAAAAAATTCTAAAAATGTTTAGTCTATTGCAGAGGAGGTGCTCTTTGGAAGATTGGATGAATAGACTTTTGTCAGATATTGATATATCCAGAAGCGCTCTGGTAGCAACGTTTCTTGAGTTAGAAGCTGCTGTCAGGTCTTGTATGTGCTCTGCTTTTTTCTCTTGCTAGTGAAAATAATGTAAAGTGGATGTGAGGAATTTGATTATGCAAGTGTTGTCTCAAAACCTTCCATGTATTTGTAATAATTTGCTTCTTCCACTTTGCTCTCTTCAGATTTCAATGATGAAAATCAAGAAGCTGAAGATACCACTGGGGATGTTCCGTCACTTCTACCTAACACCAGTTCTGATGTTCCCGGTAGTTCATCTGTTACTATTGATCATGTCAGCGATTCTGCTGATGAGACATCTGATGCCTCAACAGCGAAGCATGGCGAAGCTAGTCTCAGTAATCTTGCCTCAAGGAATTCAGCTTCTGACGATAATGTGACTGATTGGCATGAATTAATCACAGAGTATGGACTTCTTGATAAGAGTCCTAGAACTGATGAAGCTGCAGAAACTGGTACCGTAACCGGAGAGGGCAATTCTAGTGGAGTTGGATTTCAGAGGTTAGATGGAAGTGATAGAAAGTTTCAAACAAGAACCACTGAAAGTGATGCAACTCACGTAAAGGATTCTCAGGCGTCAATTTCTGGGGAACCTGATTCAGTTAACAGTGGCGGCACTCAGAAGGATTTGGCTATTGTATTTCAGTCCGAGGAGAGACATAAGTTAAAGAGGGTTATTGATACGTTAACGCAGAGACTGGAAACAGCAAAAGCAGACACGGAAGATCTCATCTCTAGGCTGAATCAGGAGTTGGCTGTTAGACAATTTCTGTCAACAAAGGTGTGAACAACTATCACATGTGTTTTTAATCTCCTTTTGTTTCCATCATTAGGCTCCAATGTATCATTCTGCTTGAAAATAAATGAATCGAACAGTGCCATCTTGCTTGGGATTGGTCTTGTAGGTAAAGGATTTAGAGGCTGAACTTGAAACAACACAAGAGAGCTGCAAGCGAGGCATGGAGCAAACAGTTCTGAACGAAAAGGAAAGATTAACTCAAATTCAGTGGGATATGGAGGAACTCCGCAAGCAATGCATGGAGATGGAATCGTTGTTAAACTCTATAAAGGTCTGTGTTTCTTGCAGAGTTTGTTTCATTTGCGGTCAGTGATAGATGTTTTTTCATATATATATATATGGTATATATATGGCTTGCAGGACGAGAAAGCGGAGATTGAGACTACAAACCAGTCACTTGTTCAAGAAAACCAAATGTTGCTGCAGCAGATCGATGATCTAAGTGACAAGTTTGAGAAATTGCGTAAAGAAAATGAAGAACTAGAAGTGAAATCGAAAGCAGAACTTAAAGTCCTGGTCAAAGAGGTCAAGTCTCTCCGAACCACTCAATCAGAATTGAAACAAGAGCTTAGCCGCACCATGAAAGAAAGACTGGAGATGGAGGTAATATGCTCTTTGCAGGAGATTAACTCAAGTGGTTCGAACAATTGTAGTTTTGATGTTTAAAATCTTATGCAATGTTTAGAGAATTGTTCAACGGGAGAAGGATAGAGAAGAAACTGCAAAAACCGCAAACAAGAAGCTGCTGCACGAGTGTGATGTTCTACAGAATCGGCTTCAAGAGTGCAATGTCAAGTTCCACATAGAAGAGGAGAGCAAATTAATAATGGACTCATCATCTGCATCAGAAGCCATCGAGCTACTAGCAACATCCGATAACCGTATTGGTCTTCTAATTGCTGAGGTAGGTCTTAGTTTACTAATATTGAAACAAAAAAGTTATATAATGTTTCTTTCTGGATTTAATAAATCTTATGCTGGAAACAGACGCAGCTTCTCTCAGAAGAAGTAGGAAAGCTAACAACATCGGACGATGGAACAGATGATGTATTAAGGAAGATGCTAACAGAGATCCTGATTGATAATGCAAGACTGAGAAAACAGATGAACTCTGTTCTTCGTTGCTCTTTGTCTGGAAATGGAATATCAGTCAGAGAAGCCATATCAGAGGAAGAAGAAGAAGAGCAAGAAGGAAGTGTTGATCTAGCAAGAACTGTTCTTAGCAAGATCCTTGAGAAATGATTTTATCACTTTCTTTCATAAAAACTCTGTATGTTATAAATGGGTTTTCTAATCTGTATACATATACTGTAATAAACTTATGAACTCCTCTTGTATACACATTTTCTTTATATATCATAAAAATGGGATCTTGTGATACATTTTGGTCCTCAAACGTGAAACAACGCATAACGTATTTTGGTTATGGAAGTGAGTGAAAACGCAAACGTATTTTGAACGCGTTTTAAAGTTTCAAGAAGCAACGCATAACGTGAGATGTGTTTTAGGTGGACTGTCGTGTCTCACTTATCCTCTGTTCACGCCATTGACAAGACTGCGTTACCATAAAAAAACGGCAACTTTAGAGAAACAAAGAGAGAGATATGTCAGCTTCCGTCTTCGTTACGAGTATGGCGGTTGGAGTTCCGATGCTTTCTCGCTCGAGCTCTGTTCGCCGGAGCTTAGAACCCGCGAAGAAGAAGACCATGAATAGTTTCAAATTCGTGACCAATTTTCGAAATCTCTCAACCAACTCGGGGACTAAACCGTCATTTCGCGTCAAAGCTTCCGATCACCGGTCGGAACAAGCCGATAACGGTCAAGGAATTCAGGTCAGTGAGCAAAAGCTTCTTTTTTTTCTCGTTCGGGGCTCATAAAAATCCAAAATTAGGAAAATAGCCCCGTATGTTTTGGATTTAATCAGAAAAGTCATCACTTTTTGTTTGTTATTTGTCATCCATTGCTTTTGACAAGTACAGGAGGACTTAAACTACCTGTTGAAGATAGGAGCTGGTTCTGTTGCAGGCGCAGCAATAATCAAATACGGAAGCGTTTTGCTCCCAGAGATCACAAGACCTAATCTCACTCAAGCACTCTTCATTATAATAGCTCCTGTTGTAATCTCTGTTATCCTTTTGATCCGATCATCTTCTTCCAAGTATCAGAATTAGTACTTGTGTGTATCTGATTCAACCTCATTGTCAAATAATCGTGTGAGAGTGTAACAGTTTCAGAATAAAAAGTGCCAATTCTTTCAACACAAATGCCTTTTTTATATTCCATACTCACACCTTACAAACTCCAATATCAGTTTGATCAAATCAATGTCATAAACCAAGAAGAAACACACCAAAAGAATAAGCAATACCTAGCAAATATTCAAGGTAAAAAAAAATAATCTGAGAAAACGAATTCTCCTGTGCCTAACCATTCCTATCCTTGTTGTTGTTGATGATGATGATCCTTCTCTTCTGAGATCACATCTGAGTTTTCTTCTGCAACCTCCTGCTCTCTACTGTTTTCGTCGCTGCTACATGGATTCTTGAAGAGAGGATTAGCTTCAAGTTCTGAAAATTTCTCCTTTGACTCACTCATCAGCATCTCCACAACTTCAGACATTGTTGGTCTCTTCTCTGGCTCTCTCTGAGCACACATAAGCCCCACCAACACCATCTTCTTCAGCTTCTCTCCTACTTCCTCCTCCTCACCGCTCAGCCTCTGATCAAAAATCTCACCAAACTTCCTCTCGTACACAAGCGGCAAAACCCATTCGGTTATACCTCGCTTCGTCGTTGCGTTTACCCTCTCCACTGATCTCTTCCCGCTGACGAGCTCCAGCAACAAGATACCAAAACTGTACACATCTCCACCTTCTGATTCTTGTCCTGACGTAGCACATTCCGGTGAGAGATACGCGCTGTTACTTTTACCTTCAGTATCATCAGGGATCAGCTTATCATATCCAAAATCAGTAACTTGAGCTTCAAACTCAGAATCTAGCAGCACGTTGCTAGCTCTCACATCTCCATGGACTATATGCGGAGTTGCATGATGGTGTAGGTACCTAAACAAAGGACCAAAAATGTCAGAAAGTATGAAACTTTTTTCATGAAATGGTTTTTGAGATACTGAGAGGACTCACGCAATGGCTTGAGCAGAGCTTATGGCGATTTTCATCCGCTTGGTCCAATCAAGAAGGCACTCAGCTGAATGCTGGCCGTGGAGATGAGAAACCAAGCTCAGATTCTGCATGTACTCGTACACAAGAAGACGTTCTTGTCCTTCTGCACAGTAGCCACGAACACTCAACAGATTCTTGTGACGGATACGTGCAAGGATCTCGACTTCGGCGGCGAAATCTACCTCTTCACTGTTACTCCATGCCTTCAATCTCTTGACTGCAATCTGCAAGAAGAGAAATTTTATCAACACCTCGCATGATCAGGTTCCAAGCAAGTCCTAAGTAAGAATTATAGGTTAAAGAGGATGAGTTACTTGTGAACCATCCCAAAGCTGACCCCAATACACACTCCCGAGACGACCTTCACCGAGTTTGTTATCGTAATTGAAACTGTTTGTGGCCGCGTGAAGCTCCTTGAGTGAGAACTCTCTCCAAGAAGTTGGCTCTGTCTTTCCTTTTTTTCTTCTGTGTCATTGTCACATTAACACGTTCATTAACAACAATTGTGAGAAATGCAGAACAAAGGTCTTGTGATCTATATAAAACTTCGCAAATAGTGATAGCTTGCAATTTAGAGCCAATCATATAGCTGCTGATGATTAAAGAAACTATCAAGAATCAATCAGGTCCTGTATGTTGTGAAAAAGGAACAAACTTTACAACAAAAGAACAAAACTTTACAGCAAAACCATTAGAGATGAAGGAAAGGTATAGAGAACAGAACGCAAAAAAGCTCCGAAATTCCGAACATTTAAAACTGATTCAAAATCTTAGAACCCTAATCGAGAAGAACACCATAACCGGTTTAACCCAACAAGGGCAAAATCAGGCAAATCGGTAAAAGGATTAACAATCATCGAGTCGTGAATGAATCAAAAGATAAACACAAACATACCCATCAAATCCTTTTGCACAGCATCTACTGAAAAGTTGCATCTCTTGAATTGCGGCTCTCCTCTGTTTGTAGATTCTTTCTCGTTATTGCGAAACAGAGAAAAAGGACGAACAAAAATAAGCGCTTTTTAGGAGAAGGTAACGAGCAAAATTACACGTATGATGATGAGTAGCTCTATTTTCGTCTTGACGAGCGAATATATTATTTTCCTTTATTCATTTCTTTATTTTATTTATTTTTGCACGCTTTACCTTTTCTTCTGCCAGAAAATAAATAAATAGTTAAAATAAAGCTGATTCAAACAAAAAATAAATCACACTTTACCAAAAGAAAAAATAAAATTTTGAACGTTAGTATCCGTTGTATAAAAATGTATATTCTAACTGTATTTTTTACTTTTTCATATTTATTTATTATGTTGAGGATGTTTGATGATTTTTGAAATTTTGAAGTTTTCGACCCCAAACAAAAAAGTTTTTGAAGTTGTTGTCGTTGTCATTTGTTGAGGGCCGGCTGGATGAGTCACGACAACTCATTGAAACCTTTTTATTCAGTGTTTCAAATCTTATACAAATAAAGAAACAGAGAAGATGATTCTGCTATCTTCTTCTTTAAAAAAATATTAAACAAAATCAAAGTTCAATAGCTGTTATAGACTTATAGTTATAGCGATAAAACAGCATTACGTTGATTAAATCACTAAATAATCAGCGTGATCAGATGAGAATGTTTGCTCTCTCTCTCTCTCTCATAATGAAATTATGTTTGAGCTGATGATGCTTCGCTAGCATGGGCTTAAGGAACCATGTGCTTATTAAATTCAATTATTATAGGTGTCTGTCCAAGTGATTGATATGAGAGATTTGTATTGAGGATACAAGTTAGAGTTAAATCTCATTTGTTGCAAAGGTGACTAATGAAAGAAAAGGAACGAAAGCTTTAAAAAAAAGTCCGTGTACATGTTTGAGGTTTCCATCTACGTATACTAAAACCGATTCAATAGGTGTCCTACTTCACAAATTGATAGTTAATAGACTTATATATATAGTATACATTTTTGAAACAAAACAAGTGAAACAGTAACCAATGCTAGTGACTGACTTTCTTTGGACACTGGAAATAGTTGGGTTAAAGGATATGAAAACTATTTGGTCATTAACACTAATTAAGTCATGGAAATTAATATTTACACGATGAATACTCCATACTGCATTGAACAGTCACTATAGTTTCGAATTTCGTAGAGTTTTTATGCCCGATGTAAAAAAATGTAGAATATGGATAGTAAGTTGTCCGTGTAGAAGCAAAATTGCTAGGAACCAACACAGTTGGAAGAAGCCTTAATCTCAACTGGGCCAGTTTATTTACAGTAAGCTGGAATTAAAAGCCCAGAACTGATCCAGGAGGATTATTGCAGGGAAAGTGAGGACTATTGATTAGCTTACCATATGTAACTGAGAACTAGTTAGCCAAAATAATCCTTGTGGAAAATATGCATTACGAGATATATTTCGGGAATAAATTTGCAGAAACAATGAAAGTATGAAACAAATGATAGGTCGTGTATTCTTCTATGAAATTGTATTGTCTCAGTTCCTTAATTGTATTTTGGTAACTATGCGTGACTATAATTTTATCCACGCTAATTTTTTTTCTTAAATACTACAGTATACCTTTAGTCCTTTATACACACTATTGACTATCCTATCATAACCCGGTTTATGAGTTGACAAAAAAAAAAAAAAAAAAAAAAAAAAAAACCCGATTTATGAATTTGTATTACCAACCATGTTAGGGAAAAGTACAATACAACTGCTCTATGGACTATATTATGCCAGAAAATGGAAGAATATATCTTCAGCAAAAAAAAAAATGGAAGGATATATGTTTCCAATTTCATTTATTTGTTACCATTTACGCATGATTTATATTCTAAAAAGGTCAAAGAAAAAGTCAAGATAAACTTTCACCTTTTGATGATACAGAAGAAGTTTATTTATTTCTTCATAATTAGAAATAATATCAATGTCATATCTAATTGAAATATTGCTCCACAAAAGTTCAAATTCATTCCACATTATTCTTTTTGTTTGTGTTATTTTGATACGAATCCACCACAAATATTATCTGTAACATTTTTTAGAAAACAAAATTTGAATTTAAGTATTGACGGTTAGTTGATGTCCACAAATATATCATGGCACTAAATTCTACACAGAAACAGAAATAAGCCAATTATGAGATACTCCCCTAATTAATGTTCCGTTTGAAAAAAAAAATTAAAGGAGAAAAAGAGTCGAGCTTACGTCAGAACCTAACGAGAGAGCATTTAATTAGACAGCAGTGATGTACTAGATTCGCAACAACATAAATACATGCACATACACAAACTCAATACACGTCATTTCAAATTAAATTATATTAAAAATAAAATGGTGTTTCCCTTTTTTATACTAGTAAATTCCTATCAACAAAATACAAGATTTCTTTCCATAAACTATAAAGTATATACATTGAATGTCTCTAAGTTTAAAGGAAGTTTTCAGCCTGTAAAATTGTATTTACAGTTGTTTTCAAAATTTGTAATATTTCAGATGATATAAAACAAAACAAAAACTATAAAGTATTAAACATACGGCACCAAAAAAATGAGAATAAAGTAGTACTATAAAGTATTAATAAAGTAGTATTAAACATACGGCAACATAAGCATCTAATGGTTGATACTTCCTCCGTTTTTTTAAGATAAATTTTCTAGTTTTTTCACACAAATTAAGAAAAAGTTGATTTTCAATCATTAGTACATAGATTTCTGCAATAAAACAACTTTTTATAATTTTAAACCAATAAAAATCCAACAAATATAATCATTGTATCTTGAAAACTGAAAAAGTGTATCAAAAAGGTAAAAATTTTATCTTTGTGAAAAATACATGGCTAGAAAATTCATTAAAAAAATGGAGGAAGTATAAAAAAAAGAGACACTCAACGACCACACAAAATAGAAATAAAATAATAAAACCAATAAATCCAAAACATCCAAAAAAGAAAAAGAAGAAAAAGGAAACTCCGAAAACGAGACAGTATCAGAAATGATAGGCATAAATAGCCCACGTCTCTCTCTCTCTCTCCTCTCTCTTTCTCTCTGCGCTCTCAAAGTCTCTCTTCTCTCTCTGTTTCGTCTCTCTCCTTCTTCTTCAAAGTCAATTCAACAGGTATTTAACTTTCTTTCCATTTTTTTATTTTCCCCGAGAGCCTCCCTCCCAGTAGTATATTCTCGCACGTGCGCATCTCACCTCTCCACCTGGGGATTCATTCTCTCGCCTTTCAAATTCGATCCATTTTCATTTCTATAGATCTGTTTTTTTTTTTCTCTCTGTTTCAATTCGCTTTATGGTTTTTTGTTTTTTTTGGGAGGATGTTTTAAAACCCTAATTCTCTTGAATTGGTTTGTGTACGCGTGTGAAGTGTTTCATCAGTGGTATTGTGATCGATCTGTAACTGGGGAAGAGAGGATATGTCGTCGCTCAGCAGAGAACTCGTCTTTCTGATACTTCAGTTTCTCGACGAAGAGAAATTCAAAGACACTGTTCACAGGTTAATCCTCTTTTTTCTCTCTTTTCATTTTCATTAATCTCCTCAAATTAAAATTGTTTTTATTGGTAATTGCGGTCCCTCTTTGCTTTGTTTGTCGGGATTAGTGTAAAGTTAGTAGCTTGAGAGAGAATTTAATTTCTCTTTTCTGAATTTGAATTTATTAGGTAAATGTGGTAAACGAAAATTCTCTTTTGAATATTATGTCTTCATTTCGAAATTGATTTGGTTGCGTGTTGGATTGTATGAATACTTTATTCTTTTACTGTTTTTTGGCTGATTTTTGTCATTTGTGTGTTGGTTTCAAAGGCTGGAGAAGGAGTCTGGATTTTTCTTCAACATGAGGTACTTTGAAGACAGTGTAACAGCTGGTGAATGGGACGATGTGGAGAAGTACCTTTCCGGATTCACTAAAGTAGATGACAACAGATACTCCATGAAGATATTTTTCGAGATTCGCAAGCAGAAATACCTTGAAGCACTTGACAAGTAAGTTTCTTTTCTTTTCTTTTATACATGCCAAGAAGATTCAACTTTGTTACTGAGTCATTTGTTATTTATATGTTTTCTCTTTTGTTTTTCGTAGGAAAGATTCGGCCAAGGCGGTTGAAATTCTTGTTAAGGAGTTAAAAGTGTTCTCCACATTCAATGAGGAGCTTTTTAAGGAGATTACCATGCTTTTAACCTTGACAAACTTCAGGTAGAGTCTTTACTTTCTTAGTTCCTTGTATCATGTTTGTCTGAAATGAAGAACGGAAGAGAGAAAAAAACTTCAACGGAAATGTTTACTTGTGATGTTTGAAGGGAAAATGAGCAGCTTTCAAAGTATGGAGATACTAAGTCTGCAAGAAATATTATGCTTGGGGAACTTAAGAAACTAATTGAGGCAAATCCTCTCTTCCGGGACAAACTTCAGTTTCCCAGTTTGAAGAATTCAAGATTGAGAACCTTGATTAATCAAAGGTGCGTTTAACCTATGGTTCGAGCTTTATCTTTTATTGTTTCTCTCCTGTTTTAGTATGTGGTTGAACAACTAACTCACCGTGCTTCTGCTAAATTGTAGTCTGAACTGGCAGCATCAGCTTTGCAAGAATCCAAGGCCTAATCCAGATATCAAAACACTCTTTGTTGACCACACTTGTGGGCATCCAAATGGCTCACATGCTCCTTCCCCTGCAACTAATCATTTAATGGGTTCGGTCCCTAAAGTTGGAGGCTTCCCACAATTAGGTGCTCACGGTGTAAGTTGTTCGAAGAATTAAAGCTGTTTGTGTTTGATTATTTTTTAGCACAGGAATCTAAATTCTTAGTGTCTCTTGGTTCAGCCATTTCAGCCAACACCAGCTCCTCTTACAACATCTCTTGCAGGATGGATGCCTAATCCATCTGTACAGCACCCTACTGTTTCTGCTGGCCCTATCGGCTTAGGTGCTCCTAATAGTGCTGG